GCCGTTATTGGTTTATTAAGGGGATGTAAACACACTCAGAGACGATATACTGAATGTTGCTGAAAATATCTGTGGTTTTAAGTATTGAAAATATTAGTATTTATTGATCATTTTGTCCCGATTAATTAATTTTTTCATAATTGCTTACTGTCCCAGCCCTGTTGCCTCCTCCGCTTTTATTACCTAGCGTTCTCCAGGACTGAGATTGTTCTGTTTCTTTAAAAAATCTGCCCCACTCACTCACAGACTCCTTCCTGCCTCTGTCCTCATGCTCTCCAGTTGTGAACTGACCTTCACACCTCTGTCCCCGTCCACATACTCTGTATAGAGTGCAGCCTGCTCTGTTCACGCTCTTCTCCTCTGTTTCCTATTCACAGCAACTCCCTTCATACGTTTTGTGTCTGTGCAACACCTGATGTAACTTGGACGGAGGGGACCTGATGTTAAAAATGACTCAGATAAAGATAAGAAGTCTAACACACCAAACAAGATAGTTTAATCCGCATTGTTAATGTGTTTCTGTTTGTTTTTTTCTTTGTACAAAGGGCTTTGTTGGCATGAGCTGTGTACAGACGTACGAGCATGTGTACAGATGTGCCTTTGCAGCGACACTACAATTTAAAAACAACACAAAAACAAAAAAAGGGTTATGTGTGTCTGATCCCTCAGAGTGCCAGAATCATTTTACAAGCAAAAATAATTCTGGCAGTCTTCTTTAGTATTATACTATTTTTATATCTATTTGTCTTTTTTTAATTAATTATTTGCATGTTAGCTCTATACAGTAGCGTTCTAATGTATGTTTTAGTTCTTAAATTACTGGTTTATTTTGAAGGAAGAAACTAACCGCAGTATCCTGTTATTCTTAAATATCCTGTACTTCTAAATATTTGTACTTGCTTTCTCCCCGTCTTTTACGTAAATAAATTCCTGAAAGTATTCTCCTGTCTGTCTAGTCCATGCAGTCTTGTTGAGTAGATGAAATGTTACTTATAATGTAGTTTGTAAGTATTTGGACGGTGACGTTGTTTTTGGCACTGTATTTTAAAACTATTTGAAATGGAAAATTGCTAAATTTAATTCAGTCGTCTGTGTGTCCTTCGAAATTCGAAACTTTTCAGTTTTATTCCGGGAAACCAAAAGTTCTTGGACACCTTTTCTTGGCTGATGTGTGTTGTTGCATCATTAGTTAGCAGTAACAAGGGGTCTCGAGTTTATTCGTAAATGCACATAAAAAGGTCATATATTTTCTATATCACTGCTGTCGGAACAAAACCTCGTATCTCCAAAATGGTGACTTTACAGGAGAAGGAAAAAACACACTTTACTTTTAATGTAAGTCAATGGAACCAGACTTCTTTCCAAGTCATTTTGGGCCATTTCTTTTGGTCTATTCATCATGAAATTTACACACAATATAAAGACCAACAGGTATTTTCAAATTATGTCAAAAACTGAAAAACAACAAAAATAGATATACGAGGTTTTGTTCTGCACAACAGCGATATGGTTCCCCCAGCACAGTCGTAAATACTCACAAATTCTACATATCCAGCACTGTGGCCTCTACTGCACCTGACAGGTTCTAGAGATGCGTAATAATATATGGATTTTGGCTCATAATGTCTTAAAATCGAGTGTCAGTCCAACAGAATCTGGCTGATGCAGCTGTATGCAAATGTTTGGGCACCAAATTAGGTTAACAAATTTAACAAATTCCCTGCAGTAGGATCACCAACGCTCCTCCTGGAGATCTGTTGTCCTGCAGAGTTTAGTTCCAAACTAAATCCAACCTTCTGCTGTGTTCCTAACACTAACGCATCTGATCTAGCCAATCACAGACTTCTGAAGACGTTCAGCAGGTGTGGCAGATCGTGGATTGAACTAGATTTTGCTGGAAGGTAGATCTCCAGCACCAGGGCTGATGACCACTGCTCTACAGCGATCACACAAATATGGCATTTATCTGCACGTTTTCATGCAGTTTCTATATTTTGAGTTTAACATATTGGAAAAAGATGGAACATTAAATATATGAAGTGCTACGTTTGCACAGACCACGTTTTATTTTTTTTCCCAGTATTTTAAATTCAGCAAACTAACAGTAACTGTGTGCAGACGTGTGTTCCCTGTAGAGGATGCATTAACTTACACTTAGAAAATCAACTTAATTTCAGCAGGGCTGCACAAACTTTTGCATACGACTGTATTTAATGCTATGATGAAGCTCATCCATTCTAATCTGGAGCGTGCAGACACGTACTGCAGAGGAGAGTAGTTTTTATCCGCTAATAAAAACTTCATAGAAACTTTACAGGGAAAAAAAGCTCTAAATTCATGTTCAAAAAGTGAAAAATCTGAAATACTGATATTAACGAGGGCAGCAGAACGTGGAAAAATACACTATGTGCAAAAGTCCTTCCAGCATTTCTTCTGAAATGAAGGGTGTTAATAGTGAGTTTGTGCTGCAGTAACAGCCTCTACTCTTCTGGGAAGACTTTACACTAGATGTTGGAACATTGCTGTGAGGATTTGATTGAGCATTAGTGAGGTCAGGTACTGATGTTGGATGGTCAGTTCTGGATCTCCAACTCATCCCAAAGGTGTTGGATGGAGCTCCATCACTCCAGAGAACACAGTTCCACTGCTCCACAGCCCAATGCTGGGGGGCTTTATACCCCTCTAGCCCACACTTAGCATTGGACATGGTGACCTTAGGCTCATGTGCTGAATTCACTCATTAGAAGACTGTCTGGATGCTTTTGGATACACAGTATATATCGATTATAGGTGTTACAGGCACTTTCATACGGTTGCAGCCACTGCTCATTACCTGGCAGGCAGAATTTCCTAATTTGCCATTTGAAGGTGAACGTGTGAAAAGGACAGAAACACAGACGAGTAAATGGGTTCCAGTGTATATTTTACTGTATTCAGTAGTTTAAAGGTATCTTGTCCCATTCTGAGCAGTCCACACGGCACAAACCCACAAACCTAACCACAAATACAAATAAATACCAGCTACATAGAAGGGAAACACTTCTTTTTCTATTTCCTCCCTTCACCTTTCTAACCTACACCATCCAGACGATTCTACCCACAGAAAAGGAAGACACATTCACGGTACGCATGACTCGGCAGAACACTGACCAACGCCGCGGAATTTACTTGGTTCAAATGTCTTATCTTTTCTACATAGGAACAGAAAAAATAATTCCTACACACTATACAGAACCATGAACACAAAGAACCCACTGCATGATTAAAGCGTTCTTTGCGTCATGAAATGGTTCTTCAGGTTGATAGGGAATGTGCTGTAGATGGTTCTATAAAGAACCTTTTTCAAAAGGATTCCTTATAGCACCAAAAAGTGTTTTTCTATGGTAACAACCCTGATGTCATAACAATAGAAGAACCCTTTCACCATGCAAAGAACCCTTAATCATGGAAAGCGTTCTTTCAATGTTCATGGTTCTATACAGAACCATTTTCTTTACTAAAGAACCCTTGAAGAACCATCATTTTTAAGAGTCTAAACAGCCATTAAGTGCAAGTTATTCATGTTTCAGGAGATACTTCTGAGATTAGATATCGGATAATCCACTTATAAGGAAAGAGAAAGTCAAAGAAAAGAGTTTCCAAAATGGAGAAAAAAAATGCTTAAATGCTACAGAGAAAATGGGGCTCCTAACAACCACCTGGAAGAGCTGGTCGACCCCAAAACTGCCCCCATCAGATAAACAGCACTTAAAGCTTTCATCTCTGAGAGAGAGGAGAAAATCAAGCTGCTTCAGATCTGAAAACATCCACAGGTGTTTCTGTCCATCCTTCCACTGTGAGAAGACGACTCAGCGCTGTGGGTCTGAAAGGATGTGTAGCTGTTTAAGAAGAACCTCACTGAGAAAAGGAGACGGACACATCGAACAAAGAAGCTGAACGATGGACTGACCACCCCAGAGTCCAGACCTCAACACCACTGAATGTGTCTGATTACTTCAGAAAATGATCAACCAGCTTCTAAGACTGAACTTTGGAGGTGTGTCTGCAGATTCTTTGAGGAGCTGAAAGTGAGTCTCCTGGAAAGAAACTGTAATAAAGGTGAAGAGTGACTCACTGACCACTGAATAATGTTATCGAGGCTGTTAAATATGTTTTGTCTAAACTCCTCCTGAAAAACGAATAACTTGCACTGTTTTGACTGGAAATTAAATAAAAGAAGGGTCTCTGACTTTTACACAGCACATTATATATATATATATATATATATATATATACTCTTGATATATTAACACTAATAATGATAACTATTCATATGGAGATGAGATACACAGTTGAGTCAAGTAAATCCAATGCGTCACTGTTTTCAGTGAACAGCCGCAGTTAGTGAGGCAGCTCTAACGGTGCTAGAGGCAGCAGAACAGAGGCAGAAGCATGGTCACTTAGTTCCTCCACAAAGGCATCATCTAACCTCCATGACAGGTGAGCGTGTACACGTGGCTACAGGAAGAACCTGGCTCACACCAGACCACACCGACAGAAGTGAGGTACTGAATTTACAAATGTTATTTATTTCCACATGAATAAAATGTTGCATCAACACAATTTTGCCTTTCAGTTTACTCAATTTTAGCAATAATCATGTTGACATATTTTATTTTTTTGGGAATGAATAACATTTGAATCGAGTAAATTCAGTGCAGGACCCATATTTATCAAGCTTCTCAGAATATGGTCTAAAATCTGCTCACATCAATTCATGTAATTCTATTAATTGTTACAGACATATGCAAAAGTTTGAACGCCCCTGGTCAAATGACATGTTTTGCTGCTTGAAAAGAAGTGAACACATCCTCTATAGTGAACACATTCATGCACAATTGATATTTATTTGCTGAATTTAATATGTAGGAAAAATTTAAATATAGAATGTGTCACATTTTAGGTTTTATTTTCCCCCAATATGTTCACTTTAGCAAATAAACAGTAACTGTGTATTAAAATGTGCAGCAGTGTGTCTCTGTAGAGGATGTGTTCACTTATTTACACTTAGAAAGTCAACAAAAACAGGTAATCTGACCCAAACCTTTGCACACGACTGTACATATGCTAAATATAATACGATCCCAGATCAGGATGCACACACTAAGTCTGATAAATCTGGGCCCAGGTCAGGTCAGGTCAGGTCAGGTCTAGAGAGCATATTTCGCAAAGCTGGATCTCTCAGATTGACCTACAAGCCACTACAGTGAAACAGGAGAAGAGCTATACTGATCTGAGAAACCATGCTGTGTGAAAATGCCCTACATATACGTCTAACACAGTGTGAGAAGGCCCTTTCACTGTATGCTGCGCAGCTGGTTGTACACGTGCTCCAGAATCTGGGAATAGGCCTGGTCTTTGGGTGCATGGCCACTGAGAGACGCCTGGGAAAGAGAACACATTCAGAGGGTGAGAATTCAGATAATTCAGTGCAGAAGCTCAGAGTTTAGTATAGATATTAATAGATATCGCTGTTGTCGTAAGAAAACTTCGTATCTCCATTTTTGTTGTTTTTCAGTTTTTGACATAATCTGAAAATGCCTGTTTATCTTTACATTGTGTGTAAATTTCATGATGAATGGACCAAAAGAAATGACTCAAAATGACTTGGGAAAACGTCTGGTTCCATTGACTTACATTAAAAGTAAAGTAGGTTTTTTCCTTCTCCTGTAAAGTTACCGTTTTGGAGATACAAGGTTTTCATCTGACAACAGCGATATACTAAAAATAAAAACACTCATTTTATTTTAAAACCAAAGACTGCAAAGTGGCACATCCTCGTGCAAAAGAGTGATCTTATGAAACGGTGCAACTGAACTGTGAATCATACAAAAAGCCTGAACGGCCTCATGTAAAATCTATGTATTATAGGCACTGACAGATGTAGATGTAGTTCACAGAACCCAAGATTACAGATAGAGCATCCTACAGGTTTACTACACAGCGTTTAGTATTTGGATCGCATTAGACTTGCGATATTGTGTGAATATATCGTTGTCCCCCTAGCTATTGCTGATTTGTGACACCTTTCTTCATCACTATTTTCAACGCGACACTATAACACCACACTACCAAGCATGCCTGCTAAAACTGGACAAAACAAACACGCTTTCTGGTCAGAAACTTTGTTAGAAGCCAACTTTGCTCTGGTATGGTTTGGTAGTTTTTGCTCTAGGTTTAATACATAATGTTTTTACAGCCTATAAAAACGACTAAAGCTCACAGCTGTAGCTGTGAATTCTTTGTTGTTTTTAACTGATGTATTCACAGCATAAACATCTTTTAAGTCCCTGTTTGTGTTTCATAAGGGAGGGCGTTGGATGTGCAGAAGGCAGCAGCACAGCTTTATCGACAGTGGGTGGTTTCTACCTCGGACTGCTAAAGAATGTCCTGAAGCCAGAGAATCAGGGCTGATTTCCAGACTTCTGTTTGGTAGTGTATGCAGAAGAGCAGCCATGAGCTACATGCTAATTATAAGCTGAACCGAACTGGCCACGTGGAACCACATTTGCCATGAAACAGCAATAACACACACCGATCAGGCGTAACATTATGACCACCTCCTTGTTTCTACGCTCATTGTCCATTTTATCAGCTCCACTTACTATATAGGTGCACTTTGTAGTTCTACAGTTACAGACTGTAGTCCATCTGTTTCTCTGATACTTTGTTAGCCCCCTTTTACCCTGTTCTTCAGTGGTCAGGACCCCCATGGACCCTCACAGAGCAGGTACTATTTGGGTGGTGGATCATTCTCAGCACTGCAGTAACACTGACGTGGTGGTGTGTTAGTGTGTGTTGTGCTGGTACGAGTGGATCAGACACAGCAGTGCTGCTGGAGTTTTTAAACACTGTGTCCACTCACTGTCCACTCTATTAGACACTCCTACCTTGTCAGTCCACCTTGTAGATGTAAAGTCAGAGACGATAGCTCATCTGCTGCTGCACAGTTTGTGTCATCCTCTAGCCCTTCATCAGTGGTCACAGGACACTGTTGGCTGGATATTTTTGGTTGGTGGACTATTCTCAGTCCAGCAGTGACACTGAGGTGTTTAAAAACTCCAGCAGCACTGCTGTGTCTGATCCACTCAGACCAGCACAACACACACTAACACACCACCACGTCAGTGTTACTGCAGTGCTGAGAATGACCTACCACCCAAATAGTACCTGCTCTGTGAGGGTCCATGGGGGTCCTGACCACTGAAGAACAGGGTAAAAGGGGGCTAACAAAGTATCAGAGAAACAGATGGACTACAGTCTGTAACTGTAGAACTACAAAGTGCACCTATATAGTAAGTGGAGCTGATAAAATGGACAATGAGCGTAGAAACAAGGAGGTGGTCAGAATGTTATGCCTGATCAGTGTATAATACAGCATAACATGCACTGTTATAGATGCAGTAACAACAGGTGGGTGTGGACAGACCTTGATTTTGTCCAGTATTGAGGTATCAGGAGACCACATCTGATTGAAGTTCACCAGGTCAGGAGCCGCCCGATAAAACTCCACCAGCAGCATCTACAGTGACCACACACACACAAAACACACACACAGTGCTGAGCAGACGTCAGAGACCACCCTTCATTTATTTAATATGCAGTCCTGCAGCTGTTAAGTCAAGTTGTTCATATTTTAGGAGATATTTGTGAGGAGATTAGATATCAGATAATCCACTTGCGTAAGGAAGGAGGAAGTCAAAGGAAAATAAATGAAAGCAGTTTTCAAAAGTGGAGCTCAAAAAACTACCTTCTAAGACTGAACTCTGGAGGTGTGTCTGCAGATTTCTTTGTAAAACTGAAAGTGAGTCTCCTGAAAAGAGTGGAAACACTAAATACCGAAAAAATGATATATAGTTGTTGAGGCTTCTGTGTGATTTTCTGTTAAATGTATGTTTTCTGCTTTTTTTTGTACTTAATGTCTGTATGACTCCTCACAGTCTACAAGACAAATATAGCCATGTTATTTACTACCCAAAAACACCAGCAAACCTGCACGAGTCGTCTGAGCTTTTATATGGAATGATGATGATGGTGAAATAGTGGAAAATCTGACATGTATTCCTAAGCCATTAATTGATTAAAAAAAATATATACATTTTAGGCCAAAAGCTTCCCTAAAGCTCTCATAAAACAAAGTCTCAGACATCAAGCAGCGTATTTCTTTTCATGTAGTAACTTTCTGTGAGGGAGCTTTTAGAGGTGGACGTCTGGTTCCTATCACCACCACTGTGAACAGTTCTGACTCTGTAAGTTTCTCTAGAACAGAGCGTTTCACACCAAACCTCTCTGAACGACTCCACTCTGTTTACATTTTAACCCTTTAATTATACTTTTACCCCTTTAAGAAAAAACGTGAAAACCCATTTCCACAGAGTCTGATGGACTATTAACAGACATGGAGGTTACCAGGGGATCAATTTAACCAGGAGTAATGCGTCATTTTGCATCCAGTAATAATTGCATTACTAATCCTGCCTGAATACATGTGAACGTGAATGTGGTGACACCAGTACTTTAATGCAATAACTATTTTTTTAGATTCCAGCTGCTGTCTTTCTTTCTATTTCTTCCGTACCATTTCATTGAGGACGTCTGTAGTGAGGAAGTTGTCTTGGACGTATGTCACCTCCACAGCCACTGGGATGCCGTAGTCGTTCGGCCGTTGCTGAGAGAGAAAGAGAGAGGACTGTATTTCCACACTGATGCTGTCTCTCACATTAGTGTAAGGGAGGCAGAAAGTTTCTGCATTTTGTCTTTGGTGGTTTTTTTTCACAATTCTGAGATGTCAAGATCATGTTAGATACCTCTGGAGGAGGGACCACCCAGAATGGAGTGATGGTTGATGCCACGCCCTGGTTGCCATGGTAATACGGTCCTGTAACAAAAAAAAAGGTAAAGCCTCAACAATCAAACAAGCTTCATTACAACATTGTTCAAAAGAGAAAAACTCTGAAAGTGGAATGACTGAAGTCTTCACCAACAGCAGGTGCAGAAAATGTTACAGGCGCATTTATACTACACAGTTACACTTCTTAAGACCTGTTATTCAGTCACTACCATGACTTATTCAGTATCCACTATGGATTATTCAGTATCTACTAACATTTATTCAGTATCTTCTATGAATTATTAAGTATCTACTATGAATTATTCAGTGGATGCTATTAATGATTCAGTATGCACTATGAATAATTCAGTATCAACTATGAATTATTCAGTATCTACTATGAATTACTGAGTATCCACTATGATTTTTTCAGTATCTACTATGAATTATTCAGTGGATGCTATTAATTATTCAGTATGCACTGTGAATTATTCAGTACCTACTATAAATTATTCAGTATCTACTATGAATTAATCGGTATCCACTATGAATTATTAAGTGTCTACTATGAATTATTCAGTATCTACTATAAATTATTTAGTATGCACTATGAATTATTCAGTATCTGCTATAAATTATTCAGTATCAATTATGAATTATTCAGTATCTACTATGAATGATTCAGTATCTACTATGAATAGGAAGTTGTCTTGGACGTATGTCACCTCCTCTACTATGAATTATTAAGTATCTACAATGAATTATTCAGTACGCACTATGAATTATTCAGTATCTACTATAAATTATTCAGTATCAACTATGAATTATTCAGTACACACTATGAATTATTCAGTATCTACTATAAATTATTCTGTATCAACTATGAATTATTCGCTATCTACTATGAATTATTCAGTATCTCGACCAAACTGCAGTTACTCTTTTTTCACTCTTTGCATCTCCAGTTTGACCAGATCAGATCTGATTGTTTCAGTTTTACTGTTGTTTACGTTTCGCCCTGTTATGAGTCGACAATCTCGGCTTGGAGTCTTTCATCAGCCCACAGTGCATGAAGCCTCTACACACTACACACTTGCATGTCCTCCTTTCGTTCCCTTGCAGCAGACGCATTTCCACCCACACGACTGTATACGGATAACGAAAACGCATTCCGTCTACACTTCTGTTAAATGTGGAAAAAGATCAGTTGAATGTGGTTTGAGTGATCCGGTTGTAATTGGGGTGTTTACACCTGGCTTCACATGCAGTCAAGTGAATTGCAGTTCTGCGGTTTTGAGCGTGAGGAACTAAAGTGTGGATCCACACAGGCACCCTCAGAGGTTAAGTGGTTAAACATGCATATTGCGCATTATTAAAAGCCTCTTTCCTGTCGGTGCGGCCAGAGCGATCTCAGCGGTGCTCTGATTCAGCAGCTGGTGTTTCTCACTTTTCACAGCGAGACGAACTCCTGCTCCAGTTTTTTTTTCAAAGTGGAAAATCCTGTCTCACCGCAGATGATGCCCAGGCAGGGCTGGAAGCCGTTGCTGCTGCCCTGGAGGCGGAGCTGGTGGTCCATCTGTGAATCGATATCCTGTAGAGACGGGAGGGCGGGGCCTCGAGGGTGACTGTGGTACCAGCCCACCAGTGACAGCCCTCGCATGAACAGATTCTGACAAATCTGCAGAGACAGACACAATTATACTGCCTGCAAAGAGGTCTGGAAAAACATTCCTCCTTTACACTGAAATTTTGAATCTTCTCAGTTTTACTTCATGCTGCACTATTAGTTCAATTAAGTTATGCATATACACACATTTTTGACATCATAGTTTTTTTTTCTCTTTGCTTTGGCCTCCTGTCATTCACTGAAAGCAGAGATTTTTGAAAACGCTCTCCAGGGTGGAGATTTTTTGACGGGCAAACTGGAACAAAAGCCTGAAGGTTTACTTTATCATAAAGGAGCTTCATACTATTTCTTTGGCCATATTTATCTTCAACACTCAGCTTCACGTCAAAGTATCTGCCTTGGTATGAAGGGCAGGTTTTGCCTAAATAGAGCAATAACTCATGACAGTGATTTTATTTTGGGTAAGGGGTGCTTCACAGTGAACACGAAGCAGAGTAAACCTTATCCGTAGTAAAATCACTGTAACGTGCGGCACTGAGTGGCTTTTATAGAGCAGCGACAAAATACAATACAGTAAAATGCACATCTGTCGCTGAATGAAAACAACTTTCACTCACACTGCTGTCATTTCACTCACGCTGCTGTCGTATAATCATGAAAATATCAGAGTATAGCAGTGTTTAATGCAAAAGTCTACACCTTATGAGTAGCTCTTCCTTATCAAACTACCACCTCAATGGTAATGCTAGAATCTCTATGTGATTTGCTGTGTTGTGTTAGCATCACACTATCAGTGCCGTGCATTTTCCTGCATTGGTTCTAACACTATCTATGGAGGACATACTAAAAACACTACATTTGAACCTTGTAAGACATTCAAGTAACATATTTCACTTTTTCTTTTACAGCTTCACCATGAATCCTTTAAATTTAATGCCTAACAAAGAATGCCAATACCTGTTAGCTATCTGCTGAGTCGATCAGACTAGTTCTAGTTGTTAAGAAAATACGTGTAAACAGAACCGGGTTCTTATGTGTAACAATGTTTAGAGCCATTTACTTCATACACATGTTCAGTGGTCCGTGCAAAGCAGAACGGTGCATTAATACAGAATTAAACTGTAGTGAGGGGGTCATAGATGTGCGTATATCTGCTCAAACACAGATCAGCCAATCAGATTTTAACAAGTGTATTTGAATAATATGGGTTAATAGCATGAGGCTGTTATATGGGTGATGGGCACACAGAACTGGGCTAAAAACAACTTCAAAAATGAGCTTAAAATGTCCTGGAGATCTGTCCAAATCAAACACACTAGGCTGCAAACCTCCATAAGGCAGATCAGCTGTGTTAGAGAGTTAAGATTAGACTCTACAGGCACTGTTAGACCCCCTGCATTAAACCATAATAAGGTCAGACATGTCCAGGTGTGATATCTGAACTGACCTCTTCCTCCACAGCAGGTGCAGCCTCTCTGTCGGCCAATCGCGTGCGACACGGGAAAGCTCGCAAGACTGTGAGCACTGAGGGAGACAGGAGATGATATTGGGACCATGAGAGGTGTAAACCAAAATAGTGGGGGGTGTTATTTTAAGCCTGTACTGTCTGGATGAAATTCCACATTTCAGTTATAATGCTAAACCTTACAACATGTAAAAACACAATAACAATAGACCTGCATTATTTTAACATTTTGACAAAATGAACTTATGTTGGATAATTTGAACTGGTTCATCCACACACACAATAAAACGTTCCGTGACTGGTTTAGAGGCTTGAGGAAGATAAATAGGGCTGTATAATATATTGTTTATATCATGCAACCCTAGTTATATGGAAAAGTCACTGAGAGGTAAAACCTACGCTGTGTTGTAGTGTCCCATCGGCCTCCGAGATAGCCCACCACCTCGCTCGTGGTCAAATGACAGTGGAAATCCTGAGGAGGAAGATTAGAAAGAGATTGCATTTTAGAATTATTATAATTCTTAAACTGCATTTCTTTCAGTTTCTCATCTTAATATATATTACTGTATATATTCCTTTATGAATTATTGAGCATCTACTCTGAATTTTTGAATATGTACTACGAATTACTTTTTACCTAATATGTATTATTCAGTATCTACTATGTATTATTCGGTAAATACGAATTGAGTAAATACAACTATTAATTATTCAGTATATATAACAAATTATACAATAACTACTGAATTATTAGGTATAGATTATTCAGTATTGACTATGAATTATTCAGTAGCCACTAAGACTTTTTCAGTATCTACTCTGAAATATTTAGTATTTACTATGTAATAGTCAGCGGCTACTACGAATTATCCGGTAACTACTATGAATTAATCAGCATCTACAAAAAATATTCATTAACTACTAATTATTCAGTAGATACTATGAATTATTCAGTAGATACTAAGAATTATTTAGTAACCACGATGAGTTATTTAATATATACTATGCATTATTCTGTATCTACTATAAATTATTCAGTACCTGCTACAAAACCAATGTGTATGTTCTGTAATAGTGAGTGAGGGACTGAAGTGTGGATCCACATACAGATCGTTTAAGGGGTTACAAAGGAACCAAATGCCTAAATACAATTCATTTTCAGGCATATTTAACAAACAAACTGTGCTAAAAAGTAAACAAAAGAGAATGGAGATGAAATCACACAATAACAGCGGAAATATAGTATAACCAGAATATGTTACTGATACTGTATGTTCCTTTCAATCTCTGAATAGGGGCAGTATTTACCATTAGCAGCAGGACGTTGCTGGACACAGCGACGTTAAACGGCTGGAAGCGGTTGATAGCGGAGAAGGCAGACAGCTCCACGAGCGTGTGAGGATCTCTAAAGACAGAAAATTATATATAAATTAAAAAATACATTTTCTTATTATTTGCAAAACAGCCAGAACAACACACCCTGTTCACTCTGGTTCTGGACACTCAGATACGTGGTGCGGTAATAGACGGTATCACAGCCACAGTCAAGCTACACACTGAGATTTAATGCTACACTTGATTGAAGTTTTAAAAAATGATATTAGGCCACTAAAGACCTCAGTAAGAGCCTCTGCACATATTTTAACTCTGCACTTCTAAACTTGCCTGTGTTTTAGCGACTAAACATATTGAAGAACTGAAAGGCAGATTTTTGCTCAAAACACCAAATCAGTAATCAGCATATTTATTGTTTTTTATTTTGCCTTTTTTATTTTGTTTTTTGTGTTTTTTTACTATTGCTTTTGCTTGGATTTTTTTCTTCTTCTTCTTCTTCTTATTATTATTATTATTATTATTATTCTTTTTCTCCTGAAAAATGTGTTGTGGAGAAGAGACCTTAAGCCCTAGAGACACCAAACTTGGTGGGTAGGTGTAGTTTGTGTGCACATAGTCAGGCAACACTCCTGGTCTGGTATTTTGGCTTAAATTTGTTTGGCACACTGTACTTTTCACCATGGTTGCCTATTAGGCCCAATTAGGCTAACATGTGCTTTGACCCGCTCATTGCCGCTTGCGGCTATACTTTATATTGATCTGTGATGCAGTTTTATGACATAAATATGGCGAGGCAGGTAATTACACACACTGTACTGTATTTGAGTGCTGCTGCTACACCTGCACCAAAATGTTGTAGCACTGTCAGGCTGCTTTGGGGAAATACCTGTAACCTGTTACCACTGCATGCTGATGAAGCACAAATCACACATTTATCTGTAAAGCGTGATGTTCTCAGCTAGCAAACAGGCTTTCAGTCAGCACTTCTGCGCAGTTTAGTGGTGTTATTACAGCCTTTATTACAATACTCGACCCTCCTACATCCCTTATAGACATATATGCCTCATAAGTATGTAAGCATATGCCTCATATATGCCTCTTCTTTTATTTTATATAAATAATTTCTCTTGGTAATGAAAACAAGCTGTGAAATTGTGTGGAAAGTGCACATTTTCAATGTTCAACCCACACCGTGTTTGTGTTTGTATGTAAAATAGGAGATATTTTATGATTTTAACTTATTATTTTTGTCTGTACAGACTTGTTTTGCAAAAAGGAAAATATTTTTTACATTTTTGCTGTTTTTAACATTTTTTGACATTGAAACAAACAGAAAAGAGTCAGAAGTGCAGACTTGAGTCTACAGAATGTAAATCAAAAGTAAACGCAATTCATTATGTAACTATACACCGATCAGGCATAACATTCTGACCACCTCCTTGTTTCTACACTCATTGTCCATTTTATCAGCGCCACTTACTATATAGGTGCACTTTGTAGTTCTACAGTTACAGACTGTAGTCCATCTGTTTCTCTGCATACTTTGTTAGCCCCCTTTTACCCTGTTCTTCAGTGGTCAGGACTCCCCCATGGACCCTCACAGAGCAGGTACTATTTGGGTGGTGGATCATTCTCAGCACTGCAGTAACACTGACGTGGTGGTGGTGTGTTAGTGTGTGTTGTGCTGGTACGAGTGGATCAGACACAGCAGTGCTGCTGGAGTTTTTAAACACTGTGTCCACTCACTGTCCACTCTATTAAACACTCCTACCTTGTCAGTCCACCTTGTAGATGTAAAGTCAGAGACAATAGCTCATCTGCTGCTGCACAGTTTGTGTTGGTCATCCTCTAGTCCTTCATCAGTGCCCACAGGACGCTGTTGGCTGGATATTTTTGGTTGGTGGACTATTCTCAGTCCAGCAGTGACACTGAGGTGATTAAAACCTCCAGCAGCACTGCTGTGTCTGATCCACTCAGACCAGCGCAACACACACTAAAAGACCACCCCCACGTCAGTGTCACTGCAGTGCTGAGAATGATCCACCACCCAAATAGTACCTGCTCTGTGAGGGTCCATGGGGGTCCTGACCACTGAAGAACAGGGTAAAAGGGGGCTAACAAAGTATCAGAGAAACAGATGGACTACAGTCTGTAACTGTAGAACTACAAAGTGCACCTATATAGTAAGTGGAGCTGATAAAATGGACAATGAGTGTAGAAACAAGGAGGTGGTCATAGTGTTATGCCTGATCAGTGTACATATATGTGTACGTATTCCAGTGTATAGAGAAACAGCGTTAATATCTCTAATGGTTAACTATTACCACACCTCATATTTCATGTTTGTTACCTGGCCACGTCTCTGGTCCCGAGTGTACAGTATCTGACAGGGATTCTCTCTCGGTCTCCTCTCTTCTGCACCGCACTGATGTCTGTCACACATTAACAGACCAGCATCCTATTAGTGATCACTCTCACACACAGTCCCCTTCACATAAACCTGCCTTTCTGCCTTTAGTGCACACTTCACTCTCTGATACGGGATGAAACTGAGGCTTTTTTATGTGTGTGTATGTGACACAGCAGCGGCCCACCGTGCAGTTCTGTTTTGGACTTCCTGTTTTTCTCCTCCGCCGGAACAGCCGTCTTCCCTTCCTCCTCTTCGTCATCGCCCATCTCATCTTCCTCTCCCTCACTGGCCAGGCTCTGAAACCACAGAGACAGAAGAAGGTGGTCAGCCGTCAGTATGGTTAAACATGCTTTCAGTAAGTTTCCCAGATCATCATGAACACGCCTTCAAACGCCTCATCCTACATTAACCCTGGATCACAAACACCACTCCAGTTCATCCCATTTATTTATTTATTTATTTGAATTGTACACATATAAATGTTTACATATATTAAGATGTAAACAAAGCCATTCAGAGTGGTTTGGTGTGATACGTTCTGTTCTAGAGAAACTTACAGAGTCAGAATTGCTCACAGTGGTGGTGATAGGAACCAGACGTCCACCTCTAAAAGCTCCCTCACAGAAAGTTACTACATGAAATGGCTATGAATTTTTGTTTTGCTACAATATATATATGCTGGCCTTAAACCTGCTTTTTAAAATCAATTTTTGGTGGAGGGATACATGCAGGGTGTCGTGAGGCAAAATAGTCCCCAAAGAAAATTACTCTTTTTAGATTTCCCACTATTTTCCCATCATCAACATTCCATATAAACTCAGAAGACTCGTGTAGGTTCACTGGTGGTTCTGGATAGTAAATAAAATGTCTATATCTGTGTTGTAGTCATGGCGACCCCTGGTTCCTATCAACACCACTGTAAAGACATCTGAACCATTTCACACCAAACCACTCTGAGTCACTCTGTTTACACCTCAAACACTGACCTATGCAGAAATTCTGAAAATTCTGGTGGAATTCCACTTTATCACCTAGAGAGCATGTTTGAAAACAGTGTTTCATTTAACCTCGACTGTGGGGTGTAGAAAGGCTGCCAAGGCCAGACGAGTGTTGTTACAGTCTGAGTCTGGACGTTTGTTTATTTTGGCTTCCTAGCATTTCTACAGTATCTCACAAAAGGCTGGTAAAGGAGGAATTTAGAAAAAGATGCTTTGAATGACGATTCTGAAAGCGTGAATTTATCATATTTACAATATTGCTATCTGTAGAGACTCACTGTTGGAACACTGGACCTCATTCTTCTTAAAGACTCTGACATTCACCAATGTTTTCTAATTTGGGATTTGTTCTTAGGTAAGAACAGATTCTACACATTCAAGAGCACAAAGGTGAGAACAAATCACACATTTATCTGTAAAGCGTGATGTTCTTGGCCTTTAGTCAGCACTGTGCAGTATAGTGGTGTTATTACAGCCTTTATTACAATACTCGACCCTCCTACATCCCTAATAGACATACATGCTTATTAGCATGTAAGCATATGCCTTATATATGTCTGTTCTTATATTTTTTGTTTGTGTTTGTAAGTAAAAGAGGATTTTTTATTTCTTAATAACTTATTAAAGTTATTGTTGTCTGTACAGTCTTGTGTTGCAAATAGAAAAAAACTATTTTTTTACATTTTTGCTGGTTTTCTCATTTTTTTGACCCTGAAACAAACAGAAAAGACTCAGAAGTGCAGACTCGAGTCTGTCCACACAGAATGTAAATCAACTGTCAAATGTAATTCATTATGTAACTATACATTTATGTAATTAAGAACAAATATTTATGTCATGTGAATACAGTGTATAGAGAAACATCAATAACTTACTTAACTATTGCCACACCTCATATTTCATGTCTGTAGCCTGGCCACGCCTCTGGTCCCAAGCGTGCAGCATCAAAACAAGCACAAGCAACTCAACTGCTAATTCGGTTTACTGACTGAAAGAACTGTGTTGTTATAACACATTTTACTGATGTGTAACAATCATGTAAATTCAAAGCACCATATGTTTCTGTGCAGATATTATAAGTCCTGCTTGTTTAGTTCATGCTCTGCTTGTTTTTATCGTGCTGTGTTTTTCTCTCACCATATCTGCGCTGGGCTGGTACTTGCGGAGCCAGCTGGTTTTGTACTGGACCAGTTTTTCTCCGCGGTAGCGCACCGATGCCCAGCCGCAGCCGGACTTTTTGGCTGGATTGACCAGCCGCTTGCAATGTGTGGCCCAGGCGCTCGGAGAGTTGAAGATTTGCCCTGTTTCCACCCAGCGGATTTTTCCATCTGTCAGTAAATCACCCACAAAATTCTTCCCCTGGAGAGAGAGAGAGAGAGAGGGAGAGGGAGAGAGAGGGAGAGGGAGAGGGAGAGAGAGGGAGAGAGAGAGGGAGAGAGAGAAGAGAGAGAGAGAGAGAAGAGAGAGAGAGAGAAAGAGACAGAGAGAGAGAGAGAGAGAGGGAGAGAGAGAGAGAGAGAGAGAGAGAGAGAGAGAGGGAGAGAAGAGAGAGAAAGAAGAGAGAAAGAGAGAGAGGGAGAGAGAGACAGAGAGAGAGAGAGGAGAAAGAGAGAGAGAGGTCAGGGCTGCAGAAGTGAAGAAGATAATAACAGAGTAGGAAATGGGAGAAGCTCTAGGAATCACTTATAATATTCAATGTAATCATTCATTTATAAGCACAAGCAAATAACCTTTACATGTCAGATTTAGCCCCTCTTTAGCCCCTCTAGACCCCCACTGACTTCTACACCACAAAACACCTTTTCTAACAGTTTGAGTCACTGTTTGTCAATGGAGAAGCTCTAAGCTTTCAGTCCATACCACTCAAACCTGTCCATACAGAACATAAATCGATTGCAAATATCATTTATTAAGTAACTATGTAATTAAAAATGTAATTACATTTAATTAATTTTGTACTGCATAACAAAACGACAACTCCAGACTTCAAAGGCTTTAAAAGAGCAATAAAGAGACTCACAACTACCCGAAAGGTTAAATCAGGTGTTTTTGATCAGGGAAAACACTAAACTCCCCTGGGCCGAGGCTCTGGAAACCCCTTTACTACATCAGTTTCTCATGTTCTCTGTATAGAGTATTCCTGAATATTATCTGTGTAAACGTGACGTCCTACAGGTTCACTAACTTGGCTTGCTCTATTTCGTTGTTTTTACACCAACCCCCACCTCCAAAGCCAAATCCCACCCTCTAGCTAGGTGGTCCTACTAAGCTGGAAGGGTGAAGGCCAGCACGCTCTTCCTCCAAGTCACATGAAGCTCCACATCTTCTCAAACAGCTGCTAACATCATTGTACGGCTGAAGGATCACATTCGAGGAAGTACACTAACAGCTAAGCCTGTTACGTCAGCTGTCAGGTGCCTGTGTTGGCTAGCATCACGCTGAGTGATGTAGGGAGAGGGAGGACCACCCTACCCACCCAGAGAGAGAGAGAAAGTGAGAGAGAGGACAGTTATGCTCTCTTGGACTCATGGACACGGTTGGAGGTGGAATCACTGTGGATTAAACTCATGATTTTCGCCACAAGTCAGTGTGTTTAATTTCTGCCCTGCTAAATCTGCCCCAGTCAACTGTAAAGGCTATTACAGTGGAATGGAAGCCTCTTGGAGGCTCAGCCATAAAGCGGTAGACCACGTAAGCTCTCAGGGTCCCAAGTGATGAAGCACTGTGGCTTGTAAAAATGGTCTATCCTCTGCTGAATCGCTCACTACGAGTTCCAAACTACCTCTGGAGCAACTTCAGCACAAGAACTGAGCATCAGGAGCTTCACTAATGGCTTTCAGCAGCTGAGCAGCTGCACACAAGCCTAAGATCACTATGCACAATGCCAAGTGTCGGCTGGAGTGGTGTAAAGCACACTGACACTGGACTGGGGCAGTGGAAAAATGTTATCTGGCCGTCTGAAGGATGAATATGGGCTTGCTGGACGGCAGGAGAACACTACGTACCCATAGAATTTCATAATTTTCTCAAAAGTAATTTTTGGACTCTTTGTATTGATTTATTTATCATGAGAAAAAAAAGTTTTAACAGCAACAAAATATACAAACACAAAGAACTGAGACTGGACTTCACTTGGCCCTTAAATGGCCAGGTCACGGCTTGTTGTTGCTCGATGTTGTCAAGTCACGGCTTCTATTCCTCGCTCCAAAACTTAAGAATAGCTTGGTTCGCACTGTTTTGCGTGTAATTACTGAATGATAAGTTTCGGGATGTACTACGCCTGAGAATATCAGGGGTTAAATCCATTTTTTATGAACAGGCGGTCAGCAGTACCAGGTAGTGAATGGACAGAACTCCGTCTCCAGGCTCCACCAGGCCGTCCTTCAGTAACACTCTGAGCGTGATGCCCCTGCGGGTCAGAACGGACCCCCGTCCTGCAGACGTTCTGAGCTCAGCATCCTCTCCTCCGCTCAGTTCTTCATCCTCCTCATCACCTCCCTCCTCCACCACCTGAGGAGACGAAGGCGGCTCTGAACCTGAGGGAGAACGAACACAGACACAGACACGCGTGAAGCTGGACACTCACATTATCCTGGTTACAGATTACAGTCTTTCACATTAGAGACACTATATGTCACTATATATATATATATGGGTGGTCCTTCTAATGAGTGAATGTAGGTCCACCCACTGCTGATACAGCCATTCAGTTGTGCCATGTCCAATGCCAAGAGTGGGCTAGAGGGTCTAAAGCCCCCCAGCACTGGGCTGTGGAACATTAGAACTGTGTTCTCTGGATAATGGAGCTCCATCCAATGCCTTTGGGATGAGTTGGAGATCCAGAACTGACCATCCAACATCACCTGACCTCACTAATGCTCAATCAAATCCTCATAGCAATGTTCCAACATCTAGTGTAAATCCTTCCCAGAAGAGTAGAGGCTGTTACTGCAGCACAAGCTCACTATTAATACCAGGGCTGTCGCTATTGAGTAAATTAGTAATTGATGTTGTAATCTAAACTATTATTTTTATTATTATTACATTTAATCGTATAAACATGTGAGCACATTTAAAACAGCGAACATTAAATTAGACTTTACATACATAAAATGTGTAACAACAAATATACATGCATTTGCGAGCTCCTGCTGGTGTGGGTTTCCTCTCAAAAGCAATCTGAGTGCTAACAGCACCCCCTCTGTTCATTTTTTAAGCGAGTACTCGATTTTAATCAAGTAATCACGACAGCCCTAATTAATACTCATCATTTTCAGACGAAATGCTGGACGAGCAGGTGTCTACAAACTTTTGGACATACTACATTCTACAGAAACGTCCATGTTTGTGTCCCTAGCGTTTACAGATATATTACACTTAAAAACATGTTCGGGTTACAATTTATTTATATTTTAAAATAAAACAATACGTTATTTTAACAATTACACCTTCCTGAGCCTCAATTTAGCAAGATTGTTTTTTAAATCAATCATATAGAATTCCAAGCACCACAGAAGAGCTCGTCCCCACAGTCAGGTGTGAAGGCTGAGGCCATATTTTGAAGAAAGAAAACACATTTTTCTGCAATTTTAACTACAATAATCTATACATGACTATGGAATATATGAATAAAATGGCATAAAGAAAACAAATAAATATTATAAAATATATAATGAATGTTGTCCCCGGGAGTCGTGTCACTGGTGTTACTGCATAACAAAAAATCTCTTATTTTAAAATAAAAGTCACACTGATGACACACTCGACTTCCTTTTACCTGTTTTCTGAGGATCTATGAAGAAAAGCACATGGTGAGTCCACTGTGTCTTTCAGTTATCAGAGATTTTCTCATTTAGCTCATGATTTCATATGAAGCTTTTAGCTGAAGTCACTGGTGTGACCGACTTTATTCTGAGGTATTTGTGAAAAAATAGAACACAAATGGTTTAAATTACATATTTTAGTGGATGTTCCATGATTGACATCATGTGGTTTGATGCTCTGTAGCAGTTATTTAGTAAAATGCATTGTTCATTAAAAATGTCTCTGGTGTTCCTTTATTATGTGTAACACCAATGATGACCAGTAACACCAGTGACTCCTATGGAGAGACCGAAAGGTGTCTGTTTCTGCAGAATGACCCACAGTCTGGTGTGAACGGGCCGAGCCTCCGTGCTGTGAAGTGTGTGAGAGCAGCAAATGTTGTGAAAATTAAGAATGACTCAACAGGAAAGCCACAAATGGAGTCGGAGATTAGCGGAGCAGACCTGCAGCTGTACTGATTTTAAGAAGCAGACGCTGCAAAATGCAAACTGCTCTATAAAAGTGCACTGAAAAACCCCCAAATACGGGGTTCACATGAATAAACTGTGCTCCATCAGCTCAGCTGCCGTCTTCCTCTTATTTATTCATTTAACAACAATAAACAGATGAACAACACGCAAAATAAGCAAATACATAATAATAAAAACAACCGTATTCTACATTCTAAGAAGATAAAAAATAATAATTACAGGATGAAATGTTCAAAAAGTGACATTTTTCATTTGCCTCACTCTGTAGCCAACACATCTGACTCACGTGCACTGGCACATCTGCCTGCATATTAAAAGTGCATAAAAGTGGAAGCTTCAAAGTGTAAACAAAAAAACAAGAAAACCAGTGGTTTGGAAGTTTGGAAGTTGAGACCGGGCTACTTTGTGGTCTGACCCCTGCTGTGTGGACGCGTCTGGTCACGATGGCTGCTAACTTTGCTCAGGTGCAGAATAATGCCTTTATTTCTTAACGCGGACCGGAATGAAACCCCTAATAAAATCACTGAGCGCGCGCCGATGGGCTTTTTGTTTGGAGATCCGTGGTGCCATCTTTGTTCTTCTTCCCTGTTCTGGCTACTCCTCGCCTCGCGCGGCCTGCTGATTATTAATTTCATCCGGTCATTAGAAGACAGAAAGGAAACAAAATCACTGTTTGTCTTTTAATTCTCACCCATCGTCTCCCGCGAGCCGTCGGCCGGCGCTTGTACTTGTAAGAGCTCCACGGCTGAGACGCTCTGTTTCGGCCACTTTGGTCAGCGCAGCCGCTGCTTTTGGGGCTTTATTTTTGCGAGAACACTTCGCTGAGCTAGCCAGCAGGCTATTATTCAAAAGCATCAAATGCAGGCGTGTGTGTGTGTGCGTGTGTGTGTGTGTGTGTGTGTGTGTGTGTGGAGTTTCCTTGTTGTGTTAGTGTTGCTTTAATGTCACTCTCCTCCCCTTTTCTCCCTCTGCCCGTCCTTGTCATTCTCTCCTCGGCACACTGTCGCTGCTTATGCGTCTTCACGGCTGTGTTTAAGCCCTTTTGCGTTGACCAGCCCCACTTAAGGGTGGACACTACGTTCTTGTAAGATAAAAGTGTGAAGCAGATTTAGGATACTGTGTTGTGGTTTCTCGCTAGCGCCGTTTTTGTCCCCCCTTCCTTTCCGGTGGTCAAATGAGCAGCCGGACAGGAGCGATTAGTAGAGGAATTACGGTAATGCTGCCAACACGAGTGCGTCCGCTAGAGGGCGACAAAGCAGCGCATTTTATATAGTATTTACCACAAAAAGGCAGAAGTACGAACTGGACTTAAAGGGCCAAACTGTCAAAAATGTCTGTTTAACGCAGTGTTTGAGATGTAAACGGAGTGATTCAGAGTGGTTTGGTGTGAAATGGTTCAGATGTCTTTACAGTGGTGGTGATAGGAACCAGGGGTCGCCATGACTACAACACAAATATAGACATTTTATTTACTATCCAGAACCACCAGTGAACCGACACGAGTCTTCTGGGTTTATATGGAATGTAGATGATGGGAAAATAGTGGAAAATCTGGGAAAAAGAAAGTTTTTTGGGGGGACTATTTTGCCTCACGACACCCTGCATGTATCCCTCCACCATGAACTGAGTTTAAATATATGTTTCAGGCCAAAAAACTATCATAAAACAGTGTCTCAGTCATCAGGCAGTGAATTCATAACCATTTCATGTAGTAACTTTCTGTGAGGGAGCTTTTAGAGGTGGACGTCTGGTTCCTATCACCACCACTGTGAACAGTTCTGACTCAGTAAGTTTCTCTAGAACAGAGCGTTTCACACCAAACCACTCTGAACGGCTTTGTTTACATCTTAATATATGTAAATATTTATATATGTACATTTCAAATAAATAAATAAATAAATGGGATGAACTGGAGTGGTGTTTGTGATCCAGGGTTAATGCAGAATGAGGTGTTTGAAGGCGTGTTCGTCATGGGGATCTGGGAAACTTCCTGAAAGCATGTTTAACCATACTGACGGCTGATCACGTTCTTCTGTCTCTGTGGTTTCAGGGCCTGGCCAGTGAGGGAGAGGAAGATGAGATGGGCGATTGTAAAATAATGTAGGCAGTGTATTAATAACCATGCCATCTCATAACTTTCTGTGATAAATCTCAGGAGTTGAGTGTGGCCTGTGCACATAAATAGAAATAGTGTACTAAACTTCGCAGAGAAATTACACTCAGTTCAACTGAATACTAAAATATAGCTCATCTATGTTTTTTTCACCGGGAAAGGTTTTAGGATTAGCCTGAATTTGCATATGAGATACTTATAAGTGACCAAGATCACTGTGGCATCAGTGTGGTCAGTTAACTCTACAGTAAAAGGATTGTTATGAGTGAATGGCCAGCTCATTTAGTCCACAGCTCGTCTGAACTCATCTGTAAACTAGCCTTCGCTGAATTCGGTAGTAGCTGAACAGGGCCTGGCCGATGTGATACAACTGAAAACATCAGCCAATATTATGTTAGTTAAACACTGCTGTGATTGGATCCAGTGCTGCTGGAGTTTTTAAACACTGTGTTCACTCACTGTCCACTCTATTAGACACTCCTACCTTGTCAGTCCACCTTGTAGATGTAAAGTCAGAGACGATAGCTCATCTGCTGCTGCACAGTTTGTGTTGGTCATCCTCTAGTCCTTCATCAGTGGTCACAGGACGCTGCCCACAGGACGCTGTTGGTTGGATGTTTTTGGTTGGTGGACTATTCTCAGTCCAGCAGTGACACTGAGGTGTTTAAAAACTCCAGCAGCACTGCTGTGTCTGATCCACTCAGACCAGCACAACACACACTAACACACCACCACCACGTCAGTGTTACTGCAGTGCTGAGAATGATCCACCACCCAAATAGTACCTGCTCTGTCAGGGTCCATGGGGGTCCTGACCATAGAAGAACAGGGTAAAAGGGGGCTAACAAAGTATCAGAGAAACAGATGGACTACAGTCTGTAACTGTAGAACTACAAAGTGCACCTATATAGTAAGTGGAGCTGATAAAATGGACAATGAGTGTAGAAACAAGGAGGTGGTCATAATGTTACGCCTGATCAGTGTGTGTGTGTGTGTGTGTGTGTAATTTTGTCCACTTGGTTTACATCCGGTTTTCTAATAACTAAAATCATCAGTCAATTTGAGGAAGTCTATTTTTCTTACCCATCTGTGTCTCATAAAGCCACGCCCTCCTGCGCTCGGATTGGCTAGAAGTTCATTCTCTAAACTAGTAAAAACAACAGCCAATCGCATCACGCCAGAGGGGCGTGACTAGAGCTTTGCGTCACTGCCCACCGCCGCCTGACTCACCTGCGGTAAGAAAAGTCAGTTCAGTGCAGAGCAGCTCACACTCACGCGCGCAGGAGCTACAGACGAGTTCCTCCACCCAGAACCACACAGAACCTACAGAACCACACAGAGCTGCTCAGAACCTACAGAGCCACGCAGCGCTGAGGCTGGTTAGCATGTGATGCTCAGCGCAGCGTTTGTTTTCCTGGACATTCAGCAGTGAAGTTACAGAAGAGCAGTGGTCAGGTCAGATGGCGTCCCCCAGGAGAGCCGGACGCCCAAAATCTCAGCTGCCCACCTGCTATCACGAGGGCTTCCTGGAGAAGAGGTCGGTTAAAGACAAGGTGAGTGTGTGTTACGCTCTGATCTGAAACCACTGATTCACAGAACAGAGCTCTGTTAATACTGTAGGTATTAATATTAATATTAATATTAATAAATATTAACGGTCATATCAAACACACGTCATTGTTTATTCTTCACTATTCAGCTCTGGTCACATGTAAATAGTTCAAATTACTCAGTTCCAAATACATTCTTATAAAATATGGTTCTTCAAGGGTTCTTTAGCGAAGAACATGGAGCTATATAGAACCATGAACACTCAAAGAACCCTTCGCATGAATAAAGCGTTCTTCGGATTGATGGAGAATGTGTTGTGTGTGGTTCTATATAGAAATATAGGGTTCTCCTGTTGTTACATTGTCCAGTATGTAAGAAGAACCTTTTGGGTGCCACATGGAACCCTTTTCAAAAAAGTTCTACACTCTTAAAAAAGACAAGGGTTCAAGCGTTCTTTAGTAAAGAAAATGGTTCTATATTGAACCATGAACACCCAAAGAACCCTTTGCATGATTAAAGGGTTCTTTGCATCATGAAATGGTTCTCCAGATTGATGGAGAATGTGTTGTGTATGGTTCTATATAGAACCTTTTTGAAAATTTTCCGATGTAGCAAAGAAAGAGTTCTTCTATAGGTACGATGTCAGGCTTGTAAGAAGAACCTTTTTTGTTGCTGTGTAGAACCCTTTTGAAAAACGTTCTAAACTCTTAAAAGAGATGGTTCTTCAAAGGAATATTGTTCTGTATAGAACCATGAACACTCAGAGAACCCTTTGCATGATTAAAAGATTCTTTGCACCGTGAAGTGGTTCTTCAGATTGATGGAGAATGTGCTGTGTAGGGTTCTATATAGAACGTTTTTGAAAAGGGTTCGATATAGCACCAAAAAGGGTTCTCCTATCGTTACAATGTGCAGCTTGTAAGAAGAACCTTTTTTCATGGTAAATAGAACCCTTTTCAAAAACGTTCTGCACTCTTAAAAGAGACGGTTCTTCAAAGGAATACTGTTTCATAAAGAACCACGAACATTCAAAGAACCCTTTGCATGATTAAAGGGTTCTTTGCATCATGAAGTGGTTCTTCAGATTGATGGAGAATGTGCTGTGTATGGTTCTGTTGTTACAATGTCCAGCTTGTAAAAAGAACCTTTTTTGATGGTAAATAGAACCCTTTTCAAAAACGTTCTGCACTCTTAAAAGAGACGGTTCTTCAAAGGAATATTGTTTTGAAAAGGGTTCAACATAGCACCAAAAGGTGTTATACTATTGTTACGACATCAGGCTTGAGAGAAGAACCCTTTTCAAAACAATATTCCTTTTTCTAGTAAGGAAAAAGGTTCTATAAAGAACCATGAACACTCAAAGAACCCTTTGCATGATTAAAAGGTTCTTTGCATTGTTAAAGTGTTCTTCAGATTGATGGAGAGTGTGTTTTATGTGGTTTTATATAGAACCTTTTTGAAAAGGGTTCTATACAGCACCAGAAAGGTTCTTCTGTTGTTACAGGCTTGACATCATTGTATGATTTACTGGCTTTCACTTTGCCCTCCTCTTCTCTTAGTTGGGAAACCACACTTACTCTACACACTTAAAAAAGATGGTTCTTCAAGGGTTCTTTAGTAAAGACAATGGCGCTATACAGAACCATGAACACTCAAAGAACCCATTGCATGCTTAAATGGTTCTTTTCATGGTGAACTTGTTCTTCAGATTGAGAATGTGTGGTATATGGTTCTATAAAGTACCTTTTCTGTACTATATAGAGTACCAAAAAGGTACCAAATAGAGTTCTGCATAGCACCAAAAAATGTTCTTCTAAAGGTGCTCTATAGAACCATACACAACTCATTCTCCATCAATCTGAAGAACAGTTTAACAATGCAAAGAACCGTTTAGTCATGCAAAGGTTTCTTTGAGTATTTGTGGTTTATATAGAAGCATTGTCTTTACTACAGAACCCTTGAAGAACCATCATTTTTAAGAGTGTAGATTTTCATAGATACTAATAAGTGACCAAAGTCCCATCGGCGTCAGTGTGGGTCAGTAAACTGTACAGGTTTATAGACCTTGTCTGTAATACTGGCCTTCTGTGAGTCCAACTGAAGCTGAATGGGGCCTGACCGATATGTTTTTGGGGCTGATATCGATTTTATAGGGCTAAAAATTCTGATAACTAATAATATCAGCTGATACTTTGTTAGTTAAACAGTGTTATGACTCTCAGTTCTCCGCTGTGTTGAATATGACTGTTCTCAAAGGTCACGTTATTAAAACTTAATAAACAGCAGAAACTCTTAAAGGGTCCATTTCATGGAAAACTATATCTCACTGCTGTCAGAACAAAACCTCGTATCTCCATTTTTGTCATTTTTCAGTTTTTGACATAATTTGAAAATACCTGTTGCTCTTTAAATTGTGTGTAAATTTCATGATGAATGGACCAAAAGAAATGGCCCAAAATGACTTGGAAAAACGTCTGGTTCCATTGACTTACATTAAAAGTACAGTATGTTTTTTCCTTCTCCTGTAAAGTTGCCATTTTGGAGATACGAGGTTCTTCCAACAACAGCGACATGTAAATGTTATGTCTGTCTATTCAGCCTATGGCATTCTGTTCAGGTCTATTCAGCCCCTCCCAATCCAATACAATAAGAGATGTAAGATCCATTTAAATGATATAATAATAGTTTCTTTTAATTACGATTTTTTCTGATTTGAGATAGCACAGTACCACATTTTCTCATCCGATACCGATATTGATGTTGAAACCTGGAGTAACGTCCAATATTTGTATCGAATCAGTGCCGTCTGTAGTTCTCTTCATAATTATAACATTTTTATTCTTATTCTAGATGTTAATAGTTCAGCTTGTATTATGTATGTAGATACAAAGGAGGTGACCTTATTGGGTCTCCCAGTGGCCAATACCAATAAAACTGAAAGCCTTCAATATCGGCTGATATAATCAGTCAACCAGTATATCAGTTGTGCTTTAGCTGAGTGAGTCAACAGGTTCGATATGTTTTAGAGCAGATTATGAGTGACTGTAGTTGAGCTATGCTGCTCATTACATCTTGAACAATGACAAGATTTACATGAATCAAATAAGTCAGTCGGTAACATTCGAATAAAATATGTTACATCAACACAGTTGACTGAAAATAATGATTGACAAAGCATCATATTGTTTCTGTATAGTCACCAAAAATGTTGAGCCCCTTCGAGAGCAGCATTTCTGTTTGCATAATGCATCACAGAAGGAAGAGGCCAGGAAATTATAGACGAGGAGTTTTATCATCCGCTGGACTGGAAACCAAACTGGGTGTGACCTGCATGAACACTTCGGTTGAACTTTGAGAAACAAACAGGTAGATTAGATTAGACTAGTCCAGGTGACACACCGGCAGAAATGCAGGAGTTTCTCTGCTGGGCCGGTTCCACCACAGATTACTAGAAAGTGACCAGGCACTTCCCACCAGTGCTCTTTAGCAATATGTACTGGACACCATTCACTGTAATGGCTGTGTATCAGGAATATCCAAAGGGCCACTGTAGAGCTGGACGCTACTGAAATTCAGTATTGGTGGTGTCACATATTTGTTAGCATTAATAAAGTCAATAAACCAAAGTCAAAGCTTACATTCTCAGATTAGCTACATCTCAAGGCTGTAATAGTTCAGTAAATACTTGGAAAACAATGATATATTCTTAAGTAGTAGGACTGAGTAGAGGGAGTCTGCGCCCGCCAGCATGTGTTGATGTTGATACTAATACATAACCATTTATAGAATGTAGAAATCGGGACTGTATGTACCTGAATTAGCACTGCAAAGAAAAATAAGTTATTTGGTTAGAGGGTTTCATATCGTCACTCTCCAAAAAAACTACAAAAACTACAATATCTCCAAAATGTTGAGTTTACAGGAGAGAGCAAAAACGGGCTTTACTTTCAATGTAAGTAAATGTTAAGAGATTTTATTCCAAGCAATTGAATTCATACAATGTGAAGGGCAGCTGCTGTTCTCAAATGGTGTGGAAAAAAATACCTGAAAAAAGCGATGAAATGCAACAAAATGAATAAAGTACAGATATTTAGTGCAGTAATACAGCATCAGTTTGGAATATCAGTGAAGACTAAACATTCGTCCGATGCCGATCGATTGTCTACCAATACAGAAATGATTCTGATATCGTTCTATACATCCCTAAAAATCAGAGGTAACAAACACAAACCAAAACTGCGTAGAGTTCTAGGTAGCTCAACTTCCAGAACAGAAGCTATAAAACTTTATTTTGTTTGACATCTAAGACATTAATATATATAATGCTGTCAGCCAGCATTCAGTTTTCTGAGTTTTTGGCCTCTTTATAAATGATATCATATTATTGAGTGTGTTTACATGCACTTAATAATCCGATAACTACTAATGGGGAAACTCCAGGTCTACATGAGTCAGACAGTAATCAGATTTCTGCTTTTCAAGCAGCCAATAAACTCACAGAAGAAGTGACGTAAACGTAACGTAAAACTCAAACTTCATGCCGCGTTTTCTTTTTAAACATCACCACTTTACCTGAAAATATGAACAAACATCATCTAGAAGATGATGAATATTCACAACCTTTATTTCGTGTTTGGTTGCAGCGCCGCTCCAAGTGTTGCTGCGTCTCGTGACATCCACCGTCCGATCTCGTGCATGCGCAGACAGAAATCCGAAAGAAATCAGAGTAAGAGTTTACGTGCACTGAGAAATCTGATTACTGAGCTAAAATCCAGCCTCTTTATCGTATTTCTTAATCGGATTTCTAGATTGGAGTGTTTACATGACCATCTGAATAATCGGATAACTGCAGAAATCTGATTATGATCGGATTATTGAGTGCATGTATACGCACTCACTGATTGCCACAAAATGTTCTGATAACCTGCAGCTTGTAGTCTATGATGAACGATCTTGTGAATGATTCACTGAACTTATCTATATTGCGCTGTAGGTCACCATGAAGGTTCCTCCAGTATATCACTCCAACTCTGAAGGCCCAAAAGTACACAAAGAACATGCAGCCTGTGAATTCTTGCTGGGCCAATGTTTAACATGAGTAATTACAGTAAGGCGCACTGCTCGTAAGGAAGTTGTGAATGTAGTGGTGCCGCGCGACTGTTATGAGAAAAGCATCTGTCGCAATTTAGGGCGAAGGCTCTGGACTTTGCTTTCCAGAGCAGTGACATCAACAAGAACTGGTTTAACAGCTTCCCCCGCCCCCTCCACACACACACACACACACACACACACACACACACACACACACACACACACACACTGCTTTACATAGCTGAGTGATTAGAAGAGTCGGATGTCTGAGATTTTTATTGTTCATTCATTTCCATATAAAATGCCTTAAAACATTCTTTTAAGAGAATTGTAAGACGATACATCGGTTGAGGGGAGGAGATAAAAGAGAACGCAAAGTAGAGCATAGATACGGGCACATTCACGTACCTACACATTATCTCCAGATGTTTACGAAGGTATAAACCCTTGTTGGGGTCTGTGGGACTCATTTTCAATGTTTACCAAAAGAAGAAATGATGTGATTTATTATTATTTCAACCTCAGATTCTTGGTCTTTGCTCATTTTCTGTGAAGAACATATAAAATAACCCATTTTCAGTGTCTTCACTCTGTTCACCCCTCACACATTTATACTACACATGTGGTGTTGGGTGAACCTGCGGGGAGTAAAAGTGTGGAGGTGCTGTGTCCTTCACTCTGTTCTCCTCCTACATGGGCTGCTGTTAGTGTGTGTGTGTGTTTGTATATGTGTGTGTGTGTGTGTGCGTGTGGACAACATGGACAGGCTGCTGACTGGCTACAGCTGCTAAAGGAGAACCCTGCACTGGACACTCGTGATATTTTAAACATCTGGTATTTTTACATAAATTGTTATGGCTGTATTGATTTAAGAGAACAATAATGTTACTCAGACCACCGAGTAACAAACACATCAACACCACACAAACATTAAGGTTATAAATACACAGTTTTCATGGTTTTGGTGTTTTTAGAAGGTCAAATATTATCAAATATGTTCTGATTTCATTTTCAGCAAGTAAGAAGATTTTTACTTTACTAAACATCAACAGTAAAATACAGACACTTGTAGTAGACCTTAAAATATTACATGAACACTTGAAATATTCAGAATTTAAATGTCCCCAGGTGCTCGGTCTTATAAAAGTAACCTATTTGCTTGATCTAGACTCCTGGCATCCTTTCTTTGCTGCAGGTTCATTAAGACTTGGGCTCAGTTTCTGAGCTGCTGAGCTGACGTTGAGTGTTTATGTTGGTTGAACTGCAGCTGAAATGTAGTTAGTGTGTTTGGTGATATGACTGGTGTGGAATTGTGGAGAATTGTGGAGAACGAGGTGTAACCGCTGTCCCATAGACTGTTGTTGGGGTAGTAGAGTCAGAGCGCACATTACGTTGCAGTGCATGCTGGGGACTGTAGTGCAGCACACTGTGAAACGGGCTAATATTAATAGTAAATGAAAATACTTTTGTGGGCCGGTTAGGATTGTGTGGCGGGCCTGATCTGACCCACGGGCCTTGTGTTTGACATTCTGACCTGTGTTTGACAGTGTCTGTCACACTGTTTAACATTATGAGTACAAGCAAGCAAACCAAGCTAGTTATTGGAACTGTGTCTCTCTCACAAGTTAGATTTTTATATTTTTCTTAATTTTTTTCTCCCGTTTTTTTACATTCAGACTTAATCCATTGTATTAGTTCTCTTTGCCTTTCAGTGCTGTTTTATTGCTAATTCTGACAAGGAAGCAAAACGGTTTCCTCTGTTTGACACTTGTGGTTTTTGGAGTTCATGTAAGCTTAAACATCCCAGACTGATTTCGTCCTAATGCTTATTTCTCTGTAATTACTTGGACTACAGTGCAAACAACCTGAGTCATTCTTAAGCTGTTGCAGTGAGTAATGAAAGACTGGGCTCACTGGCAGCCTTTGGTCCTTTTTTAGGGGTTAACAGGTTCCCAATCTGTGGTTGCTGACATGGCCCAAAGCCACACTCCATTACAGTGTGTTTGTGTGGTCTGGGGAGCACTTTGGCAGTTTCTCCTGTGTGATACTTGCGACAGCAGGCGATGGAGATTTTACGGAAAAATTCAAAAGAGCAAAGCCGTGACTCTGGCACGCTGCCAGGTGGAAAACCAAGAAAGCTTTTTTCATTCTCATTCTTTCCATTCCTCAAACCTGCTCAACTACTTCACCTGCCAGCAGCTGCTGTTGGAGGCTGTCACACATTAACCCAAAACTGAAAACAAGGAAATTTAGTAACTATTTTTATCAATTTTTCCATTGTTTTACTAAAATAGATTCTGGTTCACTATCGTCAGAAGTCAGATACTGAATTTTATCTCATTAAAAATCAAATAATCTGTGAAGAACAGCAACCTGGGGCTGTTTTTAGAGATAAAACAAACATTGCTAGTGATGAAGTCCTTTTTCCTTTGTATTCCATTTGTTCTACAGACAAATAACTTGTGCCTATGTCATTGCTGTCTGAAAAAAAAAGTTTCTCCAAAATGGCAACTATATATGTGTATATATATATATATATATATATATATATATATATATGTTGCTGCTGTCAGAACAAAGCCTTGTATCTCCAAAATGGTAACTTTACAGGAGAAGGAGAAAACATACTGTACTTTTAATGTAAGTCAATGGAACCAGATGTTTTTCTACGTTGTTTTGGGACTTAACTTATGGTCCGTTTATCATTATCATTTAACAGGTACTTTCACACTGTCAAAAACTGAAAATATATATGTACACACACACACACACATATATATATATATATATAGCTGCTCTCGAAATAAAACCACGTATCTCCATTTTTGACGTTTTTCAGTTTTGGAGATAATTTGAAAATGCTGTCCTTTACATTGTCTCGATATTTGATGATGAATGGACCAAAAGAAACGGCCCAGAATGAACGGCCCAAAACATTCTGGTTGACTTACATTAAAAGGAAAGTATGTTTTTTCCTTCTCCTGTAAAGTTACTATTTTGGAGATACAAGGTTTTGTTCCGACAACAGCGATATTATATATATATATATATTTCAATTTCAAAGTATTCATTTATTCATGTACTTATTAATGTCGCTGGTTTAATCACAGGTCAGTTGTATGCAGTCTAGTTCTATCTGACTGATACACAAATCTTACAACAAATAAAAAATCATAATGCATTAAATGTTCTTCGTTTTAATTGGTTACTTCATTTTCACATAAAGAAAATAAATCAACAGAATTGTTTCTTTCAGTTTATGTACTCTTGGCCTTCTTGGCCTTAATTGTGTTGATGTAAGTAAAAATGAACACATTTGAATCAAGTAAACTCAGTGCAGCGTATTTGTCAGTGTACTGAATTTAAACAACTGTGTCAAACAAGCTTAAACCCCCTTTAATTACATGACGATGTACTTTGGTTACCAGTTATTTTATTTATTTATTTATTTATTTTTATTGTTTTTTACAGACAGCACAGAAGCTTTGGACCTCCCTGTGCGGGAATTCACTCTTCTTCTTCAACAGCAGCAAAGACAGCGATGTGAGTCTGAGAGCTGTTTGTGAGGAGTTGTATGTGTATTAATGCTGCTGTTAAAGCTGAGAGCTCTTGTCTTCTGTTAGTTCTTGTACATGCAATTCATTGAATCTGTGTGTGTGTGTGAGTGTGTGTGTGTGTGTGTGTGTGTGTGCATGTTACAGTATTGTGCAAAAGTCAGAGACCCCCTTCCATATCAGTCATTAGTTACAAGTTATTCATTTTCCAGTATAAGAGGAAAAAAGCAGTAAACAACTAAATCTAATCACCTGTTTGAGTGTTCAGTGAGTCACTCTGTCCCTTTATTCCAGCTTCCATTCTTTTCAGGAGACTCACTTTCAGCTCCTCAAAGAATCTGCAGACACACCTCCAAAGTTCAGTCTTAGAAGCTGGTTGATCATTTTCTGAAGTAATCAAACTCATTCAGTGGTGTTGAGGTCTGGACTCTGGGGTGGTCAGTCCATCGTCCAGCTTCTTTGTTTGATGTGTCCGTCTCCTTTTCTCAGTGAGGTTCTTCTTGACAGCTACACATCCTTTCAGACCCACAGCGCTGAGTCGTCTTCTCACAGTGGAAGGATGGACAGAAACACCTGTGGATGTTTTCAGATCTGAAGCAGCTTGATTTTCTCCTCTCTCTCAGAGATGAAAGCTTTAAGTGCTGCTTATCTGATGGGGGCAGTTTTGGGGTCTACCAGGTCTTCCAGGTGGTTGTTAGGAGCCCCATTTTCTCTGTAGCTTTTAATCAGATTTTGAGCTCCAGTTTTGGAAACTCCTGTTTTTTTCATTTATTTTCTTTTGAATTTCTCCTTCTTTATGCAAGTGGATAGGCAGATTCCTAGTCTCTGACTTTTCCACAGCACTGTGTGTGCAAGTGTCTGCATGTGTGTGAATATGCAGTTAATCGTACCTGTATCTCTGTGTCTGTTTCTGAGAGCAGTATGTGGAGAAGCTGGATCTGTCTGACTTTGTCTCTCTGATCGATGACTCCAGTCAAGACCGTAGCCTGGAGGCAGGAAGACTCCAGCTGCACTTAAAAGGCAGAGATTTTCATCTCACTGTGAGTACTAACGTTTTAGTATACTATCGTTAATCATCATCTGCTCTATTTACAGTGCAGTGTAATGTAACCTGTATTATCTATAGTACAGTTTACTGAAGTATAAGTGTGACTTCAGAGAGCACTGTAAAAATAACATTTAAATGTTTATAATCCAGATTTTATTGAACGTTTTAAGTTTTTGTGCTGAATTATACATTAACAGAATGTAACACGTGGATTACGGTTCTGTTAAATTACTCTTAGAGGTTTAACAAGCTCAAAATGTTAAAGATCGCTGCTAGACTAACTATTTTTAAAATCAGACAGAACAACAAATTTGTTTTTACAGTGTATTTTTCACTGCATAAGGTCGATAATACTAACAATACACTTTATTAATGCGCTAACACATTAATTTTTATTGTTACTTAATGTTTCAGATGGACAGTGGTGAGCACAGTCACTAGTTTATCTTAATATACAACACTAAGGGTGAATAATTCATAGTGGATACTGAATAATTCATAGTAGATACTCAATAATTCATAGTAGATACTGAATAATACATAGTAGATACTGAATAACTCATAGTAGATACTCAATAATTCATAGTAGATACTCAGTAATTCATAGTAGATACAAAATAATTCATAGTAGATACTGAATAATACAGAGTAGATACTGAATATTTCATAGTAGATACAAAATAATTCATAGTAGATACTGAATAATACAGAGTAGATACTGAATAACTCATAGTAGATACTCAATAATGTGTAGTAGATACTGAATAATTCATAGTAGCTCCTGGATAGTTCAGAGTAGATACTGAATGAATCATAGTAAATACTAAATAATTCATAGTAGATACTGAATAATTCATAGTAGATGCTGAAAAATTCATAGTAGATACTGAATAATTTGTAGTAAATGCTAAATAATTCATAGTAGTTACTCAATCATTCATAGTAAATATGGAATACTTCCTAGTTAGTGAATTTCTCCTAGTAGTTCTGAATAATTCACAGTATTCTTACATTCTATGCAGAACTCTGAAACATGGTTATGAAAAATGATTATTTTATTTAACCCTCATAATCATAACTCTTGTTTTCCTCCAGGCTCCGAGTCTTGAAGCGCGAGAGCTGTGGAAGGGCTTCATCTTCTCTGTGGTTGAGGTTAGTCAGGATTTCTGAATCAGGTTCCTGGTTCTTGACGTCATGGGTGCTTTCTGCTGTTTTCCTGTCACAGTGATTGAGTTTCCCTTCAGAGAGAGTCTCACCAGCATTCTTCTGATAGTTCAGAACCAAAGTGATCAGTCTGGACAGCTGATTGAATGTTAGAATTACATTGTGGGTGCATGTTATTAGAATGAGCCGTCTGTCTGATGGTGTGTGGGATAGATTTTTTTACCCAGTTGAGTTACAAAAAGCTTAAAAAAAGAAAAGAAAATGAAGATTAATATAAATTGAGTCATTGTAATTTTCTTTTTTGAAAATGTTTTTACTGTCAACACAGAAGTGTAATGTTTTTATGTTTATCATTTTGTTGCGTTTAAGAGGAAGTATTGAGAAAAGTGTTGTTCTGGAATTGGTATCAAAGTCTAGGTGTCAGTAACACATTCCAGCTGCGCAAGTCAGCTGACTCAACACTTACCGTATTGGGAATTTCACAGTGCCTCAGGTGTCTTGAGTTCATCTCATCCCTACTGACTCACTCATGAATGAACCTTTAATTTACGCCTGTGTATCTGCTTTCATCACCTGCTTCTGCACACTGTCTGTCCTGTAGCAGGACATGAATACCGTAACATAAATTACTGCAGAACTAAAGGATTCCTGTGGTTTAGCTTTGCCGTCATCATTATATGATTTACTGGCTTTTACTTTATGTAAATGTGCTGTAGATGTTTCTGTATCACACCTTTTTTAAAGGCTTCTGTATAGCACCAAAAAGGGTTCTTTTATTGTTACAACCTTGACGTCGTAACAACAGCAGAACCCTTTTTAGTGCTATGTAGAACCATCTACAGCACATTCTCCATCAGTCTGAAGAACTCTTTCACAATGCAAAGAAACATTTAATCACGCAAAGGGTGTGTTGAGTGTTCATGGTTCTAGATAGAACCATTTTCTTTATTAAAGAACCCTTGAAGAACCAGGCATCGATCAGGCATAACATTATGACCACCTCCTTGTTTCTACGCTCATTGTCCATTTTATCAGCTCCACTTACTATAGAGGTGCACTTTGTAGTTCTACAGTTCTGCATACTTTGTTAGCCCTCTTTTACCCTGTTCTTCAGTGGTCAGGACCCCCATGGACCCTCACAGAGCAGGTACTATTTGGGTGGTGGATCATTCTCAGCACTGCAGTAACACTGACGTGGTGGTGGTGTGGTAGTGTGTGTTGTGCTGGTCTGAGTGGATCAGACACAGCAGTGCTGCTGGAGTTTTTAAACACCTCAGTGTCACTGCTGGACTGAGAATAGTCCACCAACCAAAAATATCCAGCCAACAGCGTCCTGTGACCAGTGATGAAGGACTAGAGGATGACCGACACAAACTGTGCAGCAGCAGATGAGCTATCGTCTCTGACTTTATACCTACAAGGTGGACCGACAAGGTAGGAGCGTCTAATAGAGTGGACAGTGAGTGGACACAGTGTTTAAAAACTCCAGCAGCACTGCTGTGTCTGATCCACTCGTACCAGCGCAACACACACTAACACAGCACCACCACCACGTCAGAGTTACTGCAGTGCTGAGAATGATCCACCACCCAAATAGTACCTGCTCTGTGAGGGTCCATGGGGGTCCTGACCACTGAAGAACAGGGTAAAAGAGGGCTAACAAAGTATGCAGAGAAACAGATGGACTACAGTCTGTAACTGTAGAACTACAAAGTGCACCTATATAGTAAGTGGAGCTGATAAAATGGACAATGAGTGTAGAAACAAGGAGGTGGTCAGAATGTTACGCCTGATCGGTGTAAATTAATGATAAAAAGCCTTTTGCCTGCCAGACGAGGATGAGGACGAGGTTGTGAAAATAACAACTTTGAAAATATCATCTGTTTTTATATTTCAGAATATTTTTAGGTTGGTAATAGAGGTCAGATCAAGGGTCTCAGTAGAGTGAAACTGTTTGTGTCCCTCAGCTGGCGGTGCCCACCTCCCTCAACCTGCTGCCCGGCCAGATCCACATGCTGAGGGAAGTTGTGGAGAAAGAGAAACTGAGACGCAAACCTCTTCCTTCTCCTCCTGCATCTGCACACGCTACTATAACCGTGCCCTCGAACAACGCTCCGGCCGCCCTCCACAACATCTACGTGACCACGCTGTCCGAAATGCCAGCGTAAGTTCACAAGCACGTTTTTGTTTAGGTTCGCATTTGTGGCCAGAGACTCTTGGATGTGTGTGTGTGTGTGTGTGTGTGTGTGTGTGTATGTGTGTGTGTGTGTGTGTGTGTGTGTGTGTGTGTGTGTGTATTCATATGCAAAAGTTTGGGCACTCCTGATCAAATTCCATATTGTGTTGATTTTCTGAGTGTAAATAATTGAACACATCCTCTACAGAGACACACTACTGCTCATTTTAAGTCACATTTACTGTTTATTTGCTGAATTAAGCATATTGGCAAAAATAAAACATAACATAGCCAGTGCAAAAGTTATGGCACATGTAAAATATACATATGTATGGTGTATTTTATGTAGTAATTTTTTCCCCAGTATATTAAATTCAGCAAATAAACAGTAATTGTGTCTTAAAATATGCAGTGTGTCTCTGTAGAGGATGTGTTCACTTATTTTCACTTAGAAAATCAACACAACATGGAATTTTACCCATTTGTGTTGTCATGTGCTGTAATAATAATAATAATAACAAGAAATAAACGACAAATAGAGGAGTGCGGCTCAGTGTGGCTGTGGATTAGAGCTTGAGGACCTGCCCTGAGTGAGTACATGCATTTTGGTGGCTGTCAGGCAAAGGAAAGTATACATCTTGTTTGTGGGTGAAAATGAATGGGAGTCTATGAGAGGAACGAGGGATGAAAAAACGACACATAGAGGAGTGCAGGTCAGTATGGCTGTGCAGTACAGTTTGAGGTCCTACCTTTAGTGAGGACATGTAGTTTGGTGGCTGTCGGGCAATGAAGTAATAGACTTTGTGTGGTGGCGAAAATGAATGGGACTCTATGGGAGAAACGAGGGATGGAAAAAAAATGACAAACAGATGAGTGCAGGTCAGAATAACATTGAATTTGTGCTTGGGGGTCTGCCATGAGATAGTGTATGTGAAATGGTGTCTTTGGGGCAAGCAGAAGTTCAGTAGATGGCACATGCAATTTTTCATCCCCATTCATTCCTATGGGGAAAAAATTCGGAATTTGACGAAGATTGTATGAAAACCATGCGTCTGGTCAAAAAGCTGTATATAAGCCCAAATCACACAACCAGACCGGACAATCTGGAGTTGAAACGGCGTTGACATCTCAAAAACTGTGGGACGAGTAATGCGGCAAAAATCCAGCAGAAAACTTAGAATAATGAAGAAGAAGAATATAAAACGAAGAACAACATAATTGCTTTGCAATGCGCAACCATAACAATAATAATGATATACTTGCAATCAATTAAAATAATTAATCACAATGTATTGTATTACTTTGTGTGGTTAATTGCTGTTAATCACATTTGCCTTATTTGCTCTAATTTGACTGTAAAGAAAGGTTTTCCAATTTAAATGACTAGAATGTGTTTATTTACTTCAGTAATTAAACTTGAACCTGAACATAAAGCTCAGACTCCTGCCCTGCTTGATCAATATGCCTAAATTAAATTGTTAAATTGTGCCCTTCAGCTTTCTTTCATTACAAGGACACCTAAAGGAACTGTATCATCCTCAGGGTGAGCAGGACGCTGAGTACACTGTAGCCTTGGTCATTGTTCTCAGCTGTGTTTGTATGTATGTGCTGTGGTTGGTCGTGTAGGTGCTACCAGCTGGTGTCCCGCGCTGAGGCTGAGCTCGTTCTGGAGAGGAATCAGGAGAAGGGGAACCTGCTGCTCCGACCGGGACGAGACGGCTCCTCTTTCGCTGTTTCAACTCGACAGGACCTCGACGGGTAACACACATGCAGATACACCCTCACACATGTAGACGCACATACAGTTCTGTGCAGAAATCAGTGGTCACCCTTCATTTAGTTCATTTCCAGGCAAACAACTGTTAAGTACAAGTTAGTTTTTAGGAGATATTTCTGAGGAGATTAAATGTAAGATAATCCGTTTGCGTAATCAAGGGAAAAAACAAGAGTTTCCAAAACTGGAGTTCAGAAAGTTCTACAGATACTCCTAACAACCACCGGGAAGACCTGGTAGACACCAAAACTGCCCCCATCAGATAAACAGCACTTAAAGCTTTCATCTCTGAGAGAGAGGAGAAAATCAAGCTGCTTCAGATCTGAAAACATCCACAGGTGTTTCTGTCCATCCTTCCACTGTGAGAAGACGACTCAGCGCTGTGGGTCTGAAAGGATGTGTAGCTGATCAAGAAGAACCTCACTGAGAAAAGGAGACGGACACATCAAACAAAGAAGCTGAGCGATGGACTGACCACCCCAGAGTCCAGACCTCAAACCCACTGAATGTGTTTGATTACTTCAGAAAATGATCAACCAGCTTCTAAGACTGAACTTTGGAGGTGTGTCTGCAGATTCTTTGAGGAACTGAAAGTGAGTCTCCTGAAAAGAGTGGAAGCTGGAATAAAGGGACACAGTGACTCACTACACACTGAAAAAGGGATATTATTTTTAGATATTTTTCTGTTAATTATGTTTTCTGTAAAGTAATTGCGTAGTAAATTACATGTACGTGTTCATACATCAGTTCAGTTCATACTTTTACACTTAATTTGAAATAGACCTGCTGGTTTCTGACGCTGTATGACATGCTCTTACCTATAGACATGGACAAAACCACGTAAGCAGGTCTGTTTTAGATGTTTTGAAGATGCAGTTTGCATAATACTGGGAGCAGCGGCTCTTTTACTGCCCTGTTGTGGCTCCACAGCAGAATCAGATTTGTAGGAAAAAATAAAATAATCCTCCTTTACAGTAAAATAAAGCTCTGCTGATCGTTCAACACAGTTTAACAGTAAATGGTCTTAAACTCTGGAGTTAATGTAGTACTGCTAATTCACCCTTTAACCCTGAAGATCAACGCAGACTGCTGGTCACCATAGCAACACAGACAACAATCTCGCCTAGCTAGTAACTAATGAAACGGCAAAGAGAAAGACTTAAGACGAACATCGATAATTTAGAAATAAATAGACTTGCATTTATAAGCACTCGGATGGTTTCCTGTTGTGTTTAATCTGTAACTGGAAACCGTAAAATGCTAAAAAGTTGCAAAGCTGAAGTCAGTTTCTTGTTTGAATTGTCCCGTTCCACCTTAAATGGTGCAGCAGTTACATTCTGGCGCCTCAGGCAGCATTTAGGTGGAACGGGAAATTTCAAACAAGACGACTTCAGCCTCGTAAAAAGTCGAACGTTGAGAGACATTTTACAAGAAACTGTTCTACTTTTGTGGAAAAGTTTCCTGCTGGAGATGCGAGAAAAGTGGCTATAGCTGAGCTAAAGCTTAAAGCAGAGCAGTGTAAGTCTGTGTTTTCATTTAGTACATCAGCACATTTACAGCCAAGATGGTAAAATGGACATAAAACGTTGTGGCTCCTCTCAAGGTGGTTTGATTTTTTTGTTGAAAGGACAAAATAGCTCTTCTTAACATTTGGATTGTGACCCCTGCACTATGCTATCTGTTGCCAAGCTTCCATTACTTACAGCTCCAGTGCAAAACGTCCGCCAACCTTACCACATTACTGGAATTCCCATCAGCAATACACTGGTTTCTGTTACAGGACAGACTGAAGGGTATTTGATGTAAAGCTGGTAGATGACAGAAAGAGCCCTGAAGGCCTCACTTCTCCAGGAAGAGGGGGCTGAAACTCAGCTATGAAGAAGCTATGCAGACTACTCTGGTTTCTCTTTGAATGCTGTGACTTTTCGTGGTTCTTTATGCAGAATGATGAAGAATCACTACTCTTTCTCTCCTTCCCCCCCGACAGACCAGTGTACAGACACTACCGGGTGACTCGGAGGCATGAGGGCGGATTTGACATCGCTGTAGAGAACCCTGTGAGTGAGACACTCGGACACAAGCAGCCCCCCCCCACTCTAAAACATCAGCACTCATTTGAAGGGGATACTTCAGTTGTTGAGATTTAAACAGACATTCAGAGTGGTTTGATGTTCATTATAGAGAAACCTGACGATGATTTCTTTACAGTGGTGGTGAGAGGAACCAGGGGTCGCCCAATACAGGCATTTTATTCACTATCCAAGACCATCAGTGAACATACACATACAGGAGTTTTTATACAGAATGCTGATGATGGTGAAATAGTGGTACATCTGAAAAAAAAATAGTCCCCAGATTTTTGCCCTACAGCACCCTGCGTGTACCCCTCGGCTGTAAATTCGTTAAAATAAAAGTGCTTTACGCCAAAATTTTGTCAAAAATATTATAAAACAATGTCTTAGGCGGCGTATTCAGTGTATAACTTTCTGTGAGGGAGCTTTTAGAGGCATTAACCTCTTCAGACGTCTGGTTCCTATCACTGTAATGTAACATTCTTAATGAAACAACTGCTGAAAAATAAGCTAATAAGCTGATTAACAGAAAGCAGTAAAACTGCAATGTGTGCTTGGAAGCGCCGCCTTCTGTGCTACAATATTTATATTATTTAGGACTTTTTGAATGTCTCCTGTTCATTTGAGTTTAAATATGACAGTTGACAACTGCAGTCAGTGAAGCACTGATTGGTTAGTGGAATATATGGCTACTTAAAATCTGGTCCACCCTACCTTGTAGCTGCATTTGTTGACCAGTTTATATTTATGTTTATGCATTTGGTAGATGCTCACATCCAGAGCAACTTACAATTATTAAAGTCAGGTTACAGGTAGGTGAATGTAGCGTTAGGAGTTTTGCCCAAGGGCTCTGTTGGTGTAGTGCGGTGTGGTTACCCGGTGGGGGAATCGAACCCCAGTCTGCTGCATACACTGTACACTACACTATACCAACCATTACTTAATCAGAAACACTCATAGGTCCACATACATTAACATGGTGGAAGCATTGTGTGTGGTGCAGGTTTAAGTGTTGTTGGGGCTGCAGCCAGTAACTGTATAGTCGTTTGTGAAAGTTTGAACACCCCTAAGTGAAAAGAAGTTAACACATCCTCTACAGGGAACAAAAGATGCCATTTTTCTGCTAATATTAGGGCGTAATTTCTGTTTATTTGCCAAGTTTAACATGTTATTACATATTACGTAAAACAAAAAATATAAAATCCCCCATATCTTTTGATCAGGACACAATTTTTTTGTTCATTTTGTTCCCCAACATGTTAAATTCACCAGAAAAACAGTAATCCTGCATTAAAATATGCAAAACTGTGTTCTCTGTGGAGGATGTGTTCACTCATTTACACTTAGAAATTCAACAAAACATGCAACTTTTGCATATGAACAAAGTGGTACATGGTGTTTCCAATAAGTGTGGCCAGTGAGTGTAGTGGCCACCTCATGTTTAGCTACATTATATAGGCATTTGTGTTACCGTATTACCCAGAGTGACATGTGGAGCTCGTAAACAGGCATATTATTAGGTGTCATATTTTTACTCCGTACTTTAGATGGGATTTATGTAGATGTATAAATTATGCAGGGTTCTTATAAAAGCAAGAGGGAAGTGGAGATAAGGAGGGCAGCGAGGCTTGGCACACTCTGCGAACTCCATTGTAAAGTTTATCAATGATCAAACAGGAATTTAGATAGCCACCCTGCTCAGAGCACTTATTTGGCTGCGGCTTTTATAATGCTGGATTATTTTATTGTTCCCTCTCATGTGAACTCAGAGAAATGATATTAACCATTTTTTGCTTTTGTCTTTGTTATGTAATGTTAATGTAATTGGCTTTGGCCTGTATCAAAGTAAGCACCGCTGTCGGTGATATGTATACTTTTAATACTGTATATAATCAATGATCAGCTAGTTAACGCCGAAGTGCCCACAGCTCACCCTTTTAGTGTGCAAGTTAATGCCTCACATATACTGTATAACTCACGGCTGCCTGTTTGTTTCAGATCCAGTGCGAGACGCTACACGATGTTATAAACTGTTTGGTGGAGAAGACCGGAGGAACCCTGAAGCCTTTAACACTGGAGGGGGCTTATGAAAAAAACATCAGTAAGGAATTTATCACTTTAATATATATATATATATATATATATATATATATATATATATATATATATAAACAGACAAACATGATAGAGGTGACTGTACTAAGCAGTACTTTGGCAGTTTTTCAAGCTTTCGTGAAGCTGGATGTGATTAGTGATTACTGGACTTTGCCTGTCTTATGACTGTCTTATAACAGGCCGAACATCGGGCCACCGATTAGTGTAGCACAGTTACCAATCAGAAATTAGAATACATGAAACATACTCCTACATTCACCCACTGATTACACTCAAAACAGGTAAACATGTAAACATGTAAACACTGCCTCTCAAAAGTTTGGGGACAACTGCTGTCTTTTTCAGTTAAGTGAGAAAATATTCCTGCAAACGTTTTGTTAGGACAAAGCAGCCAGATGCCGATTAATCTGGTGATTGAAAGAGAATTCAAAGAGAACTCAGAACTTGTTGAAAGACGTGTCTTTCAAGAATGTGAGTGAATTACTAGAATAATATAGTGTTTGTTGGAACAAAACCTTGTATCTCCAAATTGAGAACTTTACAGGACAAGGAAAAAACCTACTTAACTTTGAATGTAAGTCAATGGAACCAGACTTTTTTCCAAGTCAGTTTTTGACCATTGCTTTTGGTCCATGTATCATGAAATTTAGACACAATGTAAAGGGCAACAGTTGCATTTTCGAATTATGTCAAAAACTGAAAAACAACGAAAATGGAGATATGAGGTTTTGTCCCGAGCGCAGTGATATAGTTAGCATAAAGCAGCTGTGTCAAACTCAACCAGTAAAAGGGCCATATTAAAAAATCTCATCAAGTCTGTGGGCAAGAGGAAAAAATATTTTTATTTCAATTTTAATTAATGTTGTGCTGTAACCCGAACTGACCATTGTTCATTCAAAATACACAAAAACTTCAGCAGTAATATACAGGCACTTGTAGTAGACCTTGAAATATTGCATAAATACTTTAAATATTCAGAATTTAAACGTCCCCAGGTGCTCGGTCTTATAAACCTACCTGTTTGCTTGATCTAAACACCTGGCATCCTCTCTTTGCTGCAAGTTCATTAAGACTCGGGCTCAGTTTCTGAGCTGCTGAGCTGACGTTAAATATTTATGTTGGTTGAACTGCAGCTGAAATGCATTTGGTGGTATGACTGGTGAGGAATTGTGTAGAATTGAGGTGTAACCACTGTCCCATAGACTGTTGTTGGGGTAGTAGAGTCAGAGCACACATTACGTTGCAGTGCATACTGGGGACTGTAGTGCAGCACATTGTGAAACAGGCTATTATTAATAGTAAATGATAACACTTTTTCGGGCCAGATAGGAATGTGTGGTGGGCCTGATCTGACCCACGGGCCTTGTGTCTGACACATGGGGAATACCGCATCTCTGTGTTAATGCTTTGTGTGTATTTATCTTCAACACTTCATCAAAGTATCTCCTTGGTATGAAGGGCTGGTTCTGCCTAAATAATTCCTTTGTCAGTTTTCTTTTCTAAAATAAGCTGTGTTTGAGTGCTGACATCATAACAAGGGTAGATGGAGGACCACCCTACCCACCCACTCGAGAGAGAACAATTGTCCTCTTTTTGGACACAGATGTCTGGGGCATCGCCAGGCAGCTGTGCCACTCAGAAGCCCCTTGACACATGCTTATTTATTAAAAATGCAAAGCTACTCTGTAAAGAAGTGGCGCAGTGAATTGGCTCGACTCCAATGTGTGCATCATTTCCATGTGAATAAGATATGATAATAATAATAGTGTTGAATTTATTCATGTGTAAATGATGTGCACTTTTGAATTGAGTAAATTCAACACATTACGGTTTGCAGTGTAGTCCCCAAACTTTTGACTGCAAGTGTACTGTATCTAGTCGTGTGACGACAACTTTGGGTCAAATGACGTGTTGTTTATTTTCTGAGTGTCAGTAAGTGACACATCCACTAAAGAGACACACTTCTGCACATTTTAATACACAGTTACTGTTTAGAAAGTTTAGAATCTGCACTTTCCACACAGTTTCTCCACTTGTTTCACTGAGCTTCGAGTCAGAAATTAGTATCATAAAACTACCTTATTGCCAGTTATAACTGCTTTTGTTATGGAAGCAGACAGATATGCTGGTCGCATGCCTCGAGTTCCAGTTTCAAGAACTCAGAATGTCATGATTAAAGTCAGCTTACAGCAGTTTTCATTCTGCTCATAAGAAATAATCTGAGAGGGCTCAGTGGGCAACTCCGGCATGTTTACTGAGTTATTTAACACATTTGGGGAAAAAATAAAACACAAAATGTGGCCAGTGGAAAGGTTATGGCACAATATGGCACATTTTATGTTTATTTTTATCCTAATATGTTAAATCCAGTACATAAACAGTAATTGTGCTCTCTGTAGCGGATGTGTTCACTTACTTTTACTTAGAAAATCAACAAAGCATGTGAAACCTTTGCATACCACTGCATAGCGTTTTGAGAAGTTTTCCTTTAAAAGCACAGACCTGTTTGTCTGCCTGTGATGGCCTTGTTCACGACAGCGTTATGAAACACCTCATCAGCTCAGCGCTCTGAAACAGGTTTATGGCAGGTGAAGAGAAGTGAAGGCACGTAGGCCTCAGCTCAGCCCACCCTTTTCTCAGAACACTTTTTAGCGCTTACACACTGAAATAGCTCTGGGAAACAAATGACTGGCATTGTTTTAGTGTCAGTAGGGTGATCAGTTTAAACCTTGAAGGGAAATTCCACCAGTATTTTACAAATTTTCTGCATAATTCATTCACTGAGATGTTAACAGAGTCATTCAGAGTGGTTTAGTGTGAAATGGTCGATTGTAGAGACAGTGGTGGTGATAGGAACCAGAGGTCACCATGACTACAACACAAATATAGCCATTTTATTTACTATCTAAAACCCCCACTGAACCTACACATGTTTACTGAGTTTTTATATGGAATGTTGATGATGGGAAAATAGTGGTACTTCTGAAAAAAAACACTCCCTAAATTTTTTGGGGGGAACTATTTTGTCTTACAACACCCTGCATGTACCCCTCCGCCATGAATGAATTAAAATAAGTCTTTTAGGCCAAAATTCCCAAAATGATCATAAAACAATGTCTCAGGCAGCACATTCAGTGTATTGCATGTATAACTTTCTGTGAGGGAGCTTTTAGAGGTGGACTTAGTTAGGTTACACTGTTTTTTCCGCCTGCGAGACAAGACTGTGCAACAACTTTTGATCAAATTCAAATCATATTAAAACATCTCCTCTTTGCTTACAAAACACAAATGTGGTATGGCTTGAAAGTTTAGAATCTGCACTTTCCACTCGTTTCACTGAGCTTCGGGTCAGAAATGATTACCATAAAACTACCGCGTGCTTTCCTTATTGCCAATTATAACTGCTTTTGTTATGGAAGCAGACAGATATGCTGGTTGCATGCCTCGAGTTCCAGTTTCAGGAAGTCAGAATGTCATCATTAAAGTCAGCTTACAGCAGTTTTCATTCTGCTCGTAGGAAATAATGTGAGAGGGGTCAGTGGGCAACTCCGGCATGTTTACTGTTCACGGACACGGATGGCTGGGGTATCGCCAGGCAGCTGTGCCACTCAGAAGCCTCTTAACACATGCATATATATTTAAAATGCAGAGCTACTCTGTAAAGAAGTGGCACAATGAATTGGCTCGATTCCAATGTGTGCATCGTTTCCATGTGAATACAAATATGATAATAATATGAATGTGTTCATGTGTGAATGATGCGCACATTTGAATTGAGTAAATTCAATACATTATGGTTTGCAGTGTGGTCCCCAAACTTTTGACTGCAAGTGTACTGTATCTAGTCGTGTGACGACAACTTTGGGTCAAATGACGTGTTGTTTATTTTCTGAGTGTAAATAAGTGACACATCCACTACTGAGACACACTTCTGCACATTTTAATACACAGTTACTGTTTAGAAAGTTTAGAATCTGCACTTTCCACACAGTTTCTCCACTTGTTTCACTGAGCTTCGAGTCAGAAATTAGTGTCATAAAACTACCTTATTGCCAGTTATAACTGCTTTTGTTATGGAAGCAGAGACATATGCTGGTCGCATGCCTCGAGTTCCAGTTGCAAGAACTCAGAATGTCATCATTAAAGTCAGCTTACAGCAGTTTTCATTCTGCTCATAGGAAATAATCTGAGAGGGGTCAGTGGGCAACTCCGGCATGTTTACTGTTCACGGCTCTTTCCTGAGAATTTTGGTACGGTCACTTCCTCAAACTCGCCTCGTTTGGTTTTCTTCTTTCGTTTCAATGAAGTGAATCGTGAGAACCGTACTTGTTTCTACGCTCATTGTCCATTTTATCAGCTCCACTTACTATATAGGTGCACTTTGTAGTTCTACAGTTACAGACTGTAGTCCATCTGTTTCTCTGATACTTTGTTAGCCCCCTTTTACCCTGTTCTTCAGTGGTCAGGACCCCCATGGACCCTCACAGAGCAGGTACTATTTGGGTGGTGGGTCATTCGCAGCACTGCAGTAACACTGACGTGGTGGTGCTGTGTTAGTGTGTGTTGTGCTGGTATGAGTGGATCAGACACAGCAGTGCTGCTGGAGTTTTTAAACACTGTTTTTAAACACGAAAGCTCATCTGCTGCTGCACAGTTTGTGTTGGTCATCCTCTAGTCCTTCATCCGTGGTCACAGGACGCTGCCCACAGGACGCTGTTGGCTGGACATTTTTGGTTGGTGGACTATTCTCAGTCCAGCAGCAACACTGAGGTGTTTAAAAACTCCAGCAGCACTGCTGTGTCTGATCCACTCAGACCAGCGCAACACACACCACCACCACGTCAGTGTTACTGCAGTGCTGAGAATGATCCACCACCCAAATAATACCTGCTCTGTGAGGGTCCATGGGGGTCCTGACCACTGAAGAACAGGGTAAAAGGGGGCTAACAAAGTATCAGAGAAACAGATGGACTACAGTCTGTAACTGTAGAACTACAAAGTGCACCTATATAGTAAGTGGAGCTGATAAAATGGACAATGAGCGTAGAAACAAGGAGGTGGTCAGAATGTTATGCCTGATCGGTGTGTGATGTTCTTAATGACATTAAAATGTTGAGATTACTTGTCAAAACCTCTGATGTCATGTTGAGAATATAGCAAACATATATATATATATATATATATATATATATATATACATCGCTGCTGTCAGGACAAAACCCTTTTTTCAGTTTTTGACATAATTTGAAAATGCCTGTTGTCCTTTACATTGTATGTAAATTTTATGCTGAATGGACCAAAAGTAATGGCCAAAAATGACTTGGAAAAAAGTCTGGTTCCATTGACTTCCATTAAAAGCAAAGTGTTTTTTGCTTCTCCTGTAAAGTTACCATTTTGGAGATACGAGGTTTTGTTCCAACAACAGTGATATGAATGTATACTTACAGACTCCTCCAGCATTTCTTCTGAAATGAAGGGTATCAATAGTGAGTTTGTGCTGCAGAAACAGCCTCTACTCTTCTGGGAGAGCTTAACACTAGATGTTGGGACATTGCTGTGAGGATTTGATTGCATTCAGACAGAAGAGTATTAGTGAGGTGGGGTACTGATGTTGATGATGTCTGGATCACTGGAGCTGGACTGGATGCATATGAGCATTAGGGGTTATATGTATTGTATTTTTGTGCTCAGTACTGCTGTGTTTTGTCTCTCAGCGTTTGTGGACAAAAATAGAGAAAGTGGGGAGAGGAGTTTAATCTTTGCCAGCAGCTGCCCTGGACCATGTCCATCTCCACCTGTACCTGGGACCCCCAAACCAGGTACTACACACACACACACACACACACACACACTAACACATACACACACACACATACACACACACATACACCTGTCCTGTCCTGAATGCAGTGTGTGAGCTGTTGTTTTTCTCTCCTTAGAGAAGAAAGTGTCCAGCCCTCAGCCTGAGAATGAATACGTCATTCCGTCCGGTCAGTCCATCTCTCTCTCTTCTCCTCTCTCTCTCGCTTTCTCTCTCTTACTCTCTGTTTCTCTGTCTCTCTCTCTCTTCTCCCCTCTCTCTCACTTTCTCTCTCTCTCTCTTCTCCCCTCTCTCTCACTTTCTCACTCTGTCTCTCTCTCTCGCTCTTTCTCGCTCTCTCTTCTCCTCTCTCTCACTTTCTCTCTCTCACTCTCTTCTCCCCTCTCTCTTTCTCTCTCTCTCTTCTCCCCTCTCACTTTCTCTCACTCTGTCTCTCTCTAGCTTTCTCTCTCTCTTCTCCTCTCTCTCTCTCTGTCTCTCTCTCTCTCTTCTCCCCTCTCTCAATTTCTCTTTCTTCTCCCATCTCTCTCACTCTCTCTTCTCCCTTCTTTTTCTCTCTCTCTCTCTTCTCCCCTCTCTCAATTTCTCTCTCTTTCTTCTCCCATCTCTCTCACTCTCTCTCTTCTCCCCTCTCTCTTTCTCTCTCTTTCTTCTCCCATCTCTCACTCTCTCTCTTCTCCCTTCTTTTTCTCTCTCTCACTCTCTGTCTCTCTCTCTTCTCCCCTCTTTCTCTTTCTCTCTCTCCCTTCACTCACTTTCTTTCTCTCAGCTATTTGTCTCTCTCTCTCATGCTCTCACTCTTTTTATTTTTTTGCGTCCCTCTCGCTCTCTATTTTTTTCTCATGCTCTCTCTCTTACTGTTTCTTACTCACTCTCTTTTTCTGTCTCGCACTCACCGTCTCTCATTTTCTTTCTTTCTGTCTCTCCTTCTTTCTCTCATGTACTTCATCCCCTGTTGTTATTGTCGTCTTTCTGTCTCTTACTCACTCTGGCACTTTCTCTCGCTCTCTTCCTCATCCCTTTCTTGCTTTTTCTAACTCTTTCTTTCCCCCACCTCCCTTTCTCACTCTCTCTTCGTCTCCCTTCAGTCACTCTCGCGCTCTCTCTGCCTCTCTCATACTCTCACACTCGCTTCCTCACAATTTCTGTCTCTCTCTTTTTTTTGTCTCTCTTTCTCACTGTCCTGTTCACTTTTATGTGTGTTTCAGACGTGAATGAAGACAAGGTCGACGGAGGTGCTGGAGCTCCGCCCCCTGTACAGCCTCGTGCTCCAGGTAAAGAACAGGAACAGGTGTTCATTGAACCTGTCAAGCAGTCAATATGGCCTAAACATACAGTCCAATAAAGCAGCTTCACCAAGACCTTTTCCATCCTAATCACGTTTAATATGTGTCATTACACTCAAATGTTTATTGAAGAATGCAAATATTTGCTCATGAGGTGCCTCAGAGCAAAAAGCTCAACTGTTTAAGAACGAAAGAAAAAAGGACCTGAGTAGAGAAAATAATCTGACATCCATAAAATCTTGGATGTGTATCATATAATGATAAGAATCATTCTTGTGCATTGGCAGCGCGAACTTTGCCCCATCAGACCACTGTTCCTGAAGGCCTGACGATGAGCCCAGGTGAGCGCCTTTATTCTATTCTTTGTTAAAGGGGAATTCCACCGCTTTTTCAAAATTTCTGCGTTCTTAAATTGTTGATATGTAATCAGAGTGATTCAGAGTGGTTTGGTGTGAAATGGTTCAGATGTCTTTACAGTGGTGGTGATAAGAACCAGGGGTCGCCATGACTACAACACAAATATAGACATTTTATGACCTACACAAGTCTCTGTATTTGTTAGTTTGGTAAAAGCATGGGTAAGTATTTTTTTTGGGGGGGACTGTTTGGCCTCACCGACACCCTGCATGTACCTCTGCACACGCCTCTGGTCAAAAACATTTTAGGTAACAGGCTTTTCATAAAACTATCATAAAACAATGTGTCAGACATCAGGCAGTGAATTCATAACCATTTCATGTAGTGACTTTCTGTGAGGGAGCTTTTAGAGGTGGACGTCTGGTTCCTGTCACCACCACTGTGAACAATTCTGACTCTGTAAGTTTCTCTAGAACAGAGCGTTTCACACCAAACCACTCTGAATGACTCTGTTTACATCTTAAACATTTAATGATGCAGAACTTTTAAAAAATCAGTGGAATTCCCCTTTAATACATTGAAAAAGTGGTGAATATAAAATGTGTTGCATCGACAAGAAATTATGTGGATTTCATATGCAACCAGTTTGCATGTTTAAAGCAAATACATTGAAAAGATTTTTTTCTGTTTATACTGTTTACTGTTTATGAGAAAACAGTATAAAACAAAAGTCATTTGTCCTCTTCTGTGCTGCAGGGGGTGCTCTGCTTCCGCCTAGTCGCCCGATTCCACGACGAAATAGTATGTCAGAGATGCCAAATCTACGTGCACGGTGCCCACAGCCTGACACAGGCAGCATGTCAAAGGGTAAGGGGTCAAGCTTGATTAAAACTAATAATAGAGCTTATTATCTGGGTTGTATTTGTAACAGATGGAATATGACATTGTTGTACGACTCATCAATGAAACTGCACACAAACCTGATCCAAACACAACCAGTGAAATCACACCTTCACAAATTTACATAACAGCGCAGGAGTTGATGGAAATGGAGACAGGAATATGAGTGATATGATAACGGCATTAGATCTCACAAAACCTTATTATACTGCATCGCATTACAAATCCAAAGTTATCTGGCAGTAATGATCACTGTGCTCTGCAGCTACATATCCAGAGCAGGGAAACACGCCTTATAATGCAGAATGACTCACTAGTGACGTTCACTGCTCGAAAAGATGCACAACGATCTTTCATCTGGGCAAACTTGTCAAAAACTTTTCTCTCAAAGTCACCAATCTATGAATAAATTCATTTGATACCATAGCAAGAGCAGGAAAGAAGAGCAGAAGAGTGTTTTTAGCTGCGCTCACAGTTAGCCATGTTTTTCTCTTGAACCTCTCTTGAATGCTCTGGCTGGTGTGTCCCAAACGTTTAATCTCTAATTTCTGCTCTAATGTCAGGGTACCAAATTTAACTCTTATTACATTTTTGACTTGACTCATTATATTGCCTTGCTATTGGCTACCACAACTGATGAGGAACAGGGTCTAGCTGCGTAGCAACGCCCACACCGTAAACAACGTTACTGAACGTCTGGACGTATGTAAATGTATTATTTTTTTATCGGCTGCTCTCAGCATGGAGCCAACGTGATCGTGCCCCACAGCTGGTTATTGAAAGCATGTTAAACATGCGCAGAGTGTTTTAAACTGCTCACTTGGTTAGACGAAAGCTGACAGGCCGGCCCCCTGCTCATCAAACGAAGATATATATCACTGCTGTCGGGACAAAACCTTTGGCGTTTTTCAGTTTCTGACATAATTTGAAAATGCCTGTTGCCATTGTGTTTAAATGTCATGATGAATGGACCAGAAGAAACAGCCAAAAATGACTTTGACTTACATTGAAAGTAAAGAAGGTTTTCCCTCTTCTGTGAAGTTACCATTTTGAAGATTTGGAGGTTTTGTTCCGACAACAGTGATACATACACCGATCAGGCATAACATTATGATGCTGTTGGCTGGATATTTTTGGTTGGTGGACTAATCTCAGTTTAAAAACTCCAGCAGCACTGCTGTGTCTGATCCACTCAGACCAGCACAACACACACTAACACACCACCACCACGTCAGTGTTACTGCAGTGCTGAGAATGATCCGCCACCCAAATAGTACCTGCTCTGTGAGGGTCCATGGGGGTCCTGACCACTGAAGAACAGGGTAAAAGGGGGCTAACAAAGTATGCAGAGAAACAGATGGACTACAGTCTGTAACTGTAGAACTACAAAGTGCACCTATATAGTAAGTGGAGCTGATTAAATGGACAATGAGCGGAGAAACAAGGAGGTGGTGATAATGTTACGCCTGATCGGTGTGTATGTATATATATTAGTTGTCATACTGAAATATTGATCATGTCGTGCACTGCTCCACAGCGACATCTGGTGGGGCCAGGCCCAACTGCCCCCTAATGTATAGATGCCACTTCTATACGGCTGTTTTTGCAGTTTAGTTTTAATATATGGACTGGAGAGTGAACAGTACATCAAACTCTATATTTCAACAAGCGAAGAAAAACCTGCTTCCATAATATGTGTCCTTTAATGATGCTGGTCTTAAGGTGAAGTGAGTGAATACTTATTGGCAAATGTATAAACTGTCTGATTGGACCAAATGCAGTAACATTAGCCTCATGCAGATGTGAGAATGCTTTAGTTCAGCAGCATTTCCTCCTGACTGTATCTCTTCACTGAGAAACTAGGCGCTGACCATCGTTGTGGTTTTTGTTCCACACAGATTTCGCTGAAGAGCTGAAACAAAAGTTAAAGCAGAGGCAGGCTACTATAGAGTGACCCCTGACCACAGACCACCTGGTTCACCCTCACCTCATCTGAACAAAGGAATGACGGCGTGAGAAAAGGAATGAAAGACTCATTGAGCCGGTCGCACACAATAAAAAGGAATCTATCCTGTTATTGACCGCCAGGACTGGGCACGTCTGGAAGAGACTAATCAGCCGTCTGTGGGTGTCGTCCAGCTGGCTGGACCAGTGTGGACATGAGTAATCCTGAAGATCGACTCTTTATTGATCCTCCCTGAGATTCCGCCGTCTCATCTAGTGATTACGCATTGTAAATTAGCAAATAACAGCAAAAAGCTGTGAGTCTGCTTGTAAGTGCCACATCATCATCATCGCCTGTGTTCCCTTTAGACAGTAAATCACTGTCTGTCTGTATAGCATTATTGCTAATCTAAGTGGTGACCCTTCATTTGAAGGAACACATATTGGGGCTTAATTAACGTCTTATTCTTTTTGACCCCCAAATTAGACCCTTCTAAGTGTCTGTTCACTGTGCATTAGGCTTTATTTGTTATGGCCTGTATTAGTACATTGGAGATCTGCTGTGTGAAAATCACTAAAATTGCTTTTTTAGTTGTAATAATGCAAAGTAAATATTTATAATTAATGATAATAAAATCATAATTATAATAAAACCATATCAACCAAATTCCCGTAGCGTCTAGGTCAGGGGTCGGCACGGCTTTTTCACCACCCTGTTGTGGCTCCACAGCAGAATCAGATTATTAGGTAAAAATAAAATAATCCTCCTTTACAGTAAAATAAAGCTCTGCTGATCGTTCAACACAGTTTAACAATAAATGGTCTTAAACTCTGGAGTTAATGTAGAACTGCTAATTCACCCTTTAACCCTGAAGATCAGCGCAGACCGCTGGTCACCATAGCAGCGTGGATAACAATCTCGCCTAGCTAGTAGCTAACGAAACGGCAAAGAGAGAGATTTAAGACGAACATCGATAATTTGGAGACGAATGGACGCATTTATAATCACTCCAGCTGGTTTCCTGATACGTTTAATTGCAACGAGAAACTGTACAACATTAAAAATTCAGAAGCTGAAGTCAGCTTCTCGCTCGCTAGCTTCTTGTTCTAATTTTTCCGTTCCTCTTTAAATGGTACGACAGTTAGCTTCTGGTGCCTCAGGTTTATTTTAAGGTGGAACAGGAAAATTCAAATAAGAAGTTGATGAATGAGAAGCGACTTCAGCCTCAGACTTCATCGAACGTTAAGAGACATTTTACAAGAACCTATTTTATTTTTTCTGGAAGTTTCCTGCTAGAGATGCGAGAAAAGCAGCCATAGCTGAGCTAAAGCTTAAAGCAGAGCAAAGTAAGTCTGTGTTTTCATTTATATTTTTAGCCCATACCAGCACATCAGCACATACTGAGATATTTACAGCCAAGATGGCGAAACTTTACTTCAATAAAATGGATATAAAATGTTGTGGCTCCCAAGCTGATTAGATTTTTGTTGAAACTTGACAAAATGGCTCTTCTTAACATTTGGGTTGCCAACCCCTGGGCTGTGTAGTGACTTTTGGGGTTTGTCATTAATATTTCAAGATGTGTTCAATATTCTAAAGTAGAGTTTTAGTCATTACTTATCAGAGGCTAAAACATGCTACAGCAATGCTTCGGTAAGTCAGTTTGTGTCATTTATTTTAAAATAAAAATCATTTCATTTTGGTAGCAATATGCAAAACATTCTTGTAACAACCAAATGCGGATAAGTTAAATTCATCTGTGAAAGAGATTTTGGTAATTTGGGAACTTTTTTTGGTAATTATTATGAACAGATGTTGAATTTTGGATGCAAATTATGCATTATTATAAGGGATTTTTACATAAACCTCCAATTATGTGCTAAATAAAGCTTAAAGTGCAGTGAATACACCATTTAGAAGTGTCTAATTTAGGTTCTGTTGAACACAGTAGGCCCAGTATGTGCTCCTTAAAATAAAGTGTTACCATTTAAATCCGTTTTCCTCTTATTTTGGTTTCCCTCTTATTGTACCTCATTTTATTTTTTTTTATTTTTAACCAGTGTTGTAATGTACAGTAAGAATGTGGCTGAATTGACATATTTCTGCTTGTTCATTAATCATTTATGTCTAACGCCTTGGCTGTATTTGTAACAGATGTAGTGCTAAACTCATCCTTTCCCTGCTGTACTGGTGCAATATTATGAACAGCGTATATTACGCATGGTTAAGCTGCCGTTCTGGACTGTGAGGGGAAATTGCAGCCGATAAAATGAAGTGTTCTACTGTGATTTTCTGTAAAAACGAATCAAATGAAGCTGATATGCTTAAACTGATGTGTCCCTTGTATTAACTCACCACACAACGACTGTTTTCTTGTTTATTATTGTGTTTTATTATCTTGCCTGGGATACACAGTGGAAGAGAACTGAAGACTTTACAGTGTGGATTCTGTGCTGAAGGGGAAATACTGTTTAAAATACTACAGTTTCAGCTGAAAAGCATTGCAGGTTATAGTCACAGAGAAACACAGCGGAGTGCAGTAGCGTGCCAAAGAGGCAAACACAACAAAAATAACTGCCTCACCGTCCCATCAGTAGGATGTACAATAATAGCACCACATAAACCAAAAAAACATGATAAAATCTTCCCCTTTTGCCTACAGAACTGCATGCAGTGAAAACTAGTATTACCTGTTTTAACTGGTTTACGTTGTCATTACAAAGGGAGACCTATGCTTTATCAGACCCGGTTTATGTTGTTTACGCTTTCCGCTCCTGTTTTTTTGGACTGTTGCTGGCACTGTAACGCTGAATACATTCTATATGAAGTGTTTACTACTGTAACATTACCATAAAGACTAGGTTAGTGTGCTACTCTGGTGAGATAAAGCTGAAGATAAAGCTGTTTTTTTCTTGAGAAGCAGCTGGCAGAATTAGAGGCATATGATGAATGACATTCGGTGTGAAGATACACTACAGTCTTCAAACGTCACACACGACAAGGTAAACATGCCTGAACAGGTGCACTGAAATCCAGGGATGGGCATTTAAATTTTGTTATTCAAATATCTGCATTTTTAAATGAACAGTATTTTAATATCTGAGATTTTTTAATGTATTGTTTGACATTGTCCATGGTTGAGCTTGCTTACCAGTGCTGTGCAAAAGTCAGAGACCACCCTTTTATTTCTGTCCAGTCTAAACGCTAAAGTACCAATTCCAATCCAAATAACGAACGCCGTGTTCTCCGGACCAAAGGAGAAACGGACGCATCTTAAAAAAGGAAATCTTCTTAAATGTGTGTTTTTTCTTAAATTCATTTATAAGAAAAAAGTTGAGAAATTGTTATTCTTAAGCATTATCTTTTCATTTTCTTAACTATTTTCTTAAAAATAATTCTAAGAACAAGAGTTATTCTTGAAAATATGATGTGCTTAAATGTTTTCTTCACCTTCCGACAGACTAACACTCGTCTTACGCTGTAAGAGGCAAGGACAGCGTCTAACTTTATCACGGACGCTGCCTCTGCTGCTCCTCCTGCCCATCTTCATCTGTCACCCCACAATTATCATATTTTCCAATGAGAATTTTTTTGTGTTGGATGTTTCTTCCAACATCACCTCCAGTTCTTCTTTGCTAAAATTTTTTTTAACGCTTGGTTTGCGATTTTTTTGCTCCTCTGAGTGGATTCAGTTCGTACAAATTCAAACTGTATCTGACGTCTTTTATGGTACATGGTCAAATGCAACGTAGCCTACATAAGAAAACAATGAAGATTTTCTTAAGAAAACCTTAAGAAAATATTATCTTAAGAGAATATTTGAGAACTTCTCAAGTTTTTTTCCAATAATTGCATTTAAGAACATTCTTATGAACTTCGTAGTGTTTGTCTTGAGAACCTTTGCTTTTTCTTAAGAAGGCTTTCGTGAGTCCGGACCCTGGACTGTTACCAACGTAAAGTAAAAAGTCAGGGGCCAGATTCACAACAGCGTCTTAAGAAAGAAAATCATCTTAAATGTGCTTTTTTTTTCTTAACGTTATTCTTAAGAAAAGCGTTACGAAAAAATGTTCTTAAGCATTACCTTAATTTCTTTTCTTGACCATTTTCTGAAGAGTAATTCTAAGAACAAGTGGTTTTCTTGAAAATATTATGTTCATAAATGTTTTCTTAACCTTATAACAGCTTCACACTCGTCTTGGGCTGTAAGAGTCGATTAGGTCGTCATCTAAATTTATCAATTTATCTTCTCTTGCCCATCTTCGTCTCCTGCTTTCCGCCATCACCCCACAATTACTGTACATTTTAAGGAGGATTTTTTTCCTGTTGGGTGTTTCTTCCTCAATCACCTCCAGTTCTTGTTTGCTAAAATTGTTTTAAACACTTGGTTTGATGTTTTCCTCCATTTTGCTCCTCTGAGTGGATAAAACTAAATAATGTAAATAACAGTTAATACCAATTCAAAATGTATCTTGCTTCATTTATGGTGCGGGGTAAAACGCAACAGAGCTTACATATGAAAACAAAGAAGATTTCTTAATCTTAAGAAAATAATTAAGATTATCTTAAGAGAATATTTGAGAACATCTCAAGTTTTTTTTGAAAATTGCATTTAAGAACATTCTTAGAACTTCTTAGTCTTAACTTTTGCAAGTTGTTTCTTAAAAAGAGCTTTCATGAATCCAGCCCCAGGTCTGTTACCAGCGTAAAGTTCAAAAGTCAGGATCTGCCATATTATGGGGGAGTATTAGTGGCCATAGCATGGGTAACCTGCACTTCTGTGAAGGCATCAAGATATGGACACATCTTGTAACAAAATATCGGAAAATGAAAATGAAAAACGACAAGGTTTTGTACCAGGTCGTTTTTCATTTTCTGACATAATTTGAAAAAGCCAGTTGCCCTTTTTACGTTTGGTCGGATGAATAAACCAACAGAAATGGTCCAAAACTACTTGGAAAAAATATGTCTCCATTTACTTACAATAAAAGCTAAGAACATGTTTCCTTTTTGAGATATGAGGTTTTGCCTTAAAGTCAATGCTGTTTTGGCATCATTACACCAAAATTACACCGAAATCTTAACAACTAAATATAATAACAAAAGTTGTCCACTCTTTACCTTCATTACAGCTTCCATTCTTTTCAGGAGACTCACTTTCAGCTCCTCAAAGAATCTGCAGACACACCTCCAAAGTTCAGTCTTAGAAGCTGGTTGATCATTTTCTGAAGTAATCAAACACATTCAGTGGTGTTGAGGTCTGGACTCTGGGGTGGTCAGTCCATTGTCCAGCTTCTTTGTTTGATGTGTCCGTCTCCTTTTCTCAGTGAGGTTCTTCTTGATCAGCTACACATCCTTTCAGACCCACAGCGCTGAGTCGTCTTCTCACAGTGGAAGGATGGACAGAAACACCTGTGGATGTTTTCAGAACTGAAGCAGCTTGATTTTCTCCTCTCTCTCAGAGATGAAAGCTTTAAATGCTGATTATCTGATGGGGGCAGTTTTGGTGTCCACATAATGTTAGTGACTCTTCTTGCGAACAGCTCTTGCTGGAGAACACGGCTGGAACATGTTTGGTTTTAAGATTGTGGGGATGGAGGAGTTAAACAGGTTCAGTAGGTGCGCAAAAGTAAAGAGTGAACAAATTAAATACTGATAGTTTTGATATTTTGATATTTGTTTGAGATTTAAGTGTGGAAGCTTATGTGTAATTTTCCATTAAATATGTTTACAGTTTTTTTCTGACACTGAAAAATTAATAATGTATTCAAAAGCCATTTTGACTGGAAACAGAATACACAAATGGGTGGTCTCTGCAGTTTGTACAGCTGGAATAAGATCCATACCTGATCATTCAGCTGATTCAGTGACTAAACGTTGTGATTCAGGCCCAGTCCCATTTCTTTTTACCCCTACCCCTTGTTTTCGAGTGTCACCCTAACCCCTTGGAACTGAGTTACAGGGTAGTGGTTGAAATCTTCCCTCTGAAATGGGACCCTCAAATAAAAAGAGCATCACTTCATTAACAGCTACTGGCGCTGCTCTGTAGGCGACCCTGCCAGTCTGCAGTGACAGCAGAGGAGGGTAAAGTTCAGCTCCTCACTGCTGGGCTTTAGTTACATTTAGGGCATCATATGGTTACAAAGAGGGGGGCAATTATTTATTATCACCCACCACTAATTCTTCAGTGATACGAAGCTGAAGTCAGATATTCTCCAGCTTCTCGTTCGAATTTTCCCGTTCCACCTTAAATGGTGCAGCAGTTACATTCTGGTGCCTTTGACGTCAGAAGCATTTAAGGTGGAACAGAAAATTAGCTAGCTACCAAAACATCAGCAAACCACTGGCAATTTATTAAGCTTATTATGAAGAAAACGTCCATAATACATTGAAACAACATAAACTAAGATAAAACAGTGGTTATGTTGTGGGTTTCTTTGCTCTCCTGTTCAGCCATCATGCCAGTTTCTCTTTTTTTCACATAACTCTCTGTTTAGAGTCTCTGAAAAACCTCCGTTTGGGGGGCCATGTAGCCCAACACTTCACCCTACCCCTCTATCTCAACAAGAATTGGGACCCCCTACCCCTAGTCGTGAATGGGCAAAACGGAGGCGTAAGGGCTAAGAGGTAGGGGCGAGGGGTGAAATGGGATTGGGCCATAATTTACCCCCCATGGATCGTTATGTAACAGCACAAATCTGTCATGTTTCGTCATGTTAGCTCTGCTTAGATGTGTCTATTTGGCTTAGCGCAAGACGCAATATCAGCTGCTTGAGTCGCCACATTCTCACACACTCAGTCAAAAACACAGACAAGATTAATAGTTAACTATTTAAATACCTGATTAAGTAAACAGAGACGAGCCAAAGTTGGCATAACTGTATATTCGAATAACCACACCCATCCCTAATGAAATCATGACACTTTTGAGGTGAAGTTCCTAAATTCCAACTTGTCGGGAGCTGGAATAAAAAGAAAAACTCAGGAGAATGCAGTGCCACGATTTGGCCTGCGGTGATTCAAGCAACTCACTGGCTGTTTGTGAAGCACGCTTGTCCATGGCTGGAGTCAGAAAGCTAAAGGCACAGGGAGCTGAGCTGCAGGCTGCCACAGCTCTCTCACCAGGCCAGATGCATTGTGGGTGGGATGGACTACCAGGCTTGTTCCAGTTCAGGCCACTGGTCACTTCAGCTGCTAAAAGCCTGAGCTCCAGGCCACAGTTCTACAGCGGTGTAGGGGTCTGGCAGAGGCTGGACTGGTGGAGGTTTAGGTGAGGCTGGCGTTGGAGCTGCTCGTGTTGCTGTGCCTTTTCTGCCCGCACTGGACGATGCTGGGCACCTGCAGCCCTGTCTGCACAGAGAAGCTCCCGTTCCACACCTACAGGGGGGTGACAAAGAGCACGGTGATAAAAGGGCTGACACCACAGAACTAAAAAAAGGCCTTTAAAAAACATCAGTTTTAAGCAGTGACCACCAAAACCTCCTTTTGGAGATCTACTTTACGTCCTTTAGGAGAAGGTCTGGCTGCAGACATGCACCCTCAGCCTGACATGCATTGCCAGCCTATTGATGATGTCAGTGCCGCTCTGCCACACACACAGTGTTTTTGGCGGGTTTATGAGGAAAAACAGTGATGATCATGAACTGCTGGGCAACAAGAGTTACACTGAATATATAATAACGTTGTCATACTGATAATAAGGTAATTAAATATGGAAACTTTCAAAATAAAACATACAACGACGATCAGACATGAATATCAGGTTTATTCGCAGAAAAAACAAAAAAGGCTACTGAAACTCATGAAGCCGTGCTGAAGACGATCAGAACCGGTTATTAAAAACTGTAATACTGATTAAAATAGAACTCATTAAGGATTCTAGGAGGTTGTGACATCATACAGTCAATGTAGTACCGATTACTTTAGCAGTGTCGTCAGCGTCATCACAACCTCCTAGAAAGTTGTCAGACAATGTTCATAACTTTCTGAGGAATTACATTTCAGCGTTGTGACAATGTAGAGAGCATCAAGCAGACGACGCTGTGGCACCAAAACAGGACGGTGTCACAACGTAACTGTGTTTGCAGCGCCGTTAGGAATAAAACCTGATTGAACGTATCTGGAATCAGTCCCAGAAGACCCGATTAAACGATCAGAATCCTTTACACTGTGATATCAACCCATCAGGAAAACACAGAATACCATTAGCGACTACTGAAAACCACCAGGAACCAACAGACACTTTTAATGGGTTCTACGACTTTTTTCAACAGGGAGGTACATTAAATGTAACTCTAGCTGAGTTATGGACGAAAAATGGATTAAGTGATGATGTCACTAAGCAGCAGCAGCCAAATGTTACCGTGCCGTTGGGCGGCTTCTGCCGTCGTGGCAGAGAGTGCATGTGCACGTGACGTCACTGGGGCTGAGAGAGCATCTGTCTGAGAGAGCAGGTCTGCAGACAGACTCTACTGACCTTTAGTTCCAATCTGCATCTAATATCTATATATAATATCTATACTGTGGTTGGAAATAAACTCCACAGGAAGTTGGATCTCCTGGGGCCGGATACACGAAAGCGTCTTAAGAAAGAAAATCCTCTTAAAAATGTTTTTTCTTCCATTCATAAGAAAAAAAGTTACTAGAAATTGTTATTCGTCAAATAACTTCTTAAGAATTATTTTCTTTTCATAACTATTTTCTTAAGAATAATTCTAAGTACAAGTGGTTTTCTTGAAAATATTATGTTCTTAAATGTTTTAACCTTACTACAGTTTCACACTGGTCTCGGGCTGTAAGAGCTGACAAGGTCAACATCTAACTCTTTTCATGGACGCTGCCTCTGCTCTATTAGCAGATTAAACTAAATAACAGAAATAACAGTTAATATAAATTTAAAATGTATCTCGCATCGTTTATGGTATGCAGTAAAATGCAACGTAACAACAAAGATTTTCTGAAGAAAATCTTAAGAAAACATTTAAGTTTTTTTTTGTTTGTTTGTTTTTTTGAGAAATGCATATAAGAACATTCTTATGAACTTTTTAGGACCTTTGAGTTTTTTCTCAAAAAAGAGTTCATCTATTCGGCCCCAGGATCTTAAGGGTCAATGACCGCTAGTTTAAAGGAGCAGTCTGGAGTCGAATTTACACAATAACTACAGTGTACACTACAATATAGGAATAAAAAACAATTTTGACGGAACTTCTGTCGATTTTTACAGATGACTGTATGTCATTTGCCTGCTGCAAGTTAACAGAGTTACCGTGTTAACAGCCGCCAGGGATGGTAAAAACTCATTTACTGTGAGTAAAATGTCAAAGAAGGTCACAGTTTCATTGATTCACTGATTCTTGGTTTCATACAAACCACGACAAGATAGTAGTTTCCATTTGATCTCCATTCTTTCTTACTAGATTAATTACAGTTTAATGGCCAAACTGACTGGACACTAAGAAAATATGTTACTGCAATCATGACAAATTTCATCGTGATAAATTATATGCTTTTCTGACCATGTCGTGGATATCACCTGTACTTAAAGAACACTGACCATCTGCATGTTTCATTACAAAGAGAGAATAATTAGTCCAGTTAATACCCATTGCTCCCAGAGTTTTTAGGATGTTGCACTACAAGTGAATTGTGTGTGTGTGGCAAAGCAGCGTGATATGTATCATATCCTATAAAGCTACGTTCATATTACAAGCCTAGTTACTCAAATCCAATTTCTTACTCAAACCTCTGACAGGATGGTTCACACTCGTTTAGGTAAGTGACTCAAATCTGTCATTAATGTGATGAACCGGCGTCCTGAAATGACCCTCATGAACTCATCCTACTCAGTAACGTCACGTGAGTGAATCACGTTCATCATCAGCACAAACTAACGAGCAGAACGAGCTTCGCTGAGAAGATCATTAACTCTGATCAGCTCTCAGCTTCATTATTAGAGCGAGACGAAGGAGAAAAAGGTGAGATGAGCTGCTTTTCCACCGTTTACAGGCTTTAACTTGCTGCCATGGTAACGCTGAATGATGGAAAAAAGGCGCAGTGGAAAAAAGCACATGAATTCAGATCCGAGCGTCACATTAAGGTCACATGGCCACAAATCGGATACGTTTCCGATCTAGGACCACATATGAAAATGGCTCTGGTAGGATTTGAAAAGATCAGATTTGTGTCCACACAGCCCTGAAAACATCAGATCTGAGTCACATTAGGGCAAAAAATCAGATTTGTGCCACTTCAGCCTGGTAATGTGAACGTAGTTAATTCATTAAGGACATTTCTAGCTAATATATTCTCAGAAGACAGTCTTGTAGTTTCTCACCATGAAGGCTGGAATGACCGGCTGCTGGAACTTGGTCCTAAAAGTGTGCATGAGTGTTTTGGTTCTGGCGTTGTAGAACGACAGAGTGCCTGGGGACAAAATAGGAAATCACACCCATACAACGAAATGCATTACTGTCATTTTCAGTCATTCACAAATCAGTTCTAGCACACATTGTACACTCTTAAAAAAGATGGTTCTTCAAGGGTTCTTTACGAAAAGAAAACGGTTCTGTATAGAACCATGAACAATCAAAAATGTTTTGCATGATTAAAGGGTTCTTTGCATCATGAAAGGGCCCTTTAGGTTGACGGAACATGTGCATGAATGTGCTGTAGATGGTTCTATATAGAACCTTTTTGAAAAGGGTTCTATATAGCACCCAAAAGGGCTCTTCTACTGTTACAAGCTTGACATCTAAGGCACGTTCCCCATCAATGTAAAGAACCCTTTCATGATGCAAAGAACCCTTTAATCATGCTCTTTTCTCATTCTTTGAGTGTTCATGGTTCTATATAGAACCATTTTCTGTACCAAAGGACCCCTGAAGATCCATTTTTTTGAGAGTGTAGTATGTTTCCTACTCTAGTTCACACAGTCCAGCATATAATTAGCTCAAAAGATATGCCCAGTTTAACCCCCTTAAATTCTAGCCGCCTGTTTGTCGGTTAAACATTCATAGTAGTTTCTGAATAATTTACAGTAAATACTGAGTAACTCACAGTAGATACTGAATAATTCATAACAGTTACTGAATAATAAATCTTAACATTAATATCTCAATAATAAACCTGCTTAATTCAAGTAAACAGGAATTAAAGCAGGTCGTCTCACCCTCGTCGTAGTTGCAGTAGATGCCGATGCGGTCAGGGATGGGGCAGTCTAGTGTGCGGGCCTTGTTGTTGTGCTTGGCTGTGAGGCTCTGCTGGAGCCAGTTGTTCAGGTGGATGCACCAGGACGCACTGGTCTTCCCCAGCTGGTCAAATCGGCCCAGAGAGCGCAGCGCTACGCCAGCGGCGAAGGTTTTACTCTCCTTATCAAACCTCACCTCCCAGTACTGCTGTCCTGCGTCTATCATAGTGTCAGCTGTGAACAACAGGCAGGAGATAGAAACAGTCAAATGGGTTCCAGTGGGTGGGAAACATGACTATATAGATGTACCATTTGCTCCCCAGTCTATACTGTCCATATACGGAAAATAACTCAGAGGCAAAGTCAATCAGAATAAAGTGTGTATGTATATATATATATATTGACTTACATTAAAAGTAAAGTCTGGTTTTCCCTTCTCCTGTAAAGTTACCATTTTGGAGATACGAGGTTTTATTCCAACAGCAGTGACATTATATATATATATATATATATATATATATATATATACATATATACACACACATACACACACACACACATACATATATATAGACCATTTCTTTTCACCCTTAGAATTTGACAGTCTGATGTTAATAGTGTTTACATAAAAAAGTGTGTGCATATATATATACACACACACACACACACTTACATTTTTATATGAACACTACTAACGTCAGACTGTTAAATTCTAAGGGTGAAAAGAAATGGTCTGTGAAATGGTCATGTAAAAACGAACTGTGACTAATTTTTTATTATTTTTAGAAAGCAATCTAAATTAGTCCTGTTTAGGGGATTTAGTGCAGTGCAGTGTGTTAAACACTACTGGTGCTTTTATGTCTGCAGTGATTCTGCAATGATGCATTTCATGTACTGTGATGTCTTAAAAATATCAGAATGTCATCTTCAGAAACATGTTTTGGCTGAATACATTCGGGATACAGGGGGGTAAACTGTATAATTTCATTTTAGGTCAAACTATCACTAAGTTGCAAGCTGCTATTCAAAATTGTTAATCTTTAAAGGGCCCATATCACAGAAAACTGAATTTTCCATGTTTTTTTTTAATTAAGAGTTTGATATAGTATGTAAACAATATCAGTATCAAAACACTTCCCAGTCCATATATGAAACTGAAGCAGCAAAAACAGCTCATTTTGCGTTCATCATTTCTGTGATGTCACAAAAAAAAAAAAACTGCATTTACATATATCCATGTATTCCGCCTACAGGAGTTTAGCACCACACATTCAAGTTGAAGTGACAAAAACAGAATATTTAATTCTAAAGGATAAAAAAATAAAACAGTCATGTAGAAGTTAATTATGACTATTTTTGGTACATAAAAGAGACTGGAGTCAAAATACATGAGCAAGCGAATGAACCTGGTCCACAGAACCCATTAAACTGTGTTATAAAGCACCCACAGCATTAAAACTGTTACTAGAAGTGGTGCTGCTTTCTCGTTTGTCCTTTTCCAAGGATCTTATTAGTATGGATGATGAGAAGTTTCCCCTCCAAACTCACCCAGAACGGTGTAGGACTCTGCTGTGAAGCGATCGCGACCCACCCGAGCAGATGGCGCTCTCTTCGGAGACATCATAGCCGTCCTGAGGAGAGGAACGCATAATGAAGTCAAACAGTGGAGCAGCGCAGATAAAATGGATAAAAATAGGCAGGGCTTTAACATGGCAGCTGTTAATGTTTTAACTATGCTAATGAACTTTAGTCCATGTTTCTAGATATCAGTGCGTCATACAGTGTCAGAAACCACAATCAAGTCTCTTATTAAATCAAATCTGTCTTATTAAACAGCTCCACATGGTTTGAGTCAAGCGTGTGATGATTTAGGCAGTTAGCACATTATTAGCCTCAGAGCTACAGTGCAAAACTAAAAACAAACTTCAGAAACACGACTGATTAACTACATTTGCATTACTCGTTAAAGGACCAATAACCTAGTTTTTTCCCCTTTTTTTGGTCCACTTAAGATGTTTGTGTAGCTTTATGTATTTAAAAGTGTCATCATTCATTTTTACTTGATCATTTTCCAACCCCTTTAGAATTAAACAGTCTTTTTATTACTGTGCCTTTAAGACTGATATGTTTAAATGACCTTTATTCTGATTGGCTGCCCTGCATTTTGACTTATCCACATTCCTTATAAATCCAGCATGATTGAGTGGGGCTAAGCTGCTGCAGGCTGAATAGGTGGACATATGCAACGACTTTAGGCTACGTACACATCACTGATTGAGGTTGAAGTGGCACAAATCCGATTTTTGCCCTAATGTGACTCAGATCTGATGTTTTCAGGGCTGTGTGGACACGCAAATCTGATCTTTTCAAATCCGATCTGAGCCACAGCTCTCAGCTTTTGCATACGACTGTATATTGAGCAACACATCAGATCCTGCATTGTCTTGGCTGTAGGTTATTTACAGAAGCTGACCTGGCAGGTGAGTGCATGGGGGAGCTGGTTCTGTTCTTGTCTTTGCGGATGTCTTGAACCGGAACCTTTCCTCCACTGCTGTCCCACTCCACGACCAAATCCTCCACCTTCAGGTTCTGGTGGGCTGAACCTGCATCCAGCTTGAAAACAAAAGCTGTGTGGAGAAAGACAAAGTCTTAAAGTTCAGCCTAAAAGGGAAAATCCACTCTATTTGACAAAACTGACCTTGCATTGTTTAAATGTTAAGATGTAAACATTAAGGTTTTGGCATAAACTTGAAACTTGAAAAATTTGTAATATTCATTCATGGAGGAGGAACTGAAGAGACAGAATAGGCCCCAAAGGAAACTTATTGTTTCAGATTTTCCACTATTTTACCATGGATATATATACACACACACACACACACACACAAACACACCGATCAGGCATAACATTATGTCCACCTCCTTGTTTCTACACTCATTGTGCATTTTATCAGCTCCACTTACTATATAGGTGCACTTTGTAGTTCTACAGTTACAGACTGTAGTCCATCTGTTTGAGTATCAGATGATTATGATTATCAGAGGAGAGCTTTAGTAGCATATATTGTTTACTAAAGGTGGAAAAAGGCACCTAATTTTATAATACTGGGTTCGCCAAGGTTTATTTATATAGCTCTTTTTACAACAGGCGGTGTCACAAAGCAGCTTTACAGAAAAATTCGGGTCCGAGCCCCCATGAGCATCAAAGGCAAGAAAAACTCCCTAAGAGCAAGAGGAAGAAACCTGGAGAGGAACCAAGACTCAAAAGGGGAACCCATCCTCCTCTGGTCAATACAGGATAGCGAACACTAACAAGGGCAATATGAACAGAGAATAAGGTAAAAAACTGAGCGCTTGATGGAATGTTCTGCTGGAGCAACTTTGGCCAGCAGCTCGCAACATTAGCCTACGTAGATAGTCCAAGGACAGAAGAGCTAAAATCTGCAAACTACTGACTGAATGTTTATTTATTGTTTAAACTATGCATGTGAACTTCAGGCTAACCCCAGTCAGGACATATCTGGGTTAATAATATGTGCTAAAGTATATAAGGAGACTACTTTACTGTCATATCTGTTACTGTAGCCTGTGTTTTTTTTAACCAATAAAGCCTGAAGCCTTTTTTTTATATATAAAACGCAGTGCTGTGTTTAATGTTTTCCTTGGTCAAGTCCATAATTGTAGGCAGTTAACCATTACTCACAGATGGGCTGTGGTTGGTTACTGGTCTTAAGAATTTGCCACACTAGCTCAAGCACTGTGTGTGACTGCTGTCTTCAGCTGTCTGTCTCTCAGCACATCAGCTCACATGTTTTACCCTCAGTCAATAACATCACGCCTCATTGGCCTTTATGGGTATGGGTGTCTTACCGTGTGTTTCCAGAGTAACCGGCTCAGAGAACTCTCCAGCCACAGCCTTGTTACACGCCTTCACCCGGAAGGTCATGTAGCGCGTGTCAAACCGAAGACCTGCACAAACACACAAACGCAATAAATACAGGGAGGACGGCCACAGTGGTAAAGACTGACTTAACCGCCATTAACAGAGGCCACCCACTGTGAATACATACTGGTAAATATCACACCCACAACCTTATCAGTAATTAGCCTATGTAAATAACCTACAGCCAAGACAATGCAGGATCTGATGTGTTGCTCAATATACAGTCGTATGCAAAAGCCTGAACACCCCCAGGGAAACGACATGTTCTGTTGAGTGAAGTGAAAAGAAGTTAACACATCCTCCACAGCAGGGCTGCACGATATTCACATAAAATGTGATGTTCGATGAAACCGTTGGATATCACAATGATATGAAGCGATAAATGACTATTAAAACAATGTGTCTCTGGCTGGATGTAAAACAAGTGCAGACATTTCTTTGGGGATGTGTAAACAGAAATCTAACTAATCTCTCTTCAAACCTCTCTTTAAACAAATATAACATTTAATAAAAAATCATAAAAGCACCATTTACTATTCTGCAAAATAAAAAGAAATTAAATACCAACAACTACTTGCAAGAACTGCAAGCACATTTGAGCTTTTTCTATAAAGGCTACAGAACCAAATAAATATACATGTATTTTAATGTAAGCACACACAAACAAATAAATATTCTTGTTTCATCGCACTCTTTGTTTAGTTTTTAAGTACTGTGGCTTCAGACACACCGGTTTGGATTTAGTTTAAAAGTAACGTTGTTCTTGCTTTTGGTTGAGTGTAGTTAGGCGCCGTGTTCTTAGTTGGTCTGGGACTCTTATTTTGAAGGATTCTGGGGGGTGTAGCAGCAGCCTGTGTGCTGCGTTTTTCCCCTTTGCTGCAGCTGTTTTAAGATGAATTTGCATTAAACCCGAGTTATGGGGACATTTTAAGGTCTCAGTGTGTATTTTGTAGTTGAATTTCCGTTAAAGCTGAGTTATGGGGACATTTGTATGTATGATGTAATTAGATCTGTTCTGTCATCGCTGCCCTAACAATGTGTTTATTGCGGAAACTCATCTCAATAACGATAAAAATACGATTTATCATGCAACCCTACTCCACAGAGAACTCACTGGGAAAACACAATACATAAAATGCACCACAACTCATACAAACATCTCCACAGCCACTATCAGTAACCATCCAGAGTGAGTACAGTACAGTAGTGCTGCTCTACCTCTCAGCGTGTACTCTGTCTCTTTAATTCCCTCCACCACCATCCAGGGGTAATCTTCTCGGGCTCTGGGCGGTCCCTCGTGGTTGGTCCGCCGGTACTCAAGGTCATAGTGGTCGATTTTAGAGTCGGGTTCTGGTAGCGTCCACACCACAGTGACAGAGTTATCACAAACCTGACACTCGGACACCTGGATCTCTGGAGTAGCAGGAACTGCAGACAGAGACAGAGGTTTTACCATAGGAGTAAATACTGAATACACACTGAATTTATCTGATATGTTAGGAAACGATTCAGTACATATTGTACCCATCTTTTTCCCAGTTTAGCTGTTGCTAATTCTCCCATCAAGCTCAGTCCCCTGCCTCGCTGCACAATACAGTACCTCTCTAAGGTCTGGACACCTACGCATTTTTTTCACTATTACTGAATAGTGCTACTAAAACTATGGAGTTACTGCAATGGCCTTACTTATACCCAATGTATCTCACAACACTGCTACAACTCAAGGCCCAAACGTTAATGTGGGCCGCTGTTCTACTAATTAACATTTAATGAGGCACACATAGTAACTAGGGTGATGTAATGCATTGTTTCCCTCGGATGTGAAATAGACTGGGGGAGACTCAGACTGCAAAACATAAATAAATAACAAAATTCATAATACTATATCGTTTAAGAACTGTGATCAGATATTATAAATATACATGTTTTTCATTTACAAGACTGTCAGTTACATAAAAATATTAAAAACACTACGACTTCTTTATTAACAGTGCAAATTTATTTCTTTATGTCTTCTTTGAGCGACAGTGATTTTTTTTTCCCTATTAAACTATTTACTGCGACATAGTTAAAACAGATGGTCTGACCTGGTGCTTATTTGTTCTGTATTTAGAAGGACTCATTCAGCTCTAACCTGTACTTTTTTTCATTTCTTCTTCTTCGCCTAACTCCCTCAGTTTTTTTCACTTTACCACACAAATGGCTCCTTTTCTTTCTTTCTTTTTTTGGTTACATCTTTTTAATGTATTTATTGTTTAACTAACACCTCTTTGAGATCTAATCTTCCCACAGCTATTGGGAACGATTACATACAGTTTTCTCTGCCTTTTTGCACGTCGTCCTCGGTTGGGATCCTTGTGAATCAGGACTTGAGTGAAATCTAAAAGTCACGTTCAAACTCTGAGGGTCTGTTTACTGTGAAACTGACCTGGGAGGAATTTGATGGCCTGCAGCATCTGCCTCTCCTGAGTGAAGTCCACCATCAAATGACTCATGCTGTCACTGGCTTTAGCCTTTAGAGAGAGCCGAAAGGCTGGCGCCATGGTAACACTGCGCACACCCACACACACACACCAAAAACAGTTAAATACAACTTCTGAAGTCTAGAAACTCATTTACTGAACATGCAGAGCAGAGTGACCAAGATGAACAGAATTTCTGATGGTATATAATAAATTCATGTGGCACAAAAGACATAAAACTGAGACTAAATAACAAACTAAGACGAAAAAAATAAATTTAGGCCCAATCCCGTTCCCCCCCTCGCCCCTACCGCTCAGCCCTTAGTCCTCTGTTTTGCGCGTTCACGTCTAGGGGTAGGGTGTCCCAATTTATGTTCAGATAGAGGGGTAGGGCGAAGTCTGAGGGCTACATGACCCTCCAAACGGAGGTTTTTCAGAGACTACAAACAGAGAGTTATGAGAAAAAAAGAAAAACCGGCAAGATGAGCGAGAGTCCAAAAAACCCCACAAATGTGAGAATTTTCTCCGTTAAAAATTACGATAACCACTGTATTATCTTAGTTTAATGTTGTTTGTGTATTATGTTCGTTTTCTTCACAAAAAGCATGAAAAAAATCGCTAATAGCATGTTAATGTTTCAGTAGCTAGCTAGCCGTTCCACCTTAAATATTCCAGCAATATTGACTCCTGAACCGCTAGAATGCCAAGTATATGTAACTGCTGCACCATTTAAGGTGGAACGGGAAAATCTGAACAAGGCGCTGGTGAATATCTGACTTCAGCTTCATATCACTGCAGAATTAGTGGAGGGTGATAATAAATAATTGTCCCCTCTTTGAAGATCATATGATGCCCTAAATGTAACTAAAGCCCAGCAGTGAGGAGCTGAACTTTACCCTCCTCTGCTGTCACTGCAGACTGGTAGGGTCGCCTACAGAGCAGCGCTGGTAGCTGTTAATGAAGTAATGCTCTTTTTATTTGAGGGTCCCATTTCAGAGGGAAGATTTCAACCACTACCCTGTAACTCAGTTCCAAGGGGTTAGGGTGACATTTGAAAACAAGGGGTAAGGGTAAAAAGAAGAAATGGGACTGGGCCTTAGCCACAGAATGTGAGGATCTAGCCAGAAGAAGATGAGTGAAGAATGAGCCATGAAGAAAATGATGATAAGGCAGTTGCTAGCATTCAGAATGACGACAACAATGATGACGGTGTGAGAATGTGCTGCTCTAAACTGTTCACTTCTCTAAAACCAGAATCTCCCAGTCACAGTCATGGACCACCACAGCACTGCAGTTTCATGGTTTTCTCACCTCAGCTATTTACAAAATGGCAATAATGGACAAAATATGTTGCATAGCTAAAAACAGTGTCAGTGACAGTGGCTACCTGCACTTTCACTCATTTTTATATAGAGTGCCATTCAAATGTTTAAAATGCTTGTAATATTAATAGCTGTTATTCAGTAATAACAATCTGATAAGACTGAAATGTTATAAACCAAAACGTATATTTTAAATACATTTAGTATTTTCACAAACAACAAAATTAATTCAATTATGGTATAACAAAATTATTAAATAATAAACAGCAATTAGCTCTTAATAATGATTTCTTGACATACAATTACTATGAACAGCTAACTGATCAGCAAGATTTGGTCACTGTATTTTAAATGTGAGGTAATCTTGACGGTAATTTTATTGTAATTTCTTTCTTCATGCAATAAACTTTTCTCAGTAATCATTAAAAATTTCTTACATTTTACAGCTTTCTACAAATTGTTTGAAAACTATGGATTATTAGCATCATATTAAAATCATTTTATTCATGTATCTGCAACAAAATTAGTTTTATATAATTAAAAACAGTCATTCTAAACTTTTGAACAGTAATAAGTGGACAAAAGTGGGACACAGCCTCACTGTTTTTAGCTATGCTAATGTACACCGATCAGTCATAACATTATGAGCACCTCCTTGTTTCTACGCTCAGTGTTCATTTTATCAGCTCTGCTTACTATATAGGTGCACTTTGTAGTTCTACAGTTACAGACTGTAGTCCATCTGTTTCTCTGCATACTTTGTTAGCCCCCTTTTACCCTGTTCTTCAGTGGTCAGGACCCCCATAGACCCTCACAGACCCCCATGGACCCTCACAGAGCGGTGGATCATTCTCAGCACTGCAGTAACATTGATGTGGTGGTGGTGTGTTAGTGTGTGTTGTGCTGGTCTGAGTGGATCAGACACAGCAGTGCTGCTGGAGTTTTTAAACACCTCAGTGTCACTGCTGGACTGAAAATATTCCACCAACCAAAAATATCCAGCCAACAGCGTCCTGTGGGCAGCGTCTTGTGACCACTGATGAAGGACTAGAGGATGACCAACACAAACTGTGCAGCAGCAGATGAGCTATCGTCTCTGACTTTACATCTACAAGGTGGACTGACAAGGTAGGAGTGTCCAATAGAGTGGACAGTGAGTGGACACAGTGTTTAAAAGCTCCAGCAGCACTGCTGTGTCTGATCCACTTGTACCAGCACAACACACACTAACACAGCACCACCACGTCAGTGTTACTGCAGTGCTGAGAATGATCCACCACCCAAATAGTACCTGCTCTGTGAGGGTCCATGGGGGTCCTGACCACTGAGGAACAGGGTAAATAATAATGTTATGCCTGATCGGTGTACTTTAGTCCATGTTTACAGACCACATAATCAAGTCCATTACAGATTATTCAAACCCATTTAGGTGTGCAGTTTGCACCATGCTAATTGGTGGATTATTAGCTTCCAGTGTAGCTCCAGTGCAAAACTAAAAAAGCAAATCAAAGTATATCTTAGCTGATTACTTACATTTGGGGTAAAGGAGAAAATTGAGTTTTTTCACCAAACTATCACTTTAAAAAGCTCTTCTTGAGCTCAGAAAAAGGAAACAACTAAACTGTGGAGTGCTGTGGCTCCCAAAGGCTGACATGTGACACCCTGGTCTAAATACACAGCTAGGTGTGCACAGGTGTACTGTACCTATCCTTTATGTCTTTGGCCGCCTGAAAGCAGAGGAGGAAGAGAGAAAGAGGAAGAGAGAGGAGTACAGAAGAGGGGAGAGAGAGAAGTGAGTCACACTGAGACTTCACAATAAAACAATACATCAGTCATACAAGCATGGGTTAGCTGGAGAGGCAGGCAGGGGCAGCAACAACCGCTGCATTGTTAGAAGCCCCGGTTACAAAACCAGAACAAAAACCACACAAAGGCTGCAGCCCCATTACTGATACAGACATGTCAGAAAAAACATCATAATAATCCTCATTCACAATAACGGGAGTCTTGATTCAAATCAAAGCTGCTAAGCTGCTGTAGGCTGAGTATGTGGATGTACGTAAATGTGTTTATTACAAAAACATCTCATTCAAAACGAGTCATTTCTGCAACTTAGTTTCCAAATATGGACTGTAGGGTCTGTCTGGGGTGTGAGCAGTAAAAGACTGAAACTTTAACAATGTTTACTACATCAAACTTTCATGTCAAAAAAGGGATTAATTTTGGATTTCTATAATGTGAGCCCTCAAAAATAAGAATATGATGGGATATTCCAATATTATTCATTAAAAATGCAGATATTCAAATATTTACATATTCAAAATGGTTTAACCGAACATCCTCAATTTACAAAGCATAATAATATTTAAAATCAATAACATTACTGAGTTCACAGTTACATAAAATAGAAAAGTGAAAAACCTCAGAACCTCCTGATGAAAGTGAGTGTATAAGATCTTGTGATGGGTGTGGAGGGGGGCACCTGAGTAAAGCCGTCAGTCTCATTCGAGCAGAGCGTCTGATTGGCCAGTTCCAGCAGCTCCTCTGAACTCTCCAGGGCTTTGGTGCAGGCACTCAGCTGATTCTGAGGAGACACAGCAGCGCAGCACAGACGCAGTTAACTAGCTGAACCCTAAAAGGGTCTGTATGTAGACCCACATTTCAAACCCCCACTCTCAAAACTACAGAACTTCCACATTAGTTTCACAGCAGTTACTGAACGATTAACAGATGAATGACTTAAATAAGAAACTTATTCGCACTTAATAACTTAAAAAAGTCTGCGCTACACAGGATTAACCACTTAACATCTGATGGAAAAGACTGAATAAAACATTGGCTGACTAGAGAGCTTGGAGCCCTCCTAAAAAGGCAATATAGGGAAGCAGACTATGGACTGTGTGCAGTAGATTCTCTAACGGAGGAAGAGTTTCTGGGTCCACAGAAGGGAGATGACAGTTTAAATATAGCTGGAATTGTGTTAAAGGGGTGGGGAGATTACCTCATCACCCCAGAGGGGAATAAAAAGGGATGTTCTGAGATGTTCTTTGCATTGTGGTTGACTGGGAACCATCTTGCCATTTGATGCTCAATGAAGCGAAGGCCTTTTCCTTCCTTCCACAAGAACTCAGCGGCTGAAGTCTTACTGAGTCTTACTCATTCCTTTTTATCCTTTTCCATTTTTGTTGATACTCTTTAATTCTTTTCATGCTTTTTGAAGATATTAGATTACAGAAAGTTATTAGGGCAAATGATCTAGACAACATTAGAGTTACTTATAAATGTCCAGACCCTGGGCAAAAGAGAGAGAGCTCTTGGCAGCAACACATCTCAGCGATGTCAAGCTTGTAACAACAGAAGAACCCTTTTTAGTGCTATGTAGAACCATTTTCAAAAAACTTCTATATAGAACCATCTACAGCACATCCTCCATCAATCTGAAAAGCTTTCATGATGCAAGGAACCCATTTATCATTCAAAGAGTTCTTTGAGTGTTCATGGTTCTGTAGAGAACCATTTTATTTACTAAAGAACCCCTGAAGATCTTTTTTAAGAGTGTAGATTAAAAATATGCAAACTGAGTTACGGAAGTGAGGAGTGGAAGCCTGGTGGTGGCTCCTGGACATTTTAAGGGGTCAAATGATCTTGTGCTACAAGCTACAAACATATTTGGACACTTTAACCATTAATCATTGGTAAACATTAGTGAAGTTCTTTAGTTTACTTCATAAAATGTTTAATAAAATGAAGTGTTTCAATAAAAAACATTAAACTGACGGTCACCTGGAGAAAAATTCCTACCAGACTGCACTAAGGGTTCTGTAAACCTCAAAGTCCGCAAATTTAAAGCTGCGCTATGTACGTTTTGGGGAGTTGGAGACCTCTCTGGTGGAAAAGTGTAATTGCACACAACATGCTACAACATTTTGTAGCATGGGTTGTGCTTCGGACCCCTTCCCTGAGTGGGTGAACCTGATGATTGAAAGAGAATCCAAAGAGAACGCGTCTTCAGAGGATGTGAGTGAATTATCTACCATCATCATCATATCTTCATCAGTATAATGTTGATTTTGAGATCATTTGGGACCTAAATATCAAGCCGGACCTTCTTTTTAAACCTGTGCGTGTGACATTAATACATAAAGATGTAGAACAGGGTCGGAAAAAACTCCCAACCAGATGCCTATGACTTCTAAATGACTGTTTCAGGCTTTGCAGGGCAAATCGAAGGGGTGCACACTCACTACATTGTAGTTTTTCTTCTTCTCACTCAGTAAAGATATTTCTGTCAGTTTTAAGAAAGCAAATCTTACATAGTACAGCTTTAGAGTGAGATATCATGATATATACATAACCAGTATGATCACAGGCCACCAGCGGCTGTGTTCAGACAGGCCTGGAGGGCTATAAAAAGGATTATACAGAGACTGGATAATCCCAGAGGATCCGTTCCTGCCCACAGCTCAGTCCAGCTCCCAGCTGAAGAGTACAGAGCAGTCTGAGCCAGCTGAGGCCTTTCACTCTCCAGGTGTGCATATAAAAAGCTCTGGCCTATTAATGATGGATTCATGAGATGGATTTTAATTATCTGTATTGTCCAGCTTGAATGCAGAGTACATTCAGATATTCACACATAAATGCATATACATGAATACAACTGTGATACGTCTTAATGATATTTAGCAAAATTGCTTTAAATTTATATAATTCAAATAGTTAAACATGAACAATATTTTATGTTTATCGCTTTCGGTTTCGTTCTTTTGGAAAGGATTTAAGATGTAATGTTTTATTCATGACACTCTTGAATTAAAATCCCCTTTTCTGTGAATATTCAGTTAAACATAAGAGCTACCACCAAGGGTGGTCGATACAGCAAAAATATAACACCACAATACTTCAAGACATTTTCGCGGTGCATAATATGAATCACAATAATTTGTTTTCCCAAAGATTGAAAAAAAAACAAAACAAAACAAAACAGTAGAGCCACACTTAAAAAACAACTACCAAAACTATTTCTGTACTCGAGTAGCTGATTTACCATTCAAGGAGCCAGTATTCGAATACTGAAATCACTACTTGGGAATTTATTACAGTTCATCAGTGGACAACATATACTTAAGCAATAGAGCACAGAGGGAGTGTGTTATCACGAAATAATATCACAGTCGTGATGTTATTGGCGATAACACACTCCTCGAGTGTTCTATTGCTTTTATACAACAGTTAAATAAATAAAGTAATAAATTAATAAACTGGGCCGTGAACGCGGCGTTTAATATGTTTTAATGTTCTCAGTTCCTTCACCAAATTATAGTTCCTTAACAAGCAGCTTGTTGCTACGTCAGAGCAACAAGCTCCGCCCACTCGCTGCACAGCCGGCAGTTCGTTCTCCAGCTCCTCACACTAAATTCCCAAACTGTCATCACCACTGAGCAGCTTTTCAGTCGGCAGCTGAGACAGAAGAACAGCTAAACCACCTGGAATCAGCCAGAAATTAACCCAATACCATTCACTAAACGTGTAGTCTGATCTTCAGTCTGACCAAATCAGACTGAGCCATAAAACTGCCGCAATATTAGATTTAGCTCAGTTTTGTCAGTTTTTGCCAGATCAATATTAATGTTGTTTTGTTCCAGCCAGTCTGTAAAGCATCTTACAGCCCATTTAGTTTGGCGAATGGTGTTGGGTTCATTTCTGGCTGATTCCAGGTTGTTCAGCTGTTCTTCTGTCACAGCTGCCGACTGAAAAGCTGCTCAGTGGTGATGACAGTTTGGGAATTTAGTGTCGTCTCATCTTCAGAGTCTAATTTTTGTGCAAGGTAAGACACAGCTCGACACTCATTTCAGCCGAAATAGTTTTTTAGTTGATATTTATCCTCATGACGCGGCGCTAAGGTTGGCTACAACTGACTCTTTTTTATACATCATGTTGCTTCTGTTGAATGCAGCCTTAAACTGCAGCCAACAGATATGTTTGTTAGCTAATGTTTAGCCTTAGTACTTAGACCCATGACAAAAATAGCGGTGAGCTTTAAGTCGATTGCTGTTACGATTAGCTACGTCTTTTTCATTCAATAAAGCTGAAAGTCTTGTTTGTATAAAATGCAGTGCTGTTTTTGATGTTTTCATGGGTCCACGATTTTAGGTTTGTTGGGTGACAACTAATCACTCACTAATAATGGTCATTTATCAGTCAAAACATTTTGCAAAAACTGGCACTTCTAGTTTAATTCCATCCTCATGCTACCCATATTTTAATCTGAACTGCTTCAGCACTCTTTGGTGGAATATAACACCTAAAACAAAGCAGGATGGGGAGACGGCAACAGTTACAGCTAAAGTAACAATTTGCTGACAAGACATCAAGCATCTTCCTAAGGAATGAATACATTAGTGGAGGGTGAGGTGACAAAAATATAAGTTCACTATACTTTAAGAAATTATACATAACATGCATCACTACGTTTAGCTTTGTTAGAGTCCTGATGAGTTGGAACAGACAAAAAAGAACCTCTAATTATAGTAAAAACTATGAAAACAGTCAGTTTATTCAGCATTTTCCAGACTGCGCTGCACTAAATCCAGGTAAACATGATTAATTATGTTCTATTTCTAATGAAACATGCAGTTGGTCGGTGTGCACTAAACGCAGATGCAGTGTGATGCAGTTTATCACAATAACGAGTGTCATCTCTGGATATTGAATGTTGAATAGTGAATGTTGTCATCTTTCCCTGCCCCCAGCTTACCTAAAAACCTACCTGCTGCGCCTGTGTTTAAGAAATCTGACTTTCACATCATGCTGCCTAAATACTACAAAAAAATGACCATAATCCAAGACATCTGCAGGCCTGGAAATTGAGCTTTTATGATTCCCTGAATTTTCCAGTTTTCCAGGACTGTGAGAAAGCTGTGAATCGAGTCCTGAAGCCTGGCACTCCAGCAGCAGACGCGCAGAAACACTGTTACCCAGAACGTCTCACCTGCAGTTCATACGTGCGGGTGGCCCTCTCCTGTTTGATTCGGGTCACCATGCCCTCCTTCAGCTCGTCCAGGACAGCATGCAAAGAACTGAACTCGGACTCCAGATCCTCCTGGACTCGCGTGGAGTTCGCCTACACACCCACACACACACACACACACACACACACACACACACACAAACACACACACACACACACACACACACACACACACACACACACACACACACACCATGACAGCATGGGGCCAATTAGAAAAGCTTTGGCTCTCAGCCAGGCATTTTAAGCAGCTGATGCTGTTACACAGTACAGTGTTCTGGACAACCACTGCACTCAGTCTTTAGATTTCTCTCTGCTCCAAAACACCTAATTTAACAAGAAAGGAAAGGTTTGAGTTGAGCGACAAAGAGCTGATTAAAAACTGCAGCTGCCCTTCAGGTTTTGAGTCTGAGAACTCTGCGGTTCATTATTCCTCTAGACAAGCGTCTGCACCACGCCCATATTCCACTGTCTCACAGACTACCTCTGCGTGGCGTGAGAGACATGGAACATCTTGCTCTCCTGAAATCTATTTATAATATTTGTGTGGTTTTATGTACCAAAAAGAGCCAATTAACCAATTAAAACCGACCATTTTCCAACCTCTCTTTAAAAACTTTTTTTTGCTACTGTGCCTTTAAGACTGATATATGTAAATAGGCTCTATTCTGATTGGCTATGCCTCATTCAAAAAGCACTCAGAGCTGAAACACTCCTTATAACTTCAGCGTGAATGGGGCGAGGCTTAACTGCTATAGGCTGAACAGGTGGATATATGTAAATAAGTTGGTTCTCATGACATCGCAGAAAAGGTGAACTCCAAACGGGCCATTTTTGCCGTTTAGTTCCACATACAGATTGTTTACATTTTACTTTAAGCTTTAATTAAAAACAAATGAGGGAAATGAAGTTTTCCATAATATGGGCCCTTTAACAGGTCAGAGCATTCAAGGACGCTGCATGAAAATGAAAACAAATGAAAATGAAACGGAATAAAAACATACAGAAATGTAAATTATTTAATTGGCTGCTATCAAATATTAGTTAAACATTCTTTAGTAAAAATGGTTCTAACACTCAAAGAACCCTCTGCATGATTAAAGGGTTCTTTAGATTGGCGGAGAATGTGCTGTAGATGATTCTATATAGAGCCTTTTTGAAAAGGGTTCTATATAGCGCCAAAATATTGTAACCCTTTTTGGTGCTATATAGAGCCCTTTTATAAAAAGGCGTAAGGATGCAAAGAACCCTTTGATCACGCAAAGGGTTCTTTGAGTGTTCATGGTTCTATATAGAACCGTTTTCTTTACTAAAGAACCATTGAAGAGCCATCTTTTTAAGGTCTACCAGGCTTGAAAGCTGTCAAAGGTAAAAAGATGCACTGGATTATCAACAAACCGTATACTGAGCAGCCCTATTTGGCACAAATGATCAAACAGCTGACCAGAAAGATTCTTTACTCGTTTCCTGATGTACCTCTAAGTTCTGCAGACTCTGCTTCAAGCAGCAAATGAAGTTCTGGATCTCCTCATTTTTTAGGGCCAAGGTGGTGACGATCTTCTGGAGGGATTCCTGAAACACACAAATGTAACATCAGGCCCAGCTCTGTTCCACACACACAGCATATAAGCAAGCCTGTCATATGTAGCTTAATCTCTGCAAGACTGACTGTTTAACTGTTTAATTTCAAGCCATTGAGAATTTGCAAGAAAAAAATTCTAAAAAAAAAAAAAATTTGACCATGCACATTTGCACCAAGATTAAAGTGCTCACATCATGGAAAAACTAACTTTTGATTCGTCAGACCAAACGACACTTTTCCACGTCGCCTCAGTCCATTTTAAATGAGCTCAGGACCAGAGAAGGTGGCAGCGTTTCTGGATCCTGTTTCTTCTTTGTATTTTAGAGTTTTATCTTGCATTTGTTGATGCAGTGATGAACTGTTTTCACAGACAGTGGTTTAATGTTATTATGTACCGTAGATGATGAAAAGCAAAAGTTCTTTGCCGTTTTACGTTGAGAAACGCTATTCTTTAATCGTTGCACTATTTGCTCTTGCAGTCTTTCACCAACATTTGAGACGTTGTCTTTGTACTATTTTCAATTAGATATAGGGTTTCAGTGAACAGCATATCTTTGCATTTGTTTTTATTTACATTTTGCATAGCATCCCAACTTTTTGGGAAATGGGGTTGTAAAAGATAATATAATATAATGTGATATAATATAATAATGGCAACCAATCAGAACAGAGCTCATTTACATATACCAGTCTTAAAGACACAGCCTGTCTGATTCTAAGGGAGGGTCTAAATACAGATTGGAAAATGGTCACGTAAAATGATTTATGACTGTTTTTGGTACATAAAACAACATCTGACATCGACTGTCACAACTGGACCTCAGCAAAAAAACAAAACCAAGAGTAGAATATGTGCATTATGCTGAATTTTTCACTCCTTCAATGGATTTTCCATGGTGAATCAGTACAACTACAATTTAGTCCTTTAAACCCATGCCTGAAAACTGCTTGTGCATTGGAGAAAAAGTCCAAAGTGCTTTGATATGAAAAATTATTTGCCTAGTTGTCAAAACTGACTAGGCATTCTGAAGCAGCCTGGGAGCATTTTGTCGGTGTGGACAGACTCTGCATTCATAATTCAATAACCTTTGCTTTCACTGCTTTAATAGGCCTGATTTGACTTATGAGGTCATTAATAAGCCTTTCATGAGGTTAAAATGGGAAGCAGTGAGACACTAAAATGTGCAGGAGGGGTGACACAACAGTGATGTAATATAAAGGTATGAGCCTCAGTTGCACAAACAATAATATCTACAACTAGAGCTGGGCGACGTACCATGTTATATCAACATATCTGATAATAATGTGAATTATATTAATGATCCAGTGGTTTGGATACTGTTGCATAATGCCTGCCCTCCACGCAGCAGGCTGGGGTTCGATTACCCCGTCCAGGCGACCCCACACTACACCAAGAGTCCTTGAGCAAGACTCTTAATACTACATTCACCTACATCTATAACTGATTACACTGTAAGCCAAATGCATAAATGTAAACAACATAATGGCCACAAAATATTACTGTTCCTGATGCCAAGCAGTTTGTTTTTAGCTTTAGGTCTATTTTATGCACTTTAAACATTATAGCCAGGAACTAACAGTTAACTATAGTACCGAGGTCACTAACAGGTGGACCGCGGTCCGAGTCCGGACCTGGACCTATAACTGATAAACTAAGAATAATTATTTAATTTCGACGGGGTGGTGCTGTTTTAGTCGGCATAACTTTTCTAGCTTTTACGGTAGCTTTAGCGGCCCGGGAGACTCACAGACCAATCACATAAATATCACACGTGACGCTATTTAGCCAATCAGATCTGTGCATTACGATGAGCACTGAGACTCGAATGAGTGACACACACAAGGGGAGGGACGAGGCGAGACACAGCAGTCAGAGAAGAAAGTGAGTCAGAGGGAAGTTATTTCACATGTCGTGCTCTAAAAAGAGAAAACTGACAATAAATGTGGTTGAAATTTGACTGAATTGTACTTTATTTGATTTGACATTCAGTTGTTGACTGTATAAGATGTTGATATACCTACTAGGCTACTTCAGTAAACAGTATATAAGTTAGACACTATGATGTTCTGGACCTTTGCTTGAGGATATTTTCTCTAACTGGACTTTACTGAATTTTAATTAAATACCCCTGCTTAGTATAATACTTGTCATCTACTGCGTGCCTCAGACTGTTTTGAAAGAACAGAAGAAAAAGGTTTGTTAAATGTTCTTTTAGCATAGGCAGGACTCAAGAGTACTGGGCTGTAAATATCGCCTGATATCGTGATATATTTGGGAATTATCGCGATACTGAATTTGATCCACATCGCCCAGCCCTAAGCCTGGTTTATGGATTTAATAATCATATCTGCAGTGGGCCATGAGGCGCCGTTTTGAGCAACCAGGAGCTACTGCTACTGCTCAGCTACTGTTAACTAATGCTAAAGCCTTCAGGCGTTGTTGTACACCGTCTCTGACCATTTTACAGCGCTAAGAATGAACACTTGCCCTTGTTTTTGCGGTGTCCCCGGACTAATGTGCTCTTGTCCGCTCCCACACAGCCCGTACAGGGCGTGTGCGGTGAAAGCAAGCTCGGTTTGATTTCTTTGTTATCTACGAAACCGCAAAGAGCCCCAACTGTCTCCTCTACACGGCCCAAAAGCTTTTGTTCTACCTTCTGTTCGTCCATGCTGGCGCCCCCGACAGCCGGTGTGGGAGGTTTTGCTGAGTTTTTTCCCCAGGTCGTCGGTAACGGTGCGGCTCCGTTCACTCGCTCCGGTACTGATGCTGCTGCTACAGAGCACTGCATCTTTCACAGAGGCCACGGGGAACGAGGCGTGCGCACGCGCGAAGGAAAGGGGCTTGCTGGGTAATGTAGTTTTTCACGATGTTGACGTGCCTCGCTTCAAAACCACTGTTAGTGTCAGTACAGTCTGATGTAAAATGGTTCAACTAACTAAACTTATTAAATGACCATTTCATTTACTATATTGAAGTTGAAGGGAAATTCCACCTATCTTTCAAATTTTTTCCGATTTTGTTGCGAAGTTGCGATGTACAAAGTCATTCAGAGTGGTTTGGTGTGAAACATTTCTTTACAGTGGTGGTGAGGAACCAGGGGTCGCCATGACTACAGATACAGTTTTATTTACTATCGAAAACCACCAGTGAACTTGCACGAGTCTTCTGATCTTCATATGGAATGTTGATCACGGTAAAATCACTGATCCACCACCTACATAGTACCTGCTCCGGCAGCACTGCTGTGTCTGATCCACTCAGACCAGCGCAACACACTAACACAGCACCACCACGCCAGTGTTACTGCAGTGCTGAGAATGATCCACCACCCAAATAGTACCTGCTCTGTGAGGGTCCATGGGGGTCCTGACCACTGAAGAACAGGGTAAAAGGGGGCTAACAAAGTATGCAGAGAAACAGATGGACTACAGTCTGTAACTGTAGAACTACAAAGTGCACCTATATAGTAAGTGGAGCTGATAAAATGGACAATGAGCGTTGAAACAAGGAGGTGGTCATAATGTTATGCCTGATTAATGTATATATATATATATATATATATATATATATATATATATATATATATATATATATATGCAAACAATGCTTTGAAACCTATACTTTATAACATTAAAATTAACCATTTGTGTATATTTTGGTGCAAAAAGTAAACATAGTTTATTATTTGTTTGACGCCTCTTTTGTTGTTGCCCCAATTATCTCAATGCTGGATGAAGAATTTTATGATTGTGCCACTAATGATGCAATATTCCCCAACAGGTTTTGACTTTTTAGTAAAAAAAATATATAAGATTGATTTTTTTACATTGTTCTTTTAATAACAAGTGTGATTTACATACGATCAGGGTCCAGTTACCTGCTAAATATGTGCTTTTTAGTATAAGAGCTGATTATTACAGTGCTGCATTAACCAGAAAACACACACAAAGAATATTATCTTCTCTGTTTTTCACTTGCATAAATATGTGAATGTAATGTAATCTATAGTAAAATAATAAAAATATAATTTATGGTTATATAAAGTCACTGTTCATCAGTAAATAAACTGTTACAGGCCTCTGTTTCTACAGCACCCCTGGATGATTGTGACAGATGGAAACACACAGACACAGGAATGCAGTGTTTCAGTTCTGGCTGCTGGGCCTGAGACACCTCTGAAAGGCATTGCTTTTGGGTTACATTTAAACAGGTAATGCTTTCCAGCCAGTTTCAGCATTTTATCACACTTTATCAGTTTTTGGATATGCGCATGATTTGACGTCAGATTGATACATACTTATGGCATTAGTGCGGCACACGGTGGTGAGTTTCAGAAAGGCTAATGGGTAACTAGATAAGAAGAATCACCTGATGAAATCATCACTCGCTGAGCAATTAGGTAAAGTGCTTAAAGCCTCTCAGTGCTCTGAAAACACCTGTTCTGCTGCCTGGATCATTGTACATAAACAAAAGATGAATGGATGTGAGATGAAAGAATGGAGTCGCTCATTTGTTCATGTGCTTGACAGCCAAGCACTTTAATCTCTACTGTCTATGAGGTGACACAACTCGGAAAACACACGGAACTAGAGGAGCTCAGCTGTAGCCGTGGTGACCATAGAACTGAAGAAATTCAGTTATGGTAGCCGTGGTGACTTCAGAACCGGAGGGGCTCAGTTATGGTAGCCGTGGTGACTGCGGAACTGGAGGGGCTCAGTTATGGTAGTCGTGGTGACTGCGGAACTGGAGGGGCTCAGTTATGGTAGTCGTGGTGACTGCGGAACTGGATGGGTTTAGCTATGGTAGCTTTGCTTATTATGGAACTGGAGGGGTTCAATTATGGTAGCCGTGGTGACTGGAGGACTGGAGGAGCTCAGTTATGGTAGCTGTGGTTACTGCACAAGTACAGGAGCTCAGTTGTGGAAGCCATGGTGACAGTGGTGTTGAAAGAGTGCAGTTATGGTAGGCAGCCGTGGTGACTGCAGAACTAGAGGAGTTCAGTTAAGGTAGCCGTGGTGACTGCGGAACTGGAGGAGCTCAGTTATGGTAGTCATGATGACTGTGGAACTGGAGGAGCTCAGTTATGGTAGCCATGATGACTGTGGAACTGGAGGAGCTCAGTTATGGTAGCTGTGGTGACTGCGGAACTGGAGGAGCTGAGTTATGTTAGCCATGGTGACTGTGGAACTGGAGGAGCTCAGTTACGGTAGCTGTGGTAACTGTGGAACCAGAAGGGCTCAGCTGTTGTAGCCATGGTTAGTGCAGAACTAGAGGAGCTCAGTTACAGTAGCCGTGGTGACTGCGGATCTCAGTTATGGTAGTCATGATGACTGTGGAACTGGAGGAGCTCAGTTACGGTACCTGTAGCGACTGTGGAACTTCAGGTGCTCAGTTATAGTAGCAGTGGCGACTGTGGAACCAGAAGGGCTCAGCTGTCATAGCCATGGTGATCCCTGAACTGAAGGAGCTCAGTTATGGTAGCTGTCATGACTGCGGAACTGGAGGAGCTCAGTTTTGGTAGTGGTGGTAACTGTGGAACCAGAAGGGCTCAGCTGTTGTAGCCATGGTTCATGCAGAACTGGGGGGCTCAATTATGGTAGCTGTGGTGACAGCGGTATTGAAGGAGTTGAGTTATGGTAGCCATGGTGATTGCAGTACAGGAGTAGTTCAGAATCTGTAGCTGTAAGGGTCGGTGAAGCGGAAGGACTGGATCTCATTGACGGTGCAGAGGAGGTCCCGCATGCGCCTGGCCCGCCGCTCTTCGAACACCAGCCTCCTGGAACGCTCACGAGCGGCCTGCTGCTCCGCCCGCTTCTCCACCCGCTTCCTCCTCAACCACCTGCAAGAAAGCACAGGCCGTTTCAGAGTCCAGCAACTCTCTGCCAGTGAAAATGACAAAAACATGACAAAGATGTAAAAGAAGACTTTCCATCAAATTATATCACTGCATGTCCAAAAGTTTGTAGACACTCGTTAATCCGTTTCTTCTGAGCGAAGCACAAATTTTCCAAAATAATACTTAAGTTCAGCAACAAAGTACAAGTACTCCAGTATTTTCCCTTGTTCTCCACACTGCAGTGGTCACTCACAGTCTGAAGGCTTTCTCGGACTCCTCTGGACGGTGGATGTAGATGCTGCTCTCTTGCTCCAGCCTCTTCATCTCCTCCAGCTGCTTCTCCTTCAGCTGCTGCTCATGCTTCCTCTGCAACCACAGCTTAAATGCCTCCTCTGGATCGCAGCACTCCCTCTGCACACGTACAGAGAGACAGACAGACAGACAGACAGACAGACAGAGCCTCAGCTAATCTCATCCAGCAATAAGCATGAAACCTTTTTTAAGTCAAAATAACATTTTCAGGTACACTGAAGGGCCCATATCATAGAAAACTGAATGTTCCTCACTTTTTGAAAGATTAGTTTTAAAGTAGGGTGTAAACATTGCTTTGTGATGTCACAAAAACCAACTCATTTACCTCTATACACCTGTTCGGCCTACAGCAGTCAACAGCCTCATCCATTCATGCTGAAGTTATAAGGAGCGTTTCAGCCTGGACTGCTTTATTATTGCTGCACAATACAAGGCAGCCAATCAGAACAGGGCTCATTTACATACATCTGTCTTCAAGGTACAGTAAGAAAAGCAGCCTGTTTAATTCTAAGGGATAAAGAAAGGTTGGAAAACAGCCATGTAAAAATGAACTAGGACAGTTTTTGATACACACATAAACAATCTCAGGGGAAAATATATATAAAATACAAGAGAAAAGCTGGATATGGGCCCTTTAAGATCATCCTCCTTGTTCCACATGTGAAAGGAGTGATGAAGCAGCCTTTTGTTTTTATTTATGTGGAATATACTATCAATAAATACTCGTCAGGCTTCGTCTATCACTGATTAAAAAAAAATCTAAAATTGTTTTTGTTTACTTTTAGCATTTAACTGGTTTTTAATGGCATGCTATTCCACGATAGGTTTATATTATTGTATTGTTGTACTTTTATTCTGTTTTTCTGCCTATTTTATTTGTCTTTATTTGACTCACTTCTGTTTCTGTTTTTCACTTCACCATGAAAAGCTACAGTTTAAATGTTCAAAAGTTATGCAAATGTAGTTCATGTTATTATTACTGGGTAACTGGTTCCCCGTGACGTTTCTAAACATCTTTTTTTTGTGGTTCATTTTTTAATTATTTCCCATTTAAATTAAAAAATAACACAAACAACCCCCCTCATTCCAGCCCCGACCCACACACACACGGGACTTACAAACAAAACTGATCATAGATGCAACATAGGACACATGAAAATTGAGTTACATCATTCACAGCTTAAACACATCATATAGGTAAACAAGCCTAAGGGTCCAGACTTTAGATATTCTGTGAATCCATGTATCCAGAGCTCTAGGGGCAGCACTGCTAATCCTTACAGATGATAGTCCAAGATATAAGATATCCAATAAGGTATTGAGCCAGTGATGTATGGACAGGTTGTGAGGGGGTGGCCAATGCTGGACGATAACTTTTTTGCTGCTGTTAAGCCAGCCAGCCATATTTTACAGGAACTTTCTGTAATGGGGAATTTAGAGCTGGCGTTCAGGGTCCATGGGGAAGTATGTCTCGGTCAGAGAAGAGAGAGAGAATCAACAAACTCCTCCCAAAAACCGTAAACGTTTGGGTCTGAATATAATTATTAATGAAATAAAAAAAACAATCTAATCAAATTTAATTGTGTTGAAATTTGAGATTTCACAAATTGCACTGCATTGTTTCCTAAACACTCAAAAATCAAATCAAGCCACTCACTAATCCATTCACTCTTAAAAAAGAGGGTTCTTCAAAGGTTCTTTAGTAAAGACAATGATTCTACATAGGACCATGAACACTCAAAGAACCCTTTGCATGATTAAAGGGTTCTTCGCATGGTGAAATTGTTCTTTAGATTGATGGAGAATGTGTTTTATATGCTCCTGTGTAGAACATATTTGAAAATGGTTCTATATAGTACCAAAAGGGTTCTTCTATTATTACAAGCTTGACATCATAACAATAGAAGAACTCTTTTTGGTGCTACATAGAATCCTTTACAAAAAGGTTCTACAAAGAACCATCTACGTCACATTCTCCTTCAATCTAAAGAACAATTTCACCATGCGAAGAACCCTTTAATCATGCAAAGGGTTCTTTGAGTGTTCATGGTTCTGTATAAAACCATTGTCTTTACTAAAGAACCCTTGAAGAACCGTCTTTTTTAAGAGTGATTCAATAAACCACTGTCATATGTTGTATAACTGTACTTGTGTCTTAGTTGTACAGTTATACACACATAGTATATACTTGTTCTGTAAAACACGTTGCCATTGTTCCTGGAGGACTGAGAAAGGTGGACTGTGTGGGTTGTTAATGTGCTGGCGCCCCCTGCTGGACACACCTTGCAGCTCATCTTCTCCATCTCCTGAGCTCTGTGCACTCTCCTCTCATCCTGCAGCTGCTGCCTCTTCTTCAGCAACCACGCCCGGAAGGCCAGTTCATTGGCCTGACGCTTCTGCTCCTCTTCCTCACGCCTCCGCTCCTCCTCCTGCCCGTGAGAGAGAGAGAGAGAGAGAGAGAGAGAGATCGTGTTGGATGAGCATTATTACTGTAAACCGGTAGATGTGAACATTTACATTTATGGCACTTGTCAGTCTTTTCTGATCTGACTTACATTTGAACATGGTCATTCTCAGCACTGCAGTAACACTGACGTGGTGGTGGTGTGTTAGTGTGTGTCGCGCTGGTCTGAGTGGATCAGACACAGCAGTGCTGCTGGAGTTTTTTAACACCTCAGTGTCTCTGCTGGACTGAGAACAGTCCACCAACCAAAAATATCCAGCCAACAGCGTCCTGTGGGCAGCGCCCTGTGACCACTGATGAAGGACTAGAGGATGACCGACACAAACTGCAGCAACAGATGAGCTATCGTCTCTGACTTTACATCTACAAGGTGGATTGACAGGGTAGGAGTGTCTAATAGAGTGGACAGTGAGTGGACACAGTGTTTAAAAACTCTAGAAGCACTGCTGTGTCTGATCCACTCAGACCAGCACAACACACACTAACACCACCCACGTCAGTGTTACTGCAGTGCTGAGAATGACCCACCACCCAAATAGTACCTGCTCTGTGGGAGGCTCCATGGGGGTCCTGACCACTGAAGAACAGATAACAAAGAAAAACAGATGGACTACAGTCTGTAATTGTAGAACTACAAAGTGCTCCTATATGGTCAGTGGAGCTGATAAAATGGACAAAGAGGGTAGAAACAAGGAGGTGGACTTAATGAAGTGGCTGGTCAGTGCATTTTTACTCAACAGAACATGTAATTTGACTCGTTTGTCCAAACTACTGCATCCAACTGTATGTAAATGCATCAGTTACAAATGACATCAAACTCTTTTATTATATAAAAAATATAATTTAAACTTTAATTATAATCACTCCATATTGTTCCGTCCCATAGGTGTGCCCACCTCTCTGGCCATTCTCTCTCTCTTCTGCTGCTGTTTGGTCAGTAGCTCTTTCTGCTGTGGTGAGAGGGTGAAGGTGGCGTGTGTCGGAGCTCCGTTAGCGGACTGGACCCTGCGCTTGCTGCCCGGCCTGCCTGCTGTTCTGTACGTATGGCTGGCTGAGTTTGGCCGCGCTCGGGGCCGTGATGGAGGTTTGGGGACATGTAGGGGTTCAGGAGCCGCAGGTTTCGGGGAAGAAGAGGGGCTTTTGCTGGTTTCGAGTCGTGGGGATCCCCGAGGACCGTCGCTATGGGAAACAGGCAGAGGCGGGAGCAGGCCCTGGCTCTCCACCTCTCTTAGACTGACCAGGTCAAACTTTCCATCCTTCTCCACCAGTACTCGTCCCTCTCTCGCTCCCTCTCTCCCTACATCCACTCCCTGGCTCTCCTCCTGCGGAGAGATCCTCAGCTTTCAGCATCTGACCGGACACGTCGCCGTCCACTTCAGGGTCCACCTGACACAGAACAGGACAATCGACATGAATTCAGTTAATACAACAGCAAATGGACTGGTTCTCTCTCTCTCTTGATGGCATGAGAGCACTCTGTGCAGGCGAATGTGGATTTAAAGAGCCCTCCAAGTGCATTTATAACGTTTGTGTGGTTTTATATACAATCCTGTTTACATAAAAAAGTTGGGATGCTGTGCAAAATGTAAATAAAAACTCAATGCAATGATGTACATATTAAATGCAAGTTAAAGCACTACGATACAAAGAAGAAACCATATATGAACAGGATCCAGAAACGCCGCCGCCCAGAAACGATTTCGCAGCTTAGTTTTGAATTTGTTTTTAATGTTAACTTTGATTTAAAAAAAGCGAGGGAAATTTGCTTTTGCTTTCCAGATTTCTTACCCCCGGCACAGGACTGGAGTCCCCATAGGGGGCGCTCTGCAGACTGTTTGAGCTGTAGTCCTGAGCTGGCACTACCAAGTCCACCAACGTGTCTTTGAAACTGCAGCCGTCTGCGGCGCGTCTGGTCAGGAACCTCCTGATCCTGCAGCTGCCTGTTGGCCTGTTCGATCTTCTGCAGCATCATTTTCTTTTCTTCCTCGTCATCATCCTCAGCCTGCGTCGCAGCAACTAGACAGATAGATAGATAGACAGACAGACAGACAGACAGACAGATAGATAGATAGATAGACAGATAGACAGATAGATAGATAGACAGACAGACAGACAGACAGATAGATAGATAGATAGATAGATAGATAGATAGATAGATAGATAGATAGATAGATGGATAGATAGATAGATAGATAGATAGATAGATAGATAGATAGATAGACAGATAGATAGATAGATAGATAGACAGATAGATAGATAGATAGATAGATAGATAGATAGATAGACGGATAGATAGATAGATAACCAAACAAACACATAGTGTAAAGAAAGGAACAGAACAGAATAAACAGAATAACACTAATCTGAAACATTCACCATCAGAGTCCTCCAGCGGCTCCATGGGCGTTGGCCATCTTTCTTCTTCTCCATCATCCTCTGCGACCCCCTCACTCCGCCCTTCGTCAGCCTCCCTCACTCTCTCCTCATCCTCTTCTAACTCTCTGTCTATCTGAGCTTCAATGTCTTCATCCTCCTGTAATGATGACAACAGAGGCATTAACTCTTTGAGGTCTCAGAGCTTTAAACACAAATCCTCACCGTCACAACTACAGAATGTACACATTAGTTCAAAGTAGTTCCCGAATAATTTCATAGTATTTACTGAAAAACTCAAAATAGATATTAAATAATTAATAGTAGATACTGAATAATTCATAGTAGGTACTGAATAATTCACAGTAGATACTGAATAATTCATGGTAGATACTGAATAATTCAGAGTAGATATTAAATAATTAATAGTAGATACTGAATAATTCATAGTAGTTACTGAATAATTCATAGTAGATACTGAATAATTCATAGTAGATATTAAATAATTAATAGTAGATACTGAATAATTCATAGTAGATATTAAATAATTAATAGTAGATACTGAATAATTCATGGTAGATACTGAATAATTCATAGTAGACACTGAATAATTAATAGTAGATACTGAATAATTCATAGTAGGTACTGAATAATTCACAGTAGGTACTGAATAATTCACAGTAGATACTGAATAATTCATAGTAGATACTGAATAATTCATAGTAGGTACTGAATAATTCACAGTAGGTACTGAATAATTCACAGTAGATACTGAATAATTCATAGTAGATACTGAATAATTCACAGTAGGTACTGAATAATTCATAGTTGATACAGAATAATTCATAGTAGGTACTCAATCATTCATAGTAGATACTAAATAACTCTATAAATACTGGATACTGAATAATATTTAGTACAAACTGAATAATTCACAGTAGATACTGAATAATTCATAGTAGTTACTGAATAACTAATAGTGGATACTGAATAATTTACAGCAGGTACTTTATAATTCATAGCAGACACCAAAAAAAAAAATTGCACTGTTACTCCAAATACAGTCGATGACAAGAAAAGTCATGTTTGTTGTCTGTCTTCTTTAATTTTGCACTGGAACTAAAATAACTAGGTTTTATTAGATTATCATTGTCACTCCGCTGCAGAACTAAAGAAGCAGCGGAGTGACTCGGCTGATCGAGTACAAATGTATTTTTTTTTGTTTTTTGGTGAACTACTCCTTTAAGACTAATACCTGAACAAAAAAAATCCTGCAGATTAAGGCGTTAAAGTTTGTAAAAGTAGAATAAAAGCAGGACAGGAGTGATATGAGGCTCAGTGTGGGTTACTGAGTGAGCGTAGTGTAAACAGAGACAGATACATAGAGAGAGTGTGTGTGTTTAATAATGTATGTAATAGTTGTGTGTCTGAGTGAAAGTGTGTGTCAGCAGGATGGATTTCACACACAGCACAGCATGTGCTCAAACACGCTCACCTGCTCCTCACTCTTACTCTCCTCGCTGATCAGCCAGTCCAGATCTTTCTCAAAGTCGTCCTCATATTCCTCCTGAACGTTACTGCTCACCGCCACACTCATCCCCTCTCTCTCTCTCTCTCTCTCTCTCTCTCTCTCTCTCTCTCTCTCCTCTCACTGAAAGAAATCAATACAAATTTACAAATGGGGAATTTTTACTATGCATAATTAAACGGTTGTAAGATGTAAACAGAGTCGTTCAGAGTAGTTTGGTGTGAAACGTTCTGTTCTAGAGAAACTTACAGAGTCAGAACTGTTCACAGTGGTGGTGATAGGAACCAGACGTCCACCTCTAAAAGCTCCCTCACAGAAAGTTACTCCGTAGCTAAAATAGTCCCCAATGAAAACTTATTTTTTCAGATTTTCCACTATTTCCCATCATCAACATTCCATATAAGCTCAGAAGACTCGTGTAGGTTCACTGGTGGGTCTGGATAGTAAATAAAACGTCTATATTTGTGTTGTAGTCATGGCGACCCCTGGTTCCTATCACCACCACTGTAAAGACATCTGAACCATTTCACACCAAACCACTCTGAATCACTCTGTTTACATCTCAAATACTGAACTATCCAGACATTTTCAAAAGTAGGTGGGATTCCCCTTTAACTACACTTCAAGAAAGGAAACTGACTATTTATTTACCTTTTATGGATTTAACTTGTTCTTCAAGTCAGTCAGTAAAGTTTTAAGGAACAGCTTGTTCTCATGGATATAATGCTTATTATTATCAGTACCGTGTGACACCAGTATACCAGTGTATACATTATAACACTCAGCATTAAAATTGATGATTTTAAAGGTTATGAATCCCACTGTAATTAACTACAGAGACATAAAGATGACACATGTACCATGTTTGCAGTAGCTGCTGCACCTGCTGCCATATGTTCTACTGGTCTAGTGACCGACGCTCACCCGTAAACACTGCAGCGCGTCTATCTACAGAAGCCCATTCTCACCAAGCAGAGGAGGAACATCACAATATCTACTGTTTCTGACAGAAATGTCAACATATTGACTTAATATCTCATAATAATTACTTATTTTCTCAAAATATGGACTTAGAATTTCAAAATAATGACTTTTCTCAAAATATTGACTTAATATCTCATAATAATGACTTATTTTCTCAAAATATTGACTTGGTCAAACTATATTCAAAATATTGAATTCCTATGATGAAACAATGATTAAGTCAAAATTTTGACTTAGTATCTCGTAATAATGACGTATTTTCTCAAAATATTGACAGTATTCCAAATAATGACTTATTTTCTTGGGATTTTAAGATACTATGCTGAAAGAAAGAGTGGCTTACCAAATTTCAAGAAAGCAAATATTTTTTTCAGAATAACAAGTTATTATTTCAAGATACTAAGTCAATATTTTGAGAAAATAAGTCATTATAGTAAGACACTAAGTCATCATTTTGACAAAACAAGTCATTGTTTTTGACATAAGAAGTCAACATTTTGAGAAAATTAGTCATTGTTCTGACCTGGTAAGACAATGTTTAGAGAAAATAAGGAATTATTTTGATATGCTGTCAATAGTTTGAGGAATCAAGTATTATTTTGACATAGTAAATCAATATTTTGAGTAGATAAGTCGTTATAATGACATCGTGTGGCATTACTTTGAAAAATAAGTCATTATTCTGAGATTCCGATTCTTCTAATGAAGATAAGTCAGTAGACCAAGACAACATTTTGAGAAAATAAGTCATGATTTCAAGATACTAAGTCAATATTTTAACATACTGCTGTCAGAAACCGAGAAGGTGAGGAAATCCACAGTTGATGTTTTTTCTCCTCCACTTGACAGTGGTGGGCTTCCATGTATAGATCTCCTTGGGGTCTATTTAGAAAGTAAAAGAAGTCAAAGCCGTCCTAAGGTCAGTGTGTGTGTGTGTGTCTCTGTGTGTTGACTGTTTTGGCTGGGCTGAACGCGCTCGCGCACTCAGTCACTCTCTCGCGCACTCAGACGCTCGCTCGAGCCCTGAGGGGTGATGAACTCACCTGTAGAGGTGACGCCGCTCGCGGTGTTTAGAGGTGAATACCAGTCAGTTTGTCTCTCTGTTTATCAGCCGCTCTGTTTGCACGCGCGCTCTTCTTTTCCGCTCACCTGTGCGCGCGGACACTTCACCTTTAATCCCCACAAGCCGCCCGGAGCAGGTGTCGTCATGGAGACGTACAACACGGCCCGAGCGCGCATGCGCTGACAGCAGCCTGAGGCCGCGTTCACCGCGGCCGCGTATTTACTGCAGCTACGGTTTCCCAGAGTGAACCGCACCATCCACTGACCACTGACGTCACTGAGGTGAACTGTCTCACTGTTTTTGTCTCGATTTCTTTATAGACTCCTAGAATTCCTCTTAGAAGCTACTGTTTTTAATGCTAATTTAATGATGAGCACGTTATTATGATCTTGATCTAAGAAAATTTCAGTAAAATTTTATTTACATAAGGTGAAATTCGCCACGTATGACGTTACACACAGACCTGATCACATATCTGCATTAGTGAATTTGCAAATTTGCACAACAAGAACTTTGGTGAATCTATTGTTGTGCTAAAACTTTTCACTTTTATTTAAATCACATGGTATTTTTTTCTTTGTCTTCCTTTTTTTTGTTGAGCTTTGCTGAATCCTGCTATTCTGTCATCGTATAAATAAAAAAATAAAATAAAAAAGAAACTCTGGAGTCGACTCTAATTCCGATTCCAACTGATGCAACGGTGGAGTCGATTCCAAAAGCAGATCTGGCCAAATATAACTTACAATATTAGCTTAATCACACGCCTTAGTGATCGGTGCTGCAAATGACAGTGGCTCTTGATACATTAACCCTATGTGCTCTGAGGGACATCAGTTCAATTATGTGACCTATTTGATCTGACACTGTTAGAAATAAAGGTCCTGTTCAGGCACATTTTTTGTTCATCAAGGTACAAACAGTGTAAATGTTCCCTCAAAGCTCCAACAGTGGTTTTAAGGTCTGATTGTGAACCTTAAATAAGTTTTTCCAGGTGAAAAGTTCGCATTTGTTAATCCCACAACGGGGAAATTTCACCTCCGCATTTAACCCATCTGTGCAGTGAAACACCACATACACACTAGCGAACACACACACTAGGGGGCAGTGAACACGTGCCCGGAGCAGCGGGCAGCCCTATCCACAGCGCCCGGGGAGCAGTTGGGGGTTATGTGTCTTGCTCAAGGGCACTTCAGTCACATACTGTCGGATCAGGGGATCGAACCGGTGAATCAAACCAAAAACAGTCGTAATTCAGTTTTCCTTGACTGTTTTCTAACCTCTCTTTATCCCTTAGAATTAAACAGACTGTTTTTGCTACTGTTACTTTAAGACTGGCATATGTAAATGAGCTCTTGTCTGATTGGCCGGCAGGCTGAAATACTTCTTTTAACTTCAGAATGATAGGCCGAAACTAAACTGCTGTTGGTTGAAAAAGCTGACATACTGTATCTGAGTGTGTTGGCTTTTTGTGACATCACAAAAAAGTGAACTCAAAACAGGCAGCTTAATTTCATTGAATATAGACTGTATGGCACATTTAAAAACTTTACCAATGTTTACGTACTACATTAAAGTCTTTTATTTCAAGAAAAGCGAGAAAAATATTTTTTTTTTTGACTAAACTTTCCTTATGAAGAAGATCTGTATGAATTTCTACAGATTTCATACAAAGAATCTTATAGTTATTTCAGGCTTTATCAGAGTTTATTATGGGATAATACACAAGTACCATAGACATATATAAGACAGTACTATTGTACAGAGGCCAACATATTGCACATTGCTATAGAGCAGCATTATACAGCATTATAGATCTCTTAAAGTGTCTTATAGAAACACTACAGATCTTATACTCACTAACAAATCACTTTGGCTGAAATCCCAAATGGCTCTCTGTAGTAAACTTGGCTGTAGAAGTCATTATTTTATGTAGTGCACCATATAGGAAGGCTCGATCTCAAACCACGCCTTGTTCCTTATAAAGTGCACTACACAGGTCTCGAAATAAAAACAACTTTTACAGCCAAATAACACTGTGCGTCCTGTGTGGAGGCAATTTGGGATTCAGCCAGCGTACGCTTTCTGGTTTATTCAGGTCACTCACTTTGTAAACTTACTCTGTAGGGAACTATGGGGCGAAATTGGGACACAGCCTTAGATAGTGTGAGTCACAGACGTAGTCTATTTTTGTTAAACAACATGATTACAACGGAAAAAAAAATCAAACCAAACGTGTTTATGTGTGTCTGTGTCTGAGACAGAGTGCAGGAGATCACAGCGCCTTTTCACAGGAAGCCAATTAATCTAAACATCTTGCTTATAATCCCAGATTAGCACCATTTCCTGAGCCTTATAATCATTTTACATAATAAGCACAACCTTTAGCCTCGTTTAGAGTTAGCCTGCATGTCAACATTGATTATAGATTTTATTTTAGGCATGAGTGAGGCACATAAATATTAATACATACAAAGAAATCACAAAACAAACCATTTTAAAGGCCCATGTCAGTGAGAGTTTGGTGTAATATACAGACACTGTTATAGTTAAAATATAGACCATTCACTCCTGAGGCCGTTCAGGCCATATAAGGAAACTAAGGCTGTTTTTGTGATGTCACAAAAACCAACATATTTACAGATATCCACCCATTCAGGCTACAGATACTTAGCCCCGCCCATTCACTCCAACACTAAGAGGAGTGTCTGAGACGACAAAACAGGGCAGCTGATCTGAACACTTACATATAATCAGTCTTAGAGGCACAGACTCTTAAAACATGTGGTAAAAACAACACATTCTGTCTCTGACTAGACACGTCAGTGTGTTCAGTTGGAGACGATACATTTTACGTTAATTTTAACACGAGATGTGTTGAAATATTTCTATATCCAGTTATGAATAACATGTTTTGGGTTACTTTTAATATGGAATGTGTAAAATCAGAAAACAATAGGACACAAAAAGTGTTCAAAGGATACACCCTGGACGGGTCACCAATCCATCGCAGTGCAGACAGGCAACAGGCCCTGCTGGGAATTGAACCCAGGCCCTTCTTGCTGTGAGCCAACAGCACTACCCACTGCGCCAGCGTGCCGCCGGTCAGACAACAGTCATGTAAAAATGAATTATGAATGATTTTTGGTACTAACTAACAATAAACCATATATATATATATATATATGTGTGTGTGTGTGTGTGTGTGTGTGTGTGTGTGTGTGTGTGTGTGTGTGCAACAAATTGAGCCCTGCTGGCGACTTCCTGTGTAAATAAAACTAATGCACCACATAATTAAGTTGTGGCCATGACTTAGTTAGGTGTCAGAATGTCCTAATGTCCTAATGTGTGGCCCCAACTTAGTAAGGTGTCAGAATGCCTTGACCACAACTTAATAAGGCATGATCTTATTTCCACACCTTACTAACCCGTGGCCACGACTTAATTATCTTGTTCCCATGCCTTACTAACCCGTGGCCACGCTTTAGGATCTTCTTCTCCAAGCATTATTTTCACTTATACAGGATGTCACCAGCGAGGGAACGCAAATTTATTGCGAGGGAACGCAATGTCATTACATTGTGTTTTTTTGTTTAAAACCACGCCCCCTGCTTTGAGGGATTTATTGGCCAGGAAGAACTCCATTTCCCATCATGCAGCTCTACGCCGAGCATGCGCAGAGCGCTAGCGAAAAGTCACGCCTCCGAAAGTGGAAAGCGAGGCAGATACGTGCAAAATTACACGATTATCGGGAAGCGTGTCCGTCTTAAAGAGGTGCGTGACCTGTTGACAGGGTCATTTGGGTTTTTAAAGCTGAAAGCATGTCTTCGTTTGTGTTGTGCACCTTAAGCAGGACACTGCGGTCCGCGGCGCGGCTGGGCAATGTGGGTAAAGTGGACTTAGCCTCAGTTCCGTGGAGGTCCCGGGCTGTGGGCACCAGACACATGTCATATGGGAGGATAGTGAATGGGACAGGCGGAAAGAGGGTCCTCTGGGTGACCGGAGGAGCAGCGGCGGTGGCTGGAGTCGCAGCGGCCGCGTTCAGTCACTTTCAGCGGGCTGAGATGGCGACCAGGAGGGACGTCGTGAAGGTAGAGCTCTACATTCAGTGGCTGTGACTGTTTTATTACCTTCTCAGAGACTGTGTTGGATTCTTTGCACATGCAAGTACACTTCAAAAAAAAGATGGTTCTTCAAGGGTTCTTTAGAAAAGGGAATGGTTCTATTTAGAGCCGTGACTGCTATCTAGAACCATTTCATGCTTAAATGGTTCTTTGCATGGTGAAGTCGTTCTTCAGATTGATGAAAAATGTGTTCTAGATAGAACCTTTTTGATGAAATGGTTCTATATAGCACCACCAATAAGAGTTCTGCTGTTGTATACAAGCTTGACATTGTAACATAAGCAGAACCCTTTTTGGTGGTGCTTTATAGAACCATTTTTTATCAAAAAGGTTCTGTGTATAACCATATACAACACATTCTCCATCACCCTGAACCACAATTTCTCTATGAAATGGTTCTATATATAACTTGTGGTTCTAAATAGAACCTAAAGAACCCTTGAAGAACCATGTTTTTTAAGAGTGTAGAGCTGTGCGATATTAATCGCGATATATCACGATATTTTCCAAACTTTTCACGATATCGGATGATAAATAAGTTAACATTACTAAGGTTAATGAACCTTTTCTTCCTTAGTAAGGATTAAAGCACATTTCTAAGAGGAAAACTCCTTATTTATGTCTATTAATTTCATTTTTATGGATTGTAAATTATGGCCCAGCCCTGCGTGCAGGTGAACTGGAGCAGTAAACTGATTTTGATTCTGATTGCGAGGAGGACGAGGAGGGCAGCATTGCCGAGCGGTGCAGGGCGTTCATGTCTCCGCCGGTCACCCCCGTGGAGCAGCTGGAGAAGAGGAAAGGAGAGATAAGGACCCGGATGGAGATGCTGATCATGCAGACACAGGCTGAGTTCTGCCGGGCGCTGGAGGAAGTGGACGGCGGGAAGTTCAGGGTGGACCGCTGGAGCCGAGAGGAAGGTGAGGAACACCACCTCACGTTAGTGAATTCACATGGGAGATGTGTGTCTGTGTCCACGTTCTGGTCTGTCAAATAATAATAATAATAATAATAATAGTGTTTGTTTATAATTAGTGTGCCTTACTAAAACCCCTTAATCTGCTTTAAAATCGATTAAAAGATCAAAGAAAAGAAGAAATGTTTACTCTGAAGTGGGAAGGAAATTAGTGTTGAGTAAAGAAGAAAACCTTGTTGAGTTTAAAAGATGAAACAGTGCACAAAGCCAAACACGTACACTAGTGAGTACAGTGCTTAATACATTTAATACATAAAAAATACATATTGACACCTGCCTCAATTTATTCCTGTACTCCATTTTACATTTACAGCATTCGGCAGACAATCTTATCCAGACTTTTTAATCATTTTACACAGGTAGGTGAAGGTAGTGTTAGGAGTCTTGCCCAGGGACTCTGATTAGTATAGTGTAGGGTGCGTACCCAGGTGGGGGATTGAACCCCAGTCTACATCGTAGAAGGCAGAGGTGTTACCCACCATACCAACCTACAACCGTCCCATAGCAGCATTTCAGGAAATGTGTTTTTTGGCCCCCCAATAAGTCATATTTACACGCCAGAGATTCCCTCACATTAAAATGTATTGAAACTATACTATACTGTACTATTACAATAAGGTAATCAATCACTAGAGCTGCACAGCACAATATATCAATGCAATAAAACCTTGTATCCCTAACATAGTAACTTGTACAGGAGAGAGAAAAATCTTCTGAATGTTCAGTAGAAGTTAATGGAATAAGAGTTATTATTTTCAAGCCATTTTGGAGCGTTTCTGTTTTTCCATTCATTATGAAATTTGAGCAAATTATAAAGCACAGCTGCTGTTTTCAAATTCTGTAAAAATCGGAGATACTTTTTATTCCAACAGGAATTTACAAAGAACTGCATGTCGCTGTTGTCGGAAGAAAACCTCGTATCTCCAAAATGGTAACTTTACAGGAGAAGGAAAAAACCTACTTTACTTTTAATGTAAGTCAATGGAACCAGACTTTTTTCCAAGTCATTTTGGGTCGTTTCTTTTAGTCCATTCTTCATGAAATTTACACACAATGTAAAGGGTAACAGGTATTTTCAAATTATGTCAAAAACTGAAAAACATCAAAAATGGAGATGTGAGGTTTTCTTCTGACAACAGAAATATACCGAATTATATTTAAACATCAGGATCCAGATAATAATAAAGAAGATGGTATGAATATTGTTTGATATGAATAAATATGCATGTGTGCAAATAAGCATAAATATGCATAAACAGTTAATAAATGAGCATCGTGTAGAGGAAACTACTGAGTGGAACCAAGACTCAACATTAAAAGCCCCCTAAGAGCATAAAGAAGGACCTTCATAGTGCAGTTAGGATGTTCTCCTTTACGTTTTGACTGGAGTTGTAGTACATTAGTAATTTCACAAGAGGCAGGGAGGTCAGGGGTCATGGTCCAAAGTTCTACTTGATATATGTTCAAGTTCAGATCTTCAAACAACAGTTGCTCTTATACCCACTAAATCCAGCATGAATGACAGAAGGCTTGTGCTGTAGGTTTCCTCACACTGTACTCAAGACTGCCTTTGTTAAGAAAAGGCCTGTAGTGAATAAGAAGCACTTTGAAATCCTGTCTAATTGGTGATGCGTGTTGTCACTGTGCTGGGTAATGACACAAATCCCTGTAAATAGCTTCTTTATACCCATTGTCTTGTGTAACGACACCAGTTTCTGTAGTGATTTCAGCCACTTTAAAGGGAAATTCCACCAATTTTCCAAAATTCCTGTGTAATTCAACTACTGAAGTGTAAACAAAGTCATTCAGAGTGGTCTGATGTGAAATGGTTGATTGTTGAGAAGCTTGCCGACTCAGATTTCTTTACAGAGGTGGTGTGTGGAACCAGTTATTCACCATGTCTACAACACAAATATAGCCATTTTATTTACTGTCCAAAACCTCCAGTGAACCTACACGAGTCTTCTGTGTTTATATGTGAAGTTGATGAAGGCAAAATAGTAATTAATCATAAACAATTGTGATTATTATACCTTACCACACCCTGTATGGATATAATAAATGCATTTTAGGCCAACATCTAATCATAAAACAATGTATTCATAACCATTTCATGTAGTAACTTTCTGTGAGGGAGCTTTTAGAGGTGGACGTCTGGTTCCTATCACCACCACTGTGAACAGTTCTGACTCTGTAAATTTCTCTAGAACTCAGTGTTTCACACCAAACCACTCTGAATGACTCTGTTTATCTTAATGATTTGGTGGAATTCACCTTTAAGGTGCACACACTGCTGATAGATGTGATCAAATGCGCTCTCACAGCTTCATAGAAAAGCTCTGACCAATAGAGGGGGGCATTCTGAAGCGGCCACACGTGAGCCTAAGGTCACCATACCAGTGCCAAGTGTGGGGTAAAGCCCCCCAGCAGTGGAACTGCGTTCTCTGGAGTGATGGAGCTCCATCCAACACCTTTGGGATGAGTCTGTGATCCAGAACTGACCATCCAATATCAGTACCTGACCTCACTAATGCGCAATCAAATCCTCACAGCAATGTTCAACATCTAGAGCAAAGCCTTCCCAGAAGAGTTGAGGCTGTTACTGCAGCACAAACTCACTATTAACTCCCTTCATTTCAGAAGAAACTCTGTATGACCAGACAGATAGCAAACATGAGTGATGTGTAAGACTCTTATCATCTACTGAAGCCCTGTAAATGGTCTGTGTGTTACAGGTGGTGGGGGGATCAGCTGTGTGATGCAGGACGGTAAGGTGTTCGAGAAGGCCGGAGTAAACGTGTCTGTCGTGTCCGGCTTCCTGACGGAGGAAGCAGCCAAGCAGATGCGCAGCCGTGGAAAAGTCCTGAAAGGGAAAGACGGTGAGCCAGTAACGTACTTCTCCTTCTCTCTCTTATCCATAGTGTTAAATCGAAATTCCAAAATTTCTATAGAGGTTGGGATGTAAACAGAGTGATTCATAGCGGCTTGATGTGAACTGGTTCAGATGTCTTTACAGTGGTGGTGATAGGAACCAGGTGTCGCCATGACTACAACACAAATATAGACATTTTATTTACTATCCAGAACCACCAGTGAACCAACACGAGTCTTCTGAGCTTATATGGAATGTTGATGATGGAAAATAGTGGAAAATCTGAAATAATAAGTTTTCTTTGGGGCTATTTTGCCTCCAGACACCCTGCATGTATCCCTCCACCATGAAAATGTGTCTGTAGGCATCAGGCAGTGAATTCATAACCACATCATGTAGTGACTTTCTGAGAGTGAGCTTTTAGAGGTGGACGTCTGGTTCCTATCACCACCACTGTGAACAGTTCTGACTCGGTAAGTTTCTCTAGAACAGAGCGTTTCACACCAAACCACTCTGAACGGCTCTGTTTACATCTTAACCGTTTAATTATAAGTGAATTAGAAAAAAGAGTCAGAAACCACATAAGCAAGTCTATTAGAGATGAACAGCTCCACACGGTTTGAGGCAAGTCTGTGATGATTTAGACATGCAGTTAGCACAGTGCTAACTAGGGGAGTATAGGCTTACATTATTTGTTAGCTACATTAGCCTTGTGGCTCCAGAGCTAAGACTGAAGAAGCAAACTGCAGACACCAAACATGTCGTGGCTGATCGCCCACATTTGGTGTGAGGGTGGAAGTTTGATTTTTCTGTGCCAGACTATCGCTTTAATCTCAGGATCGTTGGTGTTGCGCAAGCTACAGGGCTGATATTGAGTAAGTCTTTGTTCCACAAACTGGAAACTACCACCCACCATCTCACACACTCCTTTTCTCTGAAACTCTTTTTTTTTTTGTGTATCAAACTTCAGGGATAGTAAACGCCTCCACACAGACTCCGACACTCTGGCTCTTTAATTTCACTTCCTGATCTGGAGTTTCACGCTGTGACGCCAGAGACCTCCATTAAAAAGTTTGGATATTAATCATTTTTGATATTTGTATATATAAAATAGTATATTTTATAGTTTAGATTTAAGTAGGGATGGATGATAAGGCCAAAATATTATATGACGATACTTCAAGACATTTTAATGATGCACACTATAGATATCATACAATATATATATAAAATTTAGTTTTTCTAAGATTTAATAAGTTGGAACAGACAAAATAGAGCCTGCAGTGCCACATCTGAAAATACTGTAATGATATAATGATAATAATAATAATAAAAATAATAAACTTACAATTACAGGGATTGTTATTCAGTGTTCCACAAGCTGCTCTGCACTAAACTAAGTTAAATATGACCCATTTTGTTCTCTTTGTCATGCATTTTGTTGTTGGTCAGTGTTCTTTAAGTACACAATTTGCTCAGAAAGGCATATTTTGACATAATTTATCACAATAATGATAAAATATCACCATGTTGCCCAGCCCTAGATTAAGTTTTATGAACTAGACACCAAAAGGTCTCTTTAGGATTGTTATTCATGTATTTTGGGTCAACAAAAATGAGTCATTCACTAATAAATAACATGTATTTTATTGTTTGTAACTGTAATCTTTTTTAAGCTTTTAGTATACGAGGCATTCAAGATATTACATTTATTATAACTTCTCTGTAAATATTAATTCTATTGTAACTTCATTCAGTATGTTAAAGAGCCCATACAATGCAAAAATAAATTGTACTCTTTTTTTAAATAAAGGAGTTCGATGTTTTTAGAACATACCATTCACTCTCCATTCAACACAGCACATTTACTCGTATCTCCAAAATGGTAACTTTACAGGAGAAGGAAAAAACATACTTTATTTTTAATGTAAGTCAATGGAACCAGACTTTTTGCCAAGTCATTTTGATCCATTTCTTTTGGTCCGTTCTTAATGAAATATACACAATGTAAACAGCAACATGCATTTTCAAATTATGTCAGAAAATGGCAAAAATGGATAAACGAGGTTTTCTTCCGACAGCAGCGATATACTTGTTTATTCAGTCTACAGCAGGTTATCTGCCCATTCACGCTGAAGTTATAAGGAGTGTTTCAGCCTGGGCTGCTTTTTTAATGAGGCACAACCAGTAAATTTAGAGCAACAGAGCAAATTTACATATATTAGTCTTAAATACCCAGTAACAAAAACAGTCTGTTAGAATTCTAAAGCATAAAGAGAAATTAAAGAAAAAAAGGTCATTTAAATAATGAATCATGACATTTTTTGGCACATAAAACCACATAAACATCATAAATTGACAAAAAAATAAAATGCAAGAAAAACAGTAGATATGGTTTGTTTATATTTTATTAAAACTTCATTATGTATAATAATTCTGTAATAACTGATGACTATAAGAAATTTTGTAAAACTAATTTTATTAAAACTTCATTTGGGATATAAATTTTATAATAACTTCAGTTTGGTATATTAATTTTAATAAAACAAACTTCAGTCTGAATTTTAAGTTCATTAGAACTTCTGGCTATTAATTTCATCTTAATTTCATACTGAATATTAATTTTATTAAAACATTGTTGTGGATATTAATTTTAGTACAATTTAAGTCTGAGTGTTAATATTAGAATTTTATTCTCAATACTCATTTTATTAGAACTTTATTATGGATATTGATTTTAGTAGAATTTCATTCTGAATTATATTATTCAAATTTTATTCAGAATATTAATTATATTTGAACTTTGATATGGATATTAATTTTAGCAGAATTTAATTCTAAATATTAATATTATTCAATTCTCTTTCCTGAATATTTATTTTATTAAAACTTTGTTCTGGATATCGATTTTAGTAGAACTTTATTCTGAACATACACTTTATCGGAGGTACTCTGTGAATTGGATTTGGCCGAGCTGTGATGTCTCTACGTGACTCAGGCGACGTTCTGCCCATCTAACCGTTTTCTCTTTATCTCTTTGTTGCAGGGAAGCTGCCATTCATCGCGATGGGCGTCAGCTCGGTCATCCACCCCAAAAACCCCCACATTCCCACAGTGCACTTCAACTACAGATACTTTGAGATTGAGGAGGAGGACGGTGAGTTCTGCCGTGTCACTGGTCATTATGAGGATCTCTGGAAACAGACGTTGTTATCTGTCAACCACACCCATCTCTCTCCCTCTGTCTCTCTCTTCCTCCCTTTGTCTCTCGCTCTCTCTCTCTCACTCTCTCTCTCTCCCCCTCTCTCTCCCTCTCACTCTTTCTCTCTCTCCCCCTCTCTCTCTCTCTGTCTCTCTCTCTTCATTCATAAAGCTTTATTAACGGTACTGTCAGTATTCGCTATAACGGTGTCAGTTAAAAGGAAATTCATATAGCGGTATTGCACCAGTGGAAGTCAGTGTGTGGGTGTTCTAAGCGATGCCATAGAAGAACCACTTCTGGTTCCCTAAAGAACAGTGTTTGAAAAGAGATTTGTGAGTGTGAAGTACACCTCGCAGGTTTAAACACTCATAAATTTTCTAGGTAGAACACTTAATTTGGTTCATTTACATTCTCATTTACATACACATCTCATTTAGAAAAAGACTTCTCTTAGGAACTTTTGGTTCTCTAAAGAACCACACTGGAAAAGTGTGAAGAAACCTTTAAATGCATGAATAACCTTCACATGATGTAAAGTGAAGGTTCATGATGAAAAGACTGACTACTTAAGTAAATTAAGTACAATTTTTTCAGTATCAGGGGTATTGAAGTGATTCGGTCGGTACCAGACACTCTTAAAAATGATGGTTCTTCAAGGGTTCTTTAGTAAAGAAAATAGGTCTATATAGAACCAGGAACACTCAAAGAACCTTTTGCATGATTAAAGTGTTCTTTGCATCGTTAAATGGCTGTTTTTCATATTGGTGAAGAATCTGCTGTCGACGGGTTCTTGTATTGTTACGTTGTCAAGCTTGTAACAATAGAAGAACCCTTTTTGGTGCTATATAGAACCCTTTGCAAAAAGGTTTCATATAAAACCATCTACAGCAGATTCTCCACCATTCTGAAGAACCATCTCACAATGCAAAGAACCATTTTATCACACAGGGTTCCTAGAGTGTTCATGGTTCTATATAGAACCGTTTACATTACTAAAGAACCCTTGAAGGGACCATCTTTTTAAGTGTGTACAAATATTGATGTTGATACCCAGTGCTGGACTCCACAGATGATATCAGTTCCTAGAAGCATTCCTAGAAGGTACATAAGAAAAAATAGATCATTAATTAATTAAATCTCTCTCCCTCTCTCTCTTTCTCTCTCTCTCTCCCTTTGTCTCTTTCTCTCTCTCTGTCTCTCTCTCTCTCTCTGTCTCTCTCTCCCTTTGTCTCTCTCTTTCTCTCTCTGTCTCTCTCTGTCTCTCTCTCCCTTTGTCTCTCTCTGTCTCTCTCTCTCTCTCTCTTTCTCTCTCTCCCTTTGTCTCTCTCTTTCTCTCTGTCTCTCTCTCTGTCTCTCTCTTTCTCTCTCTCCCTTTGTCTCTCTCTCTCTCTCTCTCTCTCTCTCTCTCTCTCTTCATTTCTAAAGCTTTATTTACGTTACTGTCAGTATTCGATATAATGGCGTCAGTTAAAAGGAAATTCATGTAACCGTATTGCACCTAACTGACTACTTAAGTAAATTAAGTACTAAATCAAGTTCTTCAAGGGTTCTTGAGTAAAGAAAATAGGTCTATGTAGAACCAGGAACACTCAAAGAACCCTTTGCATGATTAAAGTGTTCTTTGCATGGTTAAATGGCTGTTTTTCATATTGGTGAAGAATCTGCTGTAGACGGGTTCTTGTATTGTTACGTTGTCAAGCTTGTAACAATAGAAGAACCCTTTTTGGTGCTAAATAGAACCCTTTGCAAAAAGGTTTCATATAAAACCATCTACAGCAGATTCTCCACCAATCTGAAGAACCATCTCACAATGCAAAGAACCATTTTATCACACAGAGGGTTCCTAGAGTGTTCATGGTTCTATATAGAACCGTTTTCTTTACTAAAGAACCCTTAAAGGGACCATCTTTTTTAAGTGTGTACAAGTATTGATGTTGATACCCAGTGCTAGTCACCACAGATGATATCAATTCCTAGAAGGATTCCTAGAAGGTACTCTAGGATAAATAGATAGATCAATTAATTAATTAAATCTCTCTCTCTCTCTCTCTCTCTCTCTCTCTCTCTCTCTCTCTCCCTCTCCCTCTCCCTCTCCCCTACAGGCTCTAAGCAGTGGTGGTTTGGTGGGGGCACTGACCTCACTCCAGTTTACATTGACAAAGAGGATGCGGCCCTTTTCCACAGCGTCCTGCGGGAGGCGTGTGATAAACACCACCCAAAATACTACCCCGACTTTAAGAACTGGTAGGACCCTCACGCTGCTGATTCATGTGTTTAGATGGGTGTATTTAGTGGTGTGAATGCTGCGTGGATGCAGACTGTTCTACAGAGATAAGACAGTCCATTATTTCCAGCTGCAGTTGTGTGTCGTTTAGATAGAATGAGGGTACAATGGGGTCACAAGACACCGATCAGGCATAACATTATGACCACCTCCTTGTTTCTTTGCTCATTGTCCATTTTATCAGCTCCACTTACTATATAGGTGCACTTTGTAGTTCTACAGTTACAGACTGTAGTCCATCTGTTTCTCTGATACTTTGTTAGCCCCCTTTTACCCTGTTCTTCAGTGGTCAGGACCCCCATGGACCCTCACAGAGTAGGTACTATTTGGGTGGTGGATCATTCTCAGCAGTAACACTGACACGGTGGTGGTGTGTTAGTGTGTGTTGCGCTGGTCTGAGTGGATCAGACACAGCAGTGCGGCTGGAGTTTTTAAACACTGTGTCCACTCACTGTCCACTCTATTAGACACTCCTACCCTGTCAGTCCACCTTGTAGATGTAAAGTCAGAGACGATAGCTCATCTGCTGCTGCACAGTTTGTGTTGGTCATCCTCTAGTCCTTCATCAGTGGTCACAGGACGCTGCCCACAGGACGCTGTTGGCTGGATATTTTTGGTTGGTGGACTATTCTCAGTCCAGCAGTGACACTGAGGTGTTTAAAAACTCCAGCAGCACTGCTGTGTCTGATCCACTCAGACCAGCACAACACACACTAACACACCACCACCACGTCAGTGTTACTGCAGTGCTGAGAATGATCCACCACCCAAATAATACCTGCTCTGTGAGGGTCCATAGGGGTCCTGACCACTGAAGAACAGGGTAAAAGGGGGCTAACAAAGTATGCAGAGAAACAGATGGACTACAGTCTGTAACTGTAGAACTACAAAGTGCACCTATATAGTAAGTGGAGCTGATAAAATGGACAATGAGTGTAGAAACAAGGAGGTGGTCAGAATGTTATGCTGATTGGTGTGTATATTTTAATTTAAAGGGCCCATAAAAAGCTTTTCGTTGTATGTAACGTTAGTCCATTTATGGAAACTAAGCTGAACTAGACAGTTTTACATTGTGATGTCACAGCTATGAGCTTGACTGCCCATTCAGCCTACAGCAGTTTAGCCCCACCCATTCACTGTGAAATGATGCAGAGCGGAAGATGTATGAAAATTATTAAACGATGTGCTGTTCCTGGCTGTCAGGACGCAAACGGATCATTGCAGCCTCCACAAGGCAGCCAATGAAAACAGAACTCATTTGCATATGTCATATGTCTTAAAGGCACAGCCTGCTTTGTTTAATTCTTAAAGAGAGGTTGGACACTACTCATGTGAGTATCACTCAGTACTCAGTTTTGGCTCTTTTTGGCCCATAAAACCACACAAAAGTTAAATGGACATCAAAGAAAGAAAAAAGAAAGATGTTGATCAATATTATGATTAAAATCTTTAGAGCATGTTACTGTATTTAGAATTAACAGAGCAGTTCCTCTCTGTTCTCACAGATTTGACCTAAAATATCACATCGCACTTTTAAATCTCCCTCCAGGTGTGACCGTTACTTCTACGTCCGTCATCGTGGTGAGACGCGGGGCATTGGCGGGATTTTCTTTGATGACCTGGACTCTCCGAATCAAGAGGAGGTGTTTAACTTTGTAAAGAGCTGTGCAAAAACTGTGGTGCCCTGCTACCTGCCCATCGTCCGAAAACACCTCAACGACTCCTTCACCCAGGAGGAGAAAGACTGGCAGCAAGTCAGACGCGGCAGGCAAGTTACAGATACACATATCTGGAAACGTCCGACAGCTTTTTAGTTACTCCGTCACTCCAAATGTTTACTTTGTAAGATGAATGACACTAAATATGTTCCCGTGTAAACTAACTCATGAATAAGTATCAGATGGACGATAAGCTGCAGAAAGCTACTGAGCTGTGTAGCTCAGCTAATAATAATAGTGAAGTAAGCTGCTTGTTTAGCTGTGTGGCTACGCTGCTGCACAGCTACTGTACTTACTCTCACCCTGATTTGTATGGTCAGATTATAGTTGCATTTCCTTGCACGTCCACATGAAGTATCACCGCACATGTGCATACACCAACCAGGTAGAGGCAAACCTTTACAACCCTAACTATAGACCTACTGGAGCTGAATTAGTTTTACATGAGGATGTGCTGTAATTTGAGTGATGACTGACAAGATCTGTGATTTTAATCCAGTACAAATCTGCCATGTCTGTAGTTTTTACAGTCTGCTAAGTAACAATCCGGAGTGAATCGCCTCCTATAATTCGCCAAACTCTGAGCTCCTTCAGTATTAGCAGCCCCGCATAAATCAGCATCTCAGTGATGTAATAACAAAACTGGGTAATAGAAAATGGACAAGGCTGAAGTTTGACTTCCTATTCAGCTTCTTGTTCAGATTTTCCTGTTCCTTCCCAAATGGTGCAGCAGTTACAGGCACAGGAAAATTCGAACAAGAAGCTGGCGAAGAAGTAGGCGACTTCATCTTAGGAGAAAATGCCGCCTCCCTTTATTTTCTTTTTTTGTGACCCGAATACTAACAACTAAAATGGAGCTCAGTTTCACCCAGTTCATTAATCCTCAAGTTCAAGACGAGACTGAAATCCACAACACTTCTGGTGATGGCTGAATTACAAGGAGAAGGAAAATGAACTTGAAGGCTCCTCTTGCAAGGCTTCTAGCTTAATGCTAGTGTGTGTGTGTGCTCCAATAGGGCTTATGATAACTAGCTAAGTGAGCAATCACACTATATTTTACTCTCCATGTTTAAACTGTTAAGTTTGTATATGCACATTGTCTGTTGCACAGTCTGACGTCATGATCTGCAAACAAAAAAAAAATAAAATCTGATCTGACCAGTCAAACTTAGCCACTTATCAAGAAATCCAATTTTAGTCAGATTCAAAACCAACTACAAATGTGGTTTGAATCCATTTGGGGAAAAAGTCAGATTTAATGCAGCCTTTTGCGGTTCAGACTGCAGAAAATCTGACCTGCTCAGAACAAAAAATCAGATTTGAGCTGCTGGACCTACTTTCTTGGCAAAATAGTACTTTAAGATTTAGATTATATTTGAATATTTGACAACCAGACAAGAGGAGAAGGAAAATTCATATTTCTTATCAGATCTGACAGCCTTACAGAAACCTGACTGTATCCATGCTGTTGCACATGGATTGTTTGGTGCTGGTTGGTTAATGTTGTGTGGAATATATGCATGTTTGGTTTGTTATTACAGTGTGGTGTGTGTGTGTGTGTGTGTGTGTGTGTGTGTGTGTGTGTGTGTGTGTGTGTGTGTGTGTGTGCGCCGCAGGTATGTGGAGTTTAACCTGGTGTACGACCGTGGGGTGAAGTTCGGCCTCGCTACTCCAGGATCCAGAGTAGAGAGCATCCTCATGTCTCTACCACTCACAGCAAGGTCAGTCATACGGTCTGAGTGTGAATGTTGAAATAAGCATTAATGTTCAGATAAAAACAATGTAAATGATAATAAATCACGATAATTGGTCAGTCATCATGGATGCTGTTATTTCTAAAGACGTTTTATAAGATACAAAACACAAGAAACAATCAGACAATCAAACAAGACCTGTGTATCTCAATATACAATAACCCTGAGAAGTCTAAAGTTATTGTTGTTATTCCACAATTATTATTATTATTATTATTATTATTATTATTATTCAGCTGACTTTAGTCACATGATTATTAGATTGTAATTTATAGGGATGCACAACAAAATGAGAATCATATTAGTATCAACAGATAATGGCTTAACTATATTATTATATATTATTACACTATATGTCCAGAGGTTTGTGGACACCCCTTTTTGTTAGTGAATTTGGCTGCATTAAGGTCACCCACTGCTTCAAATACACACACAGCTTGTATAATCTCTGAAGTAAAGCACTGACCTATAGAATGAGACACCATGGAGCAGCTGCACATGAGCTTAAAGTCACCATGCCTAATGCCAAGCGTGGGCTAGAGGGGTGTAAAGCCCCCCAGCACTGGGCTGTGGAGCAGTGGAACTGTGTTCTCTGGAGTGATGGCGCTCCATCCACACCTTTGGGATGAGTTAAGGTGACGTTGTGAACTAGAACTAATCATCCAACATCCTCCTGATCTCTCTAATTATCTTGTGGCTGAATGCAATCAAATCCTGACAGCAATGCCCCAACATCTAGTGTAAAGCCTTCCCAGAAGAGTAGAGGCTGTTACTGCAGCAAAGGGGGACAAACTCTTTTTTTTATTAGTCTTGATTTTGAAAGAAACATTGGATGAGCCGGTGTCCACAAACTTTTGGCCATATAGTGTATGTATCAACATGAGACAGATGTTTGATATTGATGATATATTAATTGTAATCCACAATGGTTTCCTTCTATTTCTGTTATATTTCTCTGTAATGCAAATCCAAGTAAATGTAATCCCAGTTCCTGCATCTGATAAATGTTTATGTATGAGCTTCAGCAAATATATACATGAAAAACATCGAATATCAGCATCAGCACACAATTCCCACACTGGTGCCTCCCCAGTAATTCCACAATTCCATAATGAGTTACCTGGATATGTAATGAAATGCATTTATATTCTATAGGCAGGTTTGAGTCTGCACCTCTGGCTTTTTCTGCCTGTTTCCAAGCCAAAAAAGAGCAAATGCACAAAAATGTAAATGGTATTCTTTCTTTCTGCAAACAAGACTGTACACACAACAGTAACATTACATCAAATTCAAAATAAAAACAACTCAAAATAAAACATCTCCTTGTTTACATACCAGCACAAACAGAGTCTGGATTGAAAGTTTTGAATCTGCACTTTCCACACAAGTTCTCGACTTCTATCAATGAGCTTTGAGCGAAAAATTATTAATATAAACTCACAGCATGCTTTTATGGCTACGTTCACATTACCAGGTTAAAGTGGCACAAATCCAGTTTTTTGCCCTAATGTGACTCAGATCTGATGTTTTCAGAGCTGTGTGGACACAAATCTGCCGAACAGAAGTTAAAGCCTGTAAACGGTGGAAAAGCAGCTCATCTCACCTTTTTCTCCTTCGTCTCGCTCTAATAATGAAGCTGAGAGCTGATCAGAGTTAATGATCTTCTCAGCGAAGCTCGTTAGTTTGTGCTGATGATGAACGTGATTCATTCACGTGACGTTACTGAGTAGGATGAGCTCATGAGGGTCATTTCAGGACGCCGGTTCGTCACATTAATGACAGATTTGAGTCACTTACCTAAACGAGTGTGAACCATCGTGTCAGAGAGATCGGATTTGAGCAAGAAATCGGATTTGAGCAATGAGGCTTGTAATGTAAACGTAGTCAAAGTGGTTCAGGTTGGATTTGAAAAGATCAGATTTGTGTCCACACAGCCCTGGAAACATGATCTGAGTCACATTAGGGCAAAAAAATCTGATTTGTGCCACAGCCTGGTAAAGTGAACGTAGCTAATGCCTTCTAGTGTCTATGAAGTACATTCCTGCTTTTTTCTGAAGTCCGTGCTCTTCGCAGGTGGGAGTACATGCACGAGCCACGCAAAGGCACCAAGGAAGCGGAGATGCTGGAGGTTTTACGCAACCCTAAAGAGTGGATCTGAGAGAACACGCAGAGACACTGGCTTCATCCGGCCGCTGTGTAGTGCCAGTAAAGGGGTTTTATAAGGTGGAAAAGCTCAGATGGCCCACCGGAACCGTCCGCCCCCCTTCTCTACTCACTGATTTGATTTTTTATCTACTGAATTCTGAATCTGCTGTGAAAAATCATGATTCCTGCTTTAAACAGACCACTGCTGCTTCTCTGTTGGCCTCCGTGTGGTGGCCGCTCTCTCCGCTGCTGTGTTGTTTGTCTCTCAGGACGTGAGCGTTACCTGGCGACCAGCGAGTTTCTGCCTTGTCTGGTGTCCATGCGTGACTGTGGACGTGCTCGCGGTCTGCTGCCTTACTAACTCGGCCTAATCACTGGGTGTTTGTGGCCTTTCTTTCTTTTTTTGTAAGTGCTCTCTCTCGCTTCTTTAAAGGGCCCATATCACGGACAAATGAAACTGCTTTCTTTCTTTTTTGTTTTTTAATAAAAAGTTTGACTTTGATTTAGTTTGTAAACACTTCCAAAACGCATCCAGTCCATATGTGGCAGCTAAGCTGCAAAAACAGCCCATTTTTTGAATTCGCTGCTTTTATGATGTCACAAAAACATACATAACACATGAGCTGTGGCTACAATTTGCTGGATTGTTATGTTGAGATTATGTTGTGATCTTGAGATAACAACTTTTGTTATGTTGGGATCACAAGACAGTTGTTGTCTTAAGATCATGACTTAGTTAGATAACAACTTTTACCTTGAGATCACAAGATAAGTCATGATCTCGAGAAAACAAGTTTTATTTTGAGATCACACATCATGATAACCAAGATAGCACAAGATAACTAAGTTGTGGTCTCAAAAGAATAACTTTTATCTTGAGATCACAAGTCATGATCTCAAGAAAACAACTTTTATCTTCATCACAGGTCATGATCTTAAGAAGACAACTTTATCTTGAGATCACAAGATAAGTCATGATCTCAAGATAACAACTTTGCATTTATTTACAGACATTTACATATTGGTCTTAAAGGCACAGTGACAAAAACAGTCTATTTAATGCTAAAGCTAACGGAACGAATACCATCAAATAAGCTGTTGTAAGTATTGAAAAAAGAACTCTGAACTGCTGATTTGTGCAGTGGACCAATCACAGTAAGAGAGAGGTCTTCAAACAAACGAAGCGGTGATTAGGAGAGCACACCACACCAAACAAACTCGTTTTGGACTTCATTTTGCCGTGATGCGTTTTATTTTGAAGCTTACTGTCGGCGTAAAGGATAAAAAGAGGTTGGAAAAATGGTTATATAGAATTTGATTGACTTTTTTTTGGTAAATAAACCCTCACAAATGTCATAAGTGGACCTTAGAAGAGGAGAAATAAAAAGGATAAGGGCCCTTTAACACTTTTACTCTTTCTGTTTGTTGCTTTGCTGCCTGGGTTTTGATTTGTCCTCTTCAGCTTATCGCACTTCTGTTTATCTGCTGTGGTTCCAGCTGTTTTCCTTCAAAGAAAGCCACTATATAAAGATGTGAATTGCCTGTATAACTTAATCTGAATTTTGTATTGACAAAGACATTAAAGTATCTTTTGTAACACTATATTTAAGCAGTAGTGTATTGATTTCATGCAAATCCAGTAGCAGTGAATGCAGAAGTGTATTGTCGTAAAGGGTAGAGCAGCTCATTGAGCTGTGATGGACTCCGCAATGAGCTCAGTGACTAGACTACACATCATCTGTGGAGCTGAAAATGAGTCACTGCGTACCTGAAAGCTTTTCAGCCTCAACACAGAATGGATTCTCATGCGTGCTGATTTGAGGCTGAACAGCTTTCAGGTATTGGATTGGACAAAGTACTGATATTAATCTCCCAATTAAGAACCTGTTCAGAAAGAATCATGCAAAAATTGATCATAACATTTAAAAGAAAATGATTTTCTGTGATCTAATCTATGAGAGTACATGCAGCTTTTTCTATGCTGGAATTTGTATTACATCTGTTAAAATTAATAAATTAATAAAATCAATTGTGTAAGTTTAAATGTGTACAATACTGTGCAAAAGTCAGGGACCAACCTTGATTCACTGTTCGAAGAAACTCAGAGCAATGACTGACCACCCCAGACTCCAGACCTCATCACTGAACATGTTTGATTACTTCAGAAAATGCAAAACCAACTTCTAAGAGTTGAATGGAAAGCAAATCGTGGACACACTACATAAATAAAATTAATTATACACCGATCAGGCATAACATGTCCACCTCTTTGTTTCTCCGCTCATTGTCCATTTTATCAGCTCCACTTACTATATAGGTGCACTTTGTAGTTCTACAGTTACAGACTGTAGTCCATCTGTTTCTCTGATACTTTGTTAGCCCCCTTTTACCCTGTTCTTCAGTGGTCAGGACCCCCATGGACCCTCACAGAGCAGGTACTATTTGGGTGGTGGGTCATTCTCAGCACTGCAGTAACACTGACGTGGTGGTGGTGTGTTAGTGTGTGTTGTGCTGGTCTGAGTGGATCAGACACAGCAGTGCTGCTGGAGTTTTTAAACACCTCAGTGTCACTGCTGGACTGAGAATAGTCCACCAACCAAAAATATCCAGCCAACAGCGTCCTGTGGGCAGCGTCCTGTGACCACTGATGAAGGACTAGATGACCAACACAAACTGTGCAGCAGCAGATGAGCTATCGTCTCTGACTTTACATCTACAAGGTGGACCGACAAGGTAGGAGTGTCTAATAGAGTGGACAGTGAGTGGACACAGTGTTTAAAAACTCCAGCAGCACTGCTGTGTCTGATCCACTCGTACCAGCACATCAGTGTTACTGCAGTGCTGAGAATGATCCACGACCCAAACAGTACCTGCTCTGTGAGGGTCCATGGGGGTCCTGACCACTGAAGAACAGGGTAAAAGGGGGCTAACAAAGTATCAGAGAAACAGATGGACTACAGTCTGTAACTGTAGAACTACAAAGTGCACCTATATAGTAAGTGGAGCTGATAAAATGGACAATGAGCGTAGAAACAAGGAGGTGGTCGCAATGTTATGCCTGATTGATGTATGTTATTTTATTTTATTTTTTTTTAACTTTTTTCTTCCTGACACTGAAAAATGAACAACCGATTTTGACTGTAAATAAAAAATGAGGTGTGGTCTCTGACTTCTGCACAGTACTTTATATTATCACAAAAAATTGAACAACATTCTTTGCTAATATTTACCTCACAGCAACAAAGTACTAAAAGCCTGGGTTGAAAAACATTTATTACAAACAAAATTCAAGCTCATAATTTCCAAAAAAAGGTTTTTCATATTATATATACACACACATCCATACACACCTCAAATTTTATAAGGCATAAGCAAAAAAATAGTAACAATACCCACACCACACTCTAAACTGCATAGAAATCACAACCAATCTACAGTTTTTAATGCTGACCATCATCGCTGACCATGTTTCTAATAACAATCACATTTTGCCTTACTTTCTAAACACAGACCACATTAGGCGAAGTGAGAATGGTTTGGTTTGCTGGCTCAAACTGGCTGAGCAGATGGAAGAAAAACCTAATAGAGAGAGAAAGAAAGAAAAACAGCTTTCGCCGTGTTATATATCATCATTAATGTTCCTCGATAAAGGGCAAACAGTGCCCTAAGAAAAGTGCATTCACTCATCACCTATCAGTAAATATGCATTACGTTATGCTCTGTTATAGTGTTTACTCTCACGCCAACACAAACACACACTCAGAAACCTGAAGGGCAAATCTTTACGCCTCCACAGGCCTTTTCTGAAGTAGTCAAATGAGCTGGACTTGGCGACAAATTCTTCTCCCAACAAAATAAGAAGCACTGTGCTTCTACCAGTGAAGCTCCCTGGACCACTGCAGTCCTGCAGATGGCGCTAATCCCTCAACACTGCTTTTTCTCAACTAATCAACCCTTCTGAAGGAGGAAGCTGGCCACTCTAGAGCGGAAAACACCATTATGGTGCTGCTTGTGCAGAAGCGATGGCTTTAAAAGATAGGAGCTGTCCTATGCCAGGAGTCATCTGATTGCGTGGTTCATGCAGCTGATCTGCCTCCAGGCCTGATCTACATAACAGCAGTCTACACCACTGTCGATCAGCAAGGCAACATCAAACTAAGGTCAGATCTCACCTTAAAGGGGCCATATTCAACATTTTTTTTCTATTTGTTTTCCCACTGAAGTCCACTTAAGTCCAGTGACTGTTTCCCAAACTTAACTCCCTAAATTCAGTGCTGTTTTTGTTATTGTGCCCTTCTACTCCAATAACACTGCTATAGACTGTCTGCATGAACGACACTCTACATCACCTGTACAGGAATTGGTAGAGCTAAACTGCTATAGGCCGAATGGGAGGACCGAAACTGCTATAGGCTGAATGGGTGGAGCTAAACTGCTGTAGGCCAAATGGGAGGGCCTGTAGTGCTTGTAGGCTGAATGGGAGGACCTCGGCTGCTATAGTCTAAACTGCTGTGTACTCAATCGGCAGGGCTGAACTGCTATAGGCCGGATGGATGGACCTAAACTACTATAGGCCGAATGGATGGACCTAAACTACTATAGGTCAAATGGATGGACCTAAACTACTATAGGTCGAATGGCCGGACCTAAACTACTATAGCCTGAATGGGAAGACCTAAAGTGCTATAGGCCGAATGGGTGGACCCAAACTGCCATAGACCTAACGTGAGGACCTAAACTGCCATAGGCCAAATGGGAGGACCTAAACTGCTATAGGCTGAATGGGTGGACCAAAACTGCTATAGGTCAAATGGTTGGACCTAAACTACTATAGGTCGAATGGCTGGACCTAAACTACTATAGGCCGAATGGGAAGACCAAAAGTGCCATAGGCCGAATGGGTGGACCCAAACTGCCATAGGTCAAATGGTTGGACCTAAACTACTATAGGTCGAATGGCTGGACCTAAACTACTATAGGCTGAATGGGAAGACCTTAAGTGCTATAGGCCGAATGGGTGGACCCAAACTGCCATAGACCTAACGTGAGAACCTAAACTGCTGTAGGCTAAATGGGTGGAGCTAAACTACCATAGGCCAAATGGCAGGACCTAAACTTCTACAGGCCGAATGGGTGGAGCTAAACTGCTGTAGGTTGAACAGGTAGTCAGATGTAAAAGTGTACATGGTTGTGATTTCACAACTATAACAGGCTGTTTTAGTGGATTAGTTTCCACATATGAATTGCTGGGAAGGGAGATATATTCTACAGAGTATGTCAAACTCCTTTATCTGCAAAAAAATAAGCAAAATTTAGTTTTTAAAGATATGGCCCCTTTATGGATGATCAGTACCAGTAGTCGCAATCGTCAAACTCCTCTTCTGTGAGGAAAAACTGAACTTGGATCCAACTCTGAGATCTTTTGTGAAAAAAGCCCAAGTTTCCTCACTGAGGCTCTTTCAATTTGTTGTTTTTTTGGGTCCAGTCCTAGTTTCCTGATCCTGAACTCGGTGTACACTCTTCAGTGCTGCACGTCCAGGCAATTAAGTAAAACTGAACTGTTTCCTAGGAGCCAAAGTCATGAGAGAAGACCTGTCTGCTTACTTTGTGCAAGAGGGGGACATGTAATGTCCAAACATGGCTTGCCATGCACAAAACGGAAAAAAAAATACATTGCAACAGATGTAAAACATCTTCATTTGTCCCGGGAGAAATGTAGGCTTCTGTATCACATTCACAAAAACACAAACTGTTCAGTCCTATGTAACAAACACGCGCGTGTTAGTTCGTCTTAATATGTGTGAACATTCTCACGTTATTCACGTTTTAAAAAAGGGTTAGTAATCTCAGCCTGAATCTGAGAGAATTCCTGAAATCAGTCAAAAACATGCCTAACGACAACACTTAGCAGTTGTCTCTCGAATCACTATTACATACACACTCCATTATTTCTTGCCGATAATGAGTGTACAGTTTTTCACCTGAATATTTTTTTTAACTCGTAAACCTGCATGAGGCTGTATCCAAATTATTTTTTTTAAAAAATGCATAATTATTCTCTTTGTAAAAATAAAATCTAAAAAAGAAAAATCAGTGCATAGCAGATTTACTTTCCGCCTGAACATCATAGTAACTAAACCTCATTGTTAAACGGGTTCTTCAGTATTCTCATCCTGCCACAATAAAGAGATAAAAATGTTATTTTCCCGCCTCCATCGTCTTTCTTATCTGTAACTGCATGATTCACCGCACGAGCACAAACGCATTCATCCAGCACATGTGAATACGGACACAACCGAGAGGGCCGATTTTACGATAATGGCACTAAAACAGTCACAAAGCTGATTCACTCTGCATAAACTGTGCAGGCTGTGTTCAAAATAGGTTGTGCATCCTGCTCATGTACTGACAGTACCTGAAAGCAGTATGTATGTGCGACAAACATGGAGTTCTCCATTACAATAAAAACACCTGGCTGTGATGTAACCACTGACGTAAAAACGCCCGGTTTGCTCTGAACAATTTAATGGCTGGGGAATCAGTTTTATATGGATACATTAATGAAATGAAAGGGAAATAATTTGTTTTGCTGCTGCACTGAGTGCAAAGCTGAAGCCTCATCAGCTTTTTCTGCTGGCACACTGCAAAAAATGGTATCTTGCCAAGATAAATGATCTTAATTCTAGTCGATATATCTAATATTTCCCATTTGTACATGGTTGTGCACTTTATAAGATTTATTTTTTCGTATTATAAGATTATCTGGCTTATTTCCACATTTTTTTTACTTGTTTTAGGTCATTTTATTAAGTAAAATTATCTCACTATACTGGCAGATAATTTTGCTGGTTTCAAGCTGATTTCTTAAAACAAGCTAAATTATCTGCCAATATGGTGAGATAATTTTACTTGTTAAAATTACAAACAAGTAAAAATGTCAAGAACTTTGTTGTTATCTTGATTTAAGATTATTTAACTATCTTAACAGAAGAAATCTTAAATTTCTTGACTATATTTAGGATAATTTTACTTGACAAGATACCATTTTTGCAGTGTATTGAGGTGGGTTTGCTTACTTTGTTTAATAAAGTTAACTGACTGCTCAGATAATGTAGTTAAAACATTAGCTTTAGCCTGGCTTTTCAGGCTCACGTGTGGAGTCACACTGCTTATTATTCAGTCAAACTAGCTCATTTTACCAACAAGTGTAATGAAAGTGAAAATGACTGACCTTTTAGCAAAAGTAGGATTTGTTGCGCTTTGGAGATGGGTAGAAATAGAGCTGGGCAATATGAGAATATTTATCAATGTCATGATAAATTACATCACAGTGTGTCACAATATACTTTTTTGAGCATATTGTAAATATCAGCATTTAAAAAGACTTCGCAACTGCATGTTCGGTTGCAAAGCACAATTAGTCGTGTTTAATGGGATGTAGTGCAGCTCAGTGTATAAAGTGTTTAACTCTTAAAAGTGTTTAACTTATATTGGTTGCAGCTCAGTGTATAAACAAATCATTGTATTCATAAGATCCTCGGACAAAAAATGAGTCGCCTTGCATGTTTAAGGGGGTAGTCACTTCAGTCTCCTGCACAAGGTTGATCGGGCTATAAATACCAGTGGGGTGTGTGACGGGATTCATAGATTGAGAAGAGGTGGTACAGTGCAATGAATGTCTCATTCAATGTGTGGAAAATGGGTCGCAAAGCAGACGTTATTGATTGGCAAAAAGGAGTGATTGCAAAGGCAGAGTATGCCAAAGGCCACAGGGTGAAGGAAGTAGCTGAGTCTGCAGGTGTATTGAAGCGTGCGGTCATACGGGTCGACCAGAAGTGGCAAAAATCCCAGTCTACAGGAAATTCTTGTTAGATTTGTGGCCGAAAGACGAAACTGACGGCGTGTTTCACACCATGTGAATAAAAATCGCTTCCTTGCAGAAAGTTCTTTCAGAAATTGGCTGTGAAGGACCTGCTTTGACTTCCAAAAGCAATTCTTGACTGGAAGTAAAGCGATTTTTATCTGCAGAAGCCTGAATTTACTACCACCTTAAACACGTGAGGTGACTAATTCTTTCTCCAGGGAGCTCAGTTTTTGATAGTATTTTTAAATACAGCACTACTTTGCCTGTTCTATCCTTATAAAAATAATTGTGGCATATTGTGTAGGGTGAAAACTTCTTGAAGTATCGTGATATTACATTTTTAGGCCATATTGTCCAGCTCTGGGTAGAAAACACCCTCCATGCTGACTTGGTATCTTTCAAAACTCAGCAGGCACGTCTCTTGACCAAAATACATTCACATGCTAAAGATCTGACCTGAAAAGTGAGCCAAAAAGTGGCTAGCAATGGTTACTAAGCAGCAACTGGAGGGCTAAGGAAAATGAAGCAGGTCTTCAGGGTCTGGCTTTTGTTGTATACTGGATACTATACAGTATCTTACTGAAGAGAAGTGTGCAGTGTTCAGCATATACTGGTGCAGTACACAGTATACAGTACACAGTATGCTATTTGGAACACAGCCATAAAAAACAAGAGTCACTAACAATTCACAGCCCTCAAACAGACGCAGTGTGAGCCTTCCAATGAGAACAGCAGCATCCAACCCAAAACTAAAGAGGAGGTTCAGATCCAAAATGCTAATGTTGCTAAAAGTGAATGCAATCATATAGGCACCAATTAGCATCATGACATGGGCTGGGCTCAAATTACAAGGCTGAAGTGGCACCAATTTGGCCTTTTTGCATAAAATTAGCGCTGGCAATGTTTACTATCACACTACTGTCCAAATACATCACAGCATCAAGTTTATTTCAGTAGTCCGGCCTAAGAAATCTACATTTACATTTACATGTATGGCATTTGGCTGACGCTTTTATCCAGAGCGACTTACAATTCGATCATTTTTACACAGGTAGGCGAAGGCAGTGTTAGGAGTCTTGCCCAAGGACTCTTATTGGTATAGTGTGGGGTGCTTACCCAGGCAGGGATTGAACCCCAGTCTACAGTCTAAAAGTGAATGAAATCATATAGGCACCAATTGGCATCATGACAAAGACATATTTGGTGGCTAATAGCTTCCATTCATCGTAAGCCACATTAGCATGTTTGGTCAAGCTATTCCTTTAACGCATTACAGTTCTGGGCAGAACTGCACAGCAGGGATGCATAATCGCAACTGGCAATTTATTTCGAATTTGGCTGATCTGTGTTGCAACTTTGTGATGTACATAATGTGAGACAGGTGAGTGCTGTTTGAATGCTGCTGCTACACCTGTACCGAACTGTCGTAGCATTAAATATGCATGACTCATAGGCCTGTCACTACCATAAATTTGTAGATAACAAGAAATCATCATATAAAATCACTGCAATTACCAATTTATCTTTTTTGCTCGTTTTACGCAACCATCAACGTACGAGCCTGAAGTGGCCAAACTGGCTGACCGACTAACCTTACTTAGCCACACAAATGTCTTGTTTAGTAAACACGTGCAAAAACAAACATCTGTTCTAAAAGAATACATGCTAAAATGCTAAAATTAGAAACAACAGCTTACAAGTAAACAAACATTACTCACTGCTGCCATCAGAACATGTTAAAGCACCAGGTTAGAGCATCTGCTGTTTTGTAAGATCCCTGACTTCTCAGTTTCTTTTATTTACATTCATTTGCCTCAACCTGATTCACCCAGTTCACATTCTGTTTGCTGTGTAAACCAACAGTCGTATGCAAAAGTTTTAACACCCCTAGGAATGACATGTTTTGTTGATTTTCTAAGTGAAAATGTGTCAAAACATTGTCTACAGGGAACAGCCTTAAATATGGCGCTTTTCTGTGAATTTTACTGCACAGTCTCTATATTTGCTGAGTTTAACACAATGGAAGAAAATAAAAGCAGTTTTATTTTTTTTAATATATGGTAAATTCAGCAAATAAACAGTAACTGTGCATTTAAATGTGTGTTCTCTGTAGAGGATATTTAGAAAATCAACATGTTATTTGACCAGGGGGCACCCAAACTTTTGCATATGACTGCAGAAAATGATGAAATCAACAACTGTGGAAAATGTTTAGCGGTCAGCTTAAAGAATCGCGATCAGCTCAAATAATTTCGTAATAATGTGACAGGCCTAATGACTCACAGTGCTAAGTAGCCAGTTGCTCTCTATTATCAATGTAGCACTTTATTTTAGTCATGTTATTTAAACAGGCAACTGAACTAAGGATTTAAAATGCCAGTTTGGCCCATTAAAGAACAAATAATTCTATTTATACTGCAACTTTGGCTAATAGAAAGTGCTGGAAAATAGGGCTGGGCATTAAATAACACTGATCAACTGTGTGTTTATTTTTAATTGAAATTAGTGCAGGTTTTTATTCAACATTGTGTGAAACGTTGAATAAAAATCATCTGTACACAAAGTTTTTGTTTGGCTCTACTTGCTCCTTCTTGAAGTCAGAAAAAAAAAACAAATCTCAGGACATATCAGTAAATTTCTTTAAGTATCGTGATATATTTTGCCCACCTCCACTGGAACTGTGCTAATATGTTTCATGTTATGTGTCCATTTAACAGTGTGAACTTAAAGTTAAAAAACAACTAAAAGGTTAATAAAATCAGCCAATTAGGCTGTAAGAAATCAGACTCAGCCATAAAAACTCATGATCGGTGCACCCCTGCTGTGCAGTCTAGTGTTTTCTTTGTTCTCTGCTCTCACATACCTGATTCAGTTCATGTAGGGCTTCCTAATTATCGGGTTAGCTGATTCAGGTTTGCTACAGGAAGTGCTGTAGCCCTCTAGCTGTTAACTGGATCCACAGAGGTTTCGTGTTTTTCAATATTGCTAGTGTTGCGCTATCTAATGAGGCGGAATGTTGTAGGTTAACAGTGCTGCATCATCATGGAGATGTAACTAGGGAAAGGAAAACAAACCCCCTTCCTCTACAGTATTCGCTCCTATGACTCAGAGAGTAGACAGGCTCTAGGCCGGGGCCTGGCCTGGCCGGGGAGCTGAGGTTAACACTCGATTTCGAGGTATTTCTGACCCTGCAACTGTTGAACGGGGGAGAAGTGACAGTGACGTCGGCTGCATAAGCACTTTTACTAGGTTTGTTTTCTCTTTCTGAGCAACACTGGGCGTTGCACTCACTTGCTTTTTTCCGCTGCGGCCATATTTAGGCTCCTGTTAAACGTTAGGATGCATTCAGAGTCACGTCACTGCTTAGGAAGTGACTCAGCTTTGTTTTCCTCGGATATAAAAACTCTGTATCAGTAGTGAGACAGCTGGCTGGGCCCCAGTGTAAAGAGTGTAAGAAGGACGGGGTAGGCAGAGAAACAAGAGAAGCAGTGATGGGATTGGAATAAACCTTAAAAGTTAGGGTATATTAGCAGATTACGTGGTGGAGTAACCTTCACTTCCCTTGGCCAATCACAATACTGCTAGCAGGGTTATTGATGATGTCGTCATACTGCGGCGGAGCCTCCTCCTCAATCTGCACGTCCATATGACCTACTGCCTCCTCATAAGACGGAGGCAAATCCCCGCCGCTGCCCCGCCCAGGCGTGATGTCGGCGCCCGGGTAGGCGGGGCTACTGTGTGCGCTGATTTCCGAATGGGGGCTGAGGTCCGGCTGGTAGTCCCGTCCCCACTGGTCCATAGCCACCACCGCGAGGGCAGCGTCTCTCCGAGGCCGGCCAATAGCAGGGCTGCGCTGGGACCTCTTGCGCGAGTGACACCTCCACACCGTGATGGAAATGGCAGCGATGAGGAGAACCACCAGAAGCAAGGGGAGGATCAAGTAGATGGAGTTGACTCCGCCCGCTATCGAGTCAAATCCGCCGGGTCTGGGGCTGCTCTCACGCTGATACTCCTCCCAGAAACGCCTCTGCAGCCAATCACAAATCAGGACAAAGAGATCAGGGATCAAATTACAAGGCTGAAGTGGCACCAATTTGGCCTTTTTGCATAAAATTAGTGATGGTCATGTTTACTATCACACTACTGTCCAAATACATCACAGCATCAAGTTTATTTCAGTAGTGTCGCCTAAGAAATCTACATTTACATTTACGGCATTTGTCAGACGCTCTTATCAGAGCAACTTACAATTTGATCATTTTTACACAGGTAAGCGAAGGTAGTGTTAGGAGTCTTGCCCAAGGACTCCTTCTGGTATAGTGTAGGGTGCTTACCCAGGCGGAGGATTGAACCCCAGCACCCCAGAGGGCAGCAGTGTTACCCACTACACTATACCAACCTACTCATATGGAGCACAACTGATATACTTGATGTATTTGTTATGTCAAATATCAGTAGTAAATATCAAATCTAAACATCTGTCTGCTGCCTATCTTCTTTAAGCTAATGTCTGCTGAGTAACAGAGTAAGCACAGTGTTAGTCACCCATTACTAAATCCATACGCTTTAAAAAGTACTGGGTTGCCACACCTAACCATGTTCTAATCAAGTCCTTGCATGCTAGAGACATTAACATCTTTAACAAAAATGAATAAATACAACTTGTGTACAAAACATTTCAACACAAAGCCGCGTAATACGTTCCTGGCATGTTACCAAGTACAGAATAAACGTCAGTGTTCTCAGCCATGTAACTGTGCATGTAATTTTACACCTCTTGTGCAATTGTGTCGTGTAATATTAGCCTCTCCCTCTATCCTGTCTGTGACCCCAAAGGCCTTAAACAACAGCTCCAACATTCTCACACGTAATCTCATATTTCGTTTTGCGGAGGACGAGCACCACAGAAAGGAAGGACTCAGTCCTTCTGGAGCTTAAAGAGTAACTCAGTAAAGCAGGTATTAATCCGGCCTGTTTATAATGGTGGTCATGGGGAAGAAGGGTATTGTTTCCTGAAACGTAAGAAATAAGCCTTAAATCACCATTCCAGTAAAGCAGAGCAAAGACGTCACTCTATTTTTGGTTAGCTCTGTGCAAGAGAGGAGGGAAGTTAGTTATGCACCAAGCACAAAGTGCTAACTTAGCAAGTTAGTTATGCACCAAGCACAAAGTGATAAAAAAACGGGTAAATGCTGACAAAAAAAGCGAAGAGAAACAAATTTTTCATCCTTATTCTGGAGCAGAAATTTCTCCGACTCAGCTTGAGCTGATTTTGAAGTTGCTAGCACCACATGTAATGAATTAGAGGACAAATTCATGCTTCTGAAGTTGGACACAGCCGACCCGTCATCTTGGTTGTTGCCATGCCAACACCAGAGGTAACCGTGACTGTTTAAGAGAGTTTATGTCGCCTGCAAAAGTCTGAAGGCGAATAAAATAGAAATGAAATAAAACAATGACGCATTTTCGCCATCAGAAAAATCGTATTTGTTGTATATCATCAGTGAAACAAGGAGCGAGCAATCTGGCAAAAATTAAATAACTCAAACGTTTAAATGATACACAATATGTCACGATATTAAGTTCTTCTGAAGTCTGAGAACTACAAATAATTTTTATTCAACATTTTGCCAACTGTGCTACACTGAGTCCAATTAAACAGGCCTAATTCTTCTCTCTTTGCAATGAAACATGCATTTGGTCAGTGTTTTTGAACTCAGAGAAGTACGATAATGATAAATATTGTCATATCACCCAGCCTTATAGACAAGTATTGTAGTTAATTTACTCATGTCAGAGTAAATCATATGAATAAGTCTCGCTTGGTGTGAAAAGGCCGTAACGTGACAAGAATGGAGTGCTTTTGTGGGTGCTTTTTAGAGACCCCTTAAATGGTCAGGAAAAGCCCAGGCTTCTATTCCTCACTCCTCTAAGGTAAACATAACTCAGCTTGCATTGTTTTACATGTAGTTACAGTGTAATAAGCCTTAAGGATGTAACAAACCAAGTATTTTACCATCATAACAGCTTCTATTTTAATTCATTTTCACTAAATGTCGAATTTCTCGCCAGAGGAATATTAACTGTATTCCTGCCTGCCAAACTAAACAAGATTAAGTGGTTCAAGACTAAGCGGTGAAACGGGTAGCTGCTCTTTGACCTAAAATGAATTTGTATCACAGTCGAGTCTCTGAGGGCCACTTTGAGGGAGTCGGCTACACTTCCTCTCGATAGCGCACATCCTGCTCGCAGGAAATTCCACAGAGCAGCACATGCAACAGGAGAGAGAGAGAGAAAAAGAGAGAGAGACACAGTGTGACAGTGAGAAAGGGAGATAAACTGAGAGAGAGGGAGAGTTTTAATGTACACATGAGCGTCTGAGCGCGCAGCGACTTGCCCGCACCGTTTTCTCATCATTTTCGAAAGCCTCCCTGGCCTCCTCGTAGTTGCACACCTCCTCCCGGCATTCCCTCTGGATGTTGCCCTGCTTCATCTCCTCCAGAAAGAAGTTCGCTCTCGGGAGCCTCCTCAGCACAGCGTGGGCCGTGTCCGCTGGCAGGAAGACTGTGGAAAGACAAAGCACCTGAAAACCTAAGTGTTTAGAGAGGATATTACAGCACTATGCACAGCCAGGGTTGTCACGATTACTTGAATAAACTCGATAAAAATGTGTTTAAGATGCACCTTGGCTATTTGTATGATGATAATGCACATTTTAAATTCTCATACCGGTCTCTCTTACAGTACAATGAAAAAAATGGTATCTTGTCAAGCAAAATGATCTTAAATCTAGTCGACATATCTAATATTTCCCATTTTGAGATTTTTAAGCTTATATCAAGACTATTTAATATATTTCTAGACATTTTTACTTGTTAAGTGATTTCAGTAAGTCAATTTCTCTCAACATTATCTGCCAATTTGCTTCTACAGACCAAATATGTCTGAAACAAGCAATATTATCCACCAATACAGTGAGATAATATTATTTACTAAAATCACTTAAAGGTAAAAACAAAAAAAAATGGCCAAAAATAAGCTAAACATTCATATATCGACTAGATTTAAAATAATGTCACTTTTTTGCAGTGTAAAGAACAGGGGCTGGTGGACACACCCATTTATATGCAAATTTCCACAGGTTTCATAACCTATTCACCTTCCAATAATGTATTTTTGGAATTTATGAAAGGCTCTGGTTTGGCTTATTTCATACACTGTGGTCACCGAAAGTGCTTTGCAAAATAGATAATACAAATATAAGCGACCCTAATCCCACTCCGTCACCCAGTGAGAGGACAGACACACTGTGGTACTATATATAACTTTTAAATCTGTACTTTGAAATATTTTAGTAACAGAACATTGTTTTAAAATACATATTCCAACAGTACTTTTTGAAACCTGCCTACCATCTTTGTGCGTATATTGTCATTTTTGGCCCTCCACAAACACTGCACTTTGGCCCCCCAAGATTGAAACTTTGGGCACCCCTTATATACAAAAATGTGCCCAAAACACACACATTTAGAGGCTTTAACGGCCGCAAAGGGCAGAGACAGACACATGCCCGCAGTGCGAATTCCTGTACGGCACAAAAGCTCCTTTGAAACCGACCGGTCTTTCTTGGTAAAATAGAGGCGTTGGGGCCAGCCTGTGTTTAAGGACAGAAAGACAGAGTAGTCCACTGTTCCTCTGCCCTGAGTGTCACTCGCAGAATACAGGGCCCAAACTGTGATTCAAGACGTGCCAGGAATTTCTGATTAGACACAGATTACACTTCAGCCGGTCTGCAATTACAAAGACCTTCAGCTATCAACAATATTGGTGAATTTCTTAGGCTGTAGTCAGATTAGAGGTGGGCATATTTTATCATTACTGTGATCAATTACGTCACAATATGCTTTTCGGAGCACATCACGGACACCATCAGTACTTCAACACTGGTGAACTGCATGAGAAAACATTACTGGTCCTGTTTACTGTATTTAGTGTTGCACAGTATGTGAAACGTCACCGCACACCTAGTTTTCGGTAGCATTAATATGGCACTCCTGGGTATGTACCACCTTATTAACGAGATATCACGATACATATCGTGTTGCACAACCTTCAAATTCATATTCAAAGCCTTTTGATGCCTTTTTAAGACCACAATGACAGAAAAAATACCATTTCCAATGCAGAAAAATGCCCAATACAACATATATTAATGTGTATTTTACAGAAAATCACATGGATAGATGTTCTGAGACACTGGTTGCTGGACTATTCACAATTGGTTTAGTATAGAGAATGACTGTTTTCACCCTGGCATCATCTTGGAATTTAATAAATCTGATAATAACCTTTTAATTTAAGACTTGATATGACTTCTTAAGGATCCCGTTTGAGTATCCTAATATTATATTTTAGCCAAACTGCTCACCCTGAACTCAGATGCACTTTTTAACAGCATGATCTCACCAGCTTAAGTTACAGACACACTGATTCCATTACAAACCAATGACTATTACTGCAACAGACTAAACTTACACCCTTAAAAAGATGGTTCTTCAAGAGTTCTTCAGTAAAAACAATGGTTCTACATAGAAAAAAAGGGTTCTTCTGCTGTAAGAAGCTTGAAATCATAACAGAAACACCCATTTCAGCCCATATAAAGCCATTTTCCATATATAAAACCATACACAGCACATTCTTCATCAATCTGAAGAACCATTTCACCATGCAAAGAACCATTCAAGCATGAAATAGGTCTATATAGAACTTATGGTTCTAAACAGACCATTCCTTTTACTAAAGAACCCTTGAATAACCATCTTTTTAACACCATATCGTAACATATAACTACACACTCATTTCTTTATGTCATTATATTAGTACCTACCAGCTCCCATGATTCCTGCAGCTCTGTTTACTGCTGTCAAACCTGGAGAGGACAGAAAATTCACATTTTAATACACATTTATCAAATTTTGCCATTCAGCACTCGAGTTGGAGATCAAAATGAAATGAAGAGAAAATAAATGAACCGCTAACAAACACAAGAACACCAGAATACAAACACAGACTGGACGAATAAAAGACTTTGGCCACCTATCCGCCTGTTTTTGCTCGAATGTTCCCGTTCCACCTTAAATGGTGCAGCAGTTACATTCTGGCGCCTCACCATTTAAGGTGGAACGGGGAAATTCGAACAAGAAGCTGGCGAATAAGGAGCTGACTTCAGCTTCGCACCGTTTTTGGCAAATCAATCACAGTCAACAGTCTTGACAATGAAAACTACATCTAAACACCCCACAAACGCTGTGTTTTGGTCGTTAGCCCAAAGCTAACTACGACTTCAGCCAGCAACTGAGATTTTAACCGCTTTTTTACGCTTTTTACCACAGCGTGACATGGTTTACACACAAAACAAGCCACGGAGACTCTACTTTTGGTCGTTATTACAACGAAGCATGTCTTCGTATGTCCCACACATGAAAGCAACATGTTTAAACACGACAAATACCCTAAAAATGACATAAATCAGCGTGTTTACCTGCTCGCTCCCAAACTGCGCCCTGTGCTTTCGCCCCTGGATGCGAGACTGCGCATGCGCACACATGCGCTCTGCCCCACGCCACAAAGGCGCTGCTGAGTGTCAGTGATGGAAGAGAATGTAGGGGAAGGATTTAATTATAAAAACATCTTCATTTGTTTCAAACAAAACCGCAAATTTATTCCAAATCTGATGGCGATATGTGTGTTTTAAATATATGACATACACCGATCAGGCATAACATTATGACCACCTCCTTGTTTCTACACTCATTGTCCATTTTATCAGCTCCACTTACTATATAGGTGCACTTTGTAGTTCTACAGTTACAGACTGTAGTCCATCTGTTTCTCTGCATACTTTGTTAGCCCCCTTTTACCCTGTTCTTCAGTGGTCAGGACCCCCCATGGACCCTCACAGAGCAGGTACTATTTGGGTGGTGGGTCATTCTCAGCACTACAGTAACACTGACGTGGTGGTGGTGTGTTAGTGTGTGTTGCGCTGGTCTGTGTGGATCAGACACAGCAGTGCTGCTGGAGTTTTTAAACACCTCAGTGTCGCTGCTGGACTGAGAATAGTCCACCAACCAAAAATATCCAGCCAACAGCGTCCTGTGGGCAGCGTCCTGTGACCACTGATGAAGGACTAGAGGATGACCAACACAAACTGTGCGGCAGCAGATTAGCTATCGTCTCTGACTTTACATCTACAAGGTGGACTGACAAGGTAGGAGTGTCTAATAGAGTGGACAGTGAGTGGACACAGTGTTTAAAAACAAACAAACATTAGAGACCCCTCACTCTTGATTTATTTAAATATGGCCATTGAATAGACTTTATTCATATTTCTGAGGAGATTAGATATGACAGTCCACATGCATAAGGAAGGAGAAAGTTGAAGTGAAGAAAAACAAAAGTTCAAAATCTGATTAAAAGCTACAGAGAAAATGAAAGTTCTAACAACCACCTGGAAGACCTGGTAGACCCCAAAACCCGTCCCCATCAGATAAACAGCACTTAAAGCTTTCATCTCTGAGAGAGAGGAGAAAGTCAAACTGCTTCAGATCTGAAAACATCCACAGGTGTTTCTGTCCATCCTTCCACTGTGAGAAGACGACTCAGCACTGTGGGTCTGAAAGGATGTGTAGCTGATCAAGAAGAACCTCACTGAGAAAAGGAGACGGACACATCAAACAAAGAAGCTGAACGATGGACTGACCACCCCAGAGTCCAGACCTCAACACCACTGAATGTGTTTGATTACTTCAGAAAACGATCAACCAGCTTCTAAGACTGAACTTTGGAGGTGTGTCTGCAGATTGTTTGAGATTTAAGGGCATATATGGCCATATGTCAGATTTCCATATGGGTACATAGATATTGATGTTGTTTTATTATTGCAGAACGTTTCCAAAAGTATCCAGATGACAACTCTTTGAATGAGTGAATTCAATTACCTTAAAGGGCCAATATCTTACATTTTGTTACATTTTATTTTTTTCTCTTTGAAGTTAATTTACTATATTTGTGTGGTTTTAAGTACCAAAAACAGTCATAATTAATTTTTACCTGACCGTTTACCCTTTAGGATTAAACATGCTATTTGTGTTACTGTGCCTTTAAGACATCAACGTCACTGAATGTGTTTGATTACTTCAGAAAATGATCAACCAGCTTCTAGCAGCAACTTTGGTGGTGTGTCTGCAGATTCTTTGAGGAACTGAAAGTGAGTCTCCTGAAAAGAATGGAAGCTGGAATAAAAAGAAGAGTGACTCACTGAACACTGAAGAAATAGATGTTATATGTAGTTGTTGAGGCTTCTGTGTGATTTTCTGTTAAACATATGTTTTCTGCTTTTTTGTCCTAACAGTGAAATATGAATAACTTTTACTTCATGGCTGCTCTGGTGGTAAATTAAGCAAATTAAGTGTGGTGTCTCCAGGCTAATAATAATAAGTCAATAAGAGCTGCATGAATTTCACATTTTAAATGCAAAGACTGTATTTGAATATGATAAAAGTTCAACATGTAGGCCTAGGCTTTATAATATTTATAAAAGAAACAAACAAAAATGCAGTGCTTCTCTTAGTTCATCTACACAGCAGACATCATTCAGACATCAGTTAGATGGTTGTTGGTTTGTTTCTGCAGATAATGAAGCGCAGGCTCCGGCGTGTGTGGAGGTCTGCAGACAGGCTCTCCTTCAGATCCTAGTGCGGAGTGTTGGAGGCTGGCCTAACGCTCACTAACATATTTTTGCCCCACAGAGCTTTTCTCTCTGATTGGAATCGGTAAGCAGTGCAGCTGCAGAAAGACTTTGCCAGAGGACACATTCGACCCCACGTCCTGCTACACTGCGCACACTTACACTCTGATACCCAGCATACATCAAACACAGCATCAGTGATGTGCACACAGACTCCCTCTGACACACATACAGAGTCGAGTGCAGAAGTTTGGGCGCCCCTTCTTACATTAGATGACGTGTTGTGCAGGTGAAAACACATCCTCTACAGAGAACATACTTCTGCAACTTTTAATAGACAGTTACTGCTTACTTACTGAATTTAACGTATCAAAAAAGTGTGGCTTGTGCACAAGTTTTAACACATTTTCTAATTTATAACGTATGTAAAGCATACATAGAAACAAGGAGGTGAACTTAATGAAATGATTGGTTGGTGTACATAAAAACACAGACCAATCATTTCATTAAAACCACCTCCTTGTTTTACACTCACTGTCCATTTTATCAGCTCCACTTGCTATATAGGTGCACTTTGTAGTTCTACAGTTACAGACTGTAGTCCATCTGTTTCTCTGCATACTTTGTTACCCTGTTCTTCAATGGTCAGGACCCCCACAGAGCAGGTATTATTTGGGTGATGGGTCAGCGATGCAGTGATACTGACGTGGTTATGGTGGTGTGTTAGAGTGTGTTGTGCTGGTATGATTGGATCAGACACAGCAGACTACAGTCTGTAATTGAAGAACTACAAAGCCTCTGCTCTTCTGGGAAGCCTTTACATTAGATGTTGGAACATTGCTGTGAGGATCTGATTGAGCATTAGTGAGGAAAGGTATTGATGTTGGATGGTCAGTTCTGGATCACTCTAACTCATCCCAAAGGTATTGGATGGAGCTCCATCACTCCATAGAACACAGTTCCACTGCTCCACAGCCCAATGCTGGGGGACTTTATACACCACTACCTCACGCTTGACACTGG